ATAGATTTAACATAATTTACATAGTGTATACTTCAAGTGTTAAATAATCATATATTTTTAATATAATATCCTTTTATGGTGTCCTATTAGAAAGTGTAGAATACGATATGCTGCCTACAAATATATTTGTTTCGGATTGTGCATGAATTATCTAATGACACTATTACATATACTATGTCTAGCTATGTATGTGACAGATAAATAAGTTTACCTACCAGTAATTGATACATCTTTGTATCCACAATAATGTCTTCTTTCACTCAACTTAACTTAAGATTATGATCAATCAAAGAATTAGCTGATTTGTAGGCTATTTTTTTATTTTCTTGTAGCAAATCTATCACATATTTTTGTTGAGATAGAAAAATGAAATTCTTAGAATAGACAAATTCAATACCTATGAAATATTTTAATATTCCTAAAATTTTCATCTTGAATTCTTGAGATCAACATTTACTTAGAAGTATTTTTTTGTATCATCATTTTCAGTCACAATAATATCGTCCACATACATTATTAGAATGGTGACCCCCTTGAAGAAGAATGTTTGACAAATAAAGTGCGATCACCTTGACTTTGTTTGTATCCCATCTTGAGCATAACTTTCATGAATTTACCAAACCAAGCTTAAGGAGATTATTTCAGTTCATATAATGCTATCTTCAACTTACACATAATATTAACATATGAATTTATCTCATATCCATATGGTACCTTTATATATATATTTAATTCACTATGTAAAAATATATTCTTAACATTAAATTGTTGAGGATCTCAATCAGAGTTAATTGTCAGTGATAGAGTTATTCTGATTATATTCATTTTTACTACTTGTGCAAAAGTTTCAAAATAATTAACTTAGATAAGTTTGTGTATATCATTTTGCAATCAGCCTAGCTTTGTGTCTTTCTATGGATTCATCTAAATGATATTTAATTATATACACCCATTTGTAGTCAACAACTTTCTTCCATATTATCAGATGTACAAGTTCTCAAGTATTATTTTTTTCAACTCTTCCATCTCCTCATTCATAGCTTGTCTCCACTTCTCATGAGTTAAAACCTCAAATAATATTGGAGATTGAGGTAGAATTTAGGTTGTATACAAAGGCCTTGTGTGAAGGTGATAATCTGTTATATGATAAAAAAAGTGTCATAGGATATAATGACTTTTTAGTACATTTTTTTCCTTTTTCAAAGGGCAATAGATAAGTCTTCATTAATAGGTAAGGTGTTGGTCTAAGATGTCTCATTTGACTCATCTTAGGAGGATTCTTGAACATAAATAGATTCTAAAGTATTCATTTTTCTTCTAGAATATACTTAGCCAAATCTTCCTCTTTTGAGGTATATATTAGGAATAGATTCAAGAATAGGTGGTTTGATGGGAGCTATAGTGAGGTTTGGTAATGAATAAATAGTGGGAAGTAAAAAAATTAATTCTGAATCATCTAACATTTGAATCTTATCATGATGATTTGATGTGTTATATAGTATATTCCTTTTCATTGAAGGTAACATTTATTGAGATGAAAATTTAATTTGTTCGAGGAGAATAGCAATGATCTCCTTCCATGTTTGAGAATATCCTACAAAAATATATTTTAGAGCTCTAGGATCTAATTTGTTTATATGTTATTCATAAATATAAACAAATGTGGTACAACAAAATATTTTAGGTATGAGGTTTGTTTTCAATAAAATATGAGGATAAAAGAAAGATACTATACCAACTAGACTTTTAAAATTCAAAGATTTAGTTGGCAGACAATTTATTAGGTGGGCAACCATAAGAACTCCCTCACCCCAAAAATATTTTGATATGTTCTTTTGAATAATGAGAGCTTTTGTCATCCCCAACAAATGACTATTTTTCTATTCAATCACCCCATTTTGTTAGGGTGTATACACACATGATCATTCGTGTACTATACCTTCTTTTTGGAAGTAAGAAGTTAAGGTATGATTGAAGTAATCTTTAGCATTATCAGATCTAAACCATTAAATTATTGTCTCAAACTAAGTTTTTATTAAAGAAAATAATTGTATAAGTGTCATACTTATGTCAAATTTATTTTATAAGCAAATAAATCCACATCATCCTCATGTAGTCATTAATAAAGGTGATAAACCATCTAGCTACACTTGTGCTAGGTGCTGGTGTAGGCCCCATACAATTGCTATGAGCAGAAAAAAAAAGTATTGAATACTTCATATTATTTTTAAGAAAAGGTATTTTAAAATATTTGACAAATTCACATACTTCACATTTGAATTCAGAGGTATTTAGGTAGTGAAACAAAAAAGGAAACAAACTCTTTAGAACAAAAAATGAGAGATATCCTAATCTTTGATGTTGAAGTCAATTTTTTTCACTGTTTGACAGGTCAAGGTTCTTGAGAATGTTGTTTTGAGCTGCTACAATGTTTGATTGGCTTGGAAGCTCTAGATAATAGAGTCCACTCCATTCTCTAGCATGTTCAATCATCCTCTTAGACATCTTGTCAAAAAATAGACAAGTAATAAGATCAAACACAACATTACTTAGGTCTTGTGTGAGTTTGCTAATAGAAATTAGGTTGGTGGTCAACATAGGAACATGAGGTAAAATTTTCAAAGCAATATAAGGTGATAGGCAAATGTTTCCTATCCTAGTAATTGTGATTGAGGAGCCAACAGCTATGGTAGTTTTTCTGTTGCTTGGATATGTGGAGCATATGAGTTAAATAAATGAGAGTCATAGGTCATATGTTATGTGACTCTTGAATCAACGATCTAAGGTGAAGATTTACTATTTGCTGAGGCACTCAACCCAATAATGTTGAAGACTTAAATAGTTAAGTGAACACAGCTTGTAATAATTGGGCTTGTGGAACTTCTTCTATGGCAGTTGAAGTATTACTTCCCCTTATTAGACAATAGATATATGTGCTTGATTTTTACTCTTTTGTTGTCTCTTTTTTTGTGCCTATTCATAACTTTAAGGCCTTCTATGTAATTTATAACACTTGTTAATTGTGTGCCTCACTTTATTGCAATATGTACACCATAATTTATCTCTAAAATCATTGCTAGAAGTCCTTTCTTGTCCTAAAGTTTACCCCTTGTTGTAATATTATTATTGTCATAATATTTTCCATTTCTAGCCATAAATGCTGATCTTTTTTTATTCTAAGAATCAAGCATTAAGTTCTATTGACTTTCTTCTCCTCTCATCAAGGAGATTATTTCATTGATAGGAGGTAATTTCTCTCCTACTATGATCTAAATTCTGACTTAATCATATTCAAGAGTTCAATCCCATAAGATATTCATAGGTTCTATCTCTTTCTATTTCATCTCTATACAAAGCTACATCAAATGGATTTCTCACATCAGTAATTTTATATTGATCAAATTCTTGCCATAATGTTCTTTACTTTATGAATGTATTCTATCACTAATTTTTTCTCTTGCCTCATAGTCGTTATCTTTAACTTTAATTCATAAAGTTGTGCAGCACCTCTTGCTCTTGAATAAGTTTGATATAAATTTTCTTATCTTGCTCTAGCTGTAGGAAGATACAAACATATTTTATGGATCTTAGGAATCATGGTTGTCCACATCGAAGCTATGATTCTTGAGTTTTTTTGGTCCCAAGCTTTAAATCCTAGATCTTCAGCATTCAAGCTTGAATGAGCTAAATGATTTACCATTCCTTGTCATTTAAGAACAACTTAAACTTGCTAAGACCATTTAGAGTAATTTCTACCATCTAAATGATTTGTTTATGGTATAATTGGCAAATCTCCGTAGATCAGATTAGGTTCCACCCTCATAGATTGGGATTGTTCTTGTTCTGCCATAGAAGTCACTTCAAACATTTTTGAGAATTCAAGAATTAAATATGTTTGTTTTAGAAAGGAGTTAATCTATAGATCAAAACATAAACTCATAGTTCTTGTTATGTAGATCAATAACACTAGACTCTTACCTAGATAGTGTAGAATCAGCAAACAACTAGTGAAAAAAGATCAAATGAGTCTGAAGTGATCACAACTGTGCACTAAAAACTATTAGAAATAGTGTTGGACTTTGATCATCTCTGAACACCTCCTTTCCTTCTTATATACACCAGCAGTGAACACAAGAGAGAGACACGAAAAAGAAGAAGGCCAAACCCCTAAATTTTATCTCACCCAAATGCTTACATACTGTTATGAAATGAGAGAGGGTAAACCGGATTGGTTCAATTTGAACCGTTCAGTCTATTGTTTCGTTATAAGGTATGATGGACAGGAACATAAAGGACAAAACAGTAAATAAAAAAAATATTTATAACAAAAACCTAAAAAATGAAAGTTCATCCCCTTTGTACCCTCTAACTAGTTGGGGATCTGAAGAGCAACCTGCCATGAAAACCCCATGAAACAATCAGATAAATGCAGAAACTACTAGTCCAGGTTAGATGCAGGAAAATCTTCAACTTACCTTCCACCTCTGTTGAATCAGTTGACCACTGCATCTTTGAATGTTGAATATCTAGAAGAGAGAGTGAGAGAAAGATAGAACAGCCGAGATGGCAAGGATCGCAAATTCTGTCGGGTTAATTCTGTCGCGAATTCCACCAGTTCAGGTGCCGAGAGACAGCACCGGTGCTGCCATGAACACCACCCCACCATCGCAGGAAAGGCAGCAGTATTTTTTGAATCCGGGAGAGGCCCATTAACACACCTTAGATGACTGAAAATACCCTTTTTTCGTATTTCATGACCATCCAAAATAACCAAGAATAGAAAGAAATTATCCTCCGATATCCATTTCAAGAACACACTTGGACCCAAAAAAAAAAAAGTTTTTTTTTCTGATAAAGCACTGAGGATCAAACAAAGGGTTGAAGCCGGATGGGGGTGAGAATTGTTCATACATATGTAAAGGCTGCTCTTCTTAATTTAGGGAGTTTATTAATTGACAAACTCTTCAGAGAACTTCTACAGCTGCCAGAGAACAGCCATCTCAGGCTGATATATCCTTGCCGAACAGCTCAGTAATCCCCTTTGTTGGATCGTCCTGTTTCACCAGGGACTCTCCGACCAAAACCTGCCCAGGACAGGATTAGTCGATGAAAATGATAGTAATTTCCTCAAATGGCAGGAAAAACCAGGTGTGGGTTTGGTTGCAAATGTTCATGAACATGTAATATGATCGGAGGATTCATCAGCATATTCTAGGGGAAATAAGAGGGCCTCACCGCTCTGACTCCAGCTTCTTGAACACTGGCAATGTCTTGAGGGGTGAACAGCCCGGATTCTCCCACCATCTAAAAACCATCAAGAACAGAGCGCGTTCATTCATGAATAAGCTTGTACGCAAGTCCAAATGAATTATATGATTTTAATATTAGCCACACGAAAAAAGCAATTATTCACATCATGCTTGTCGTGCAAGATGAAATGGCCATAATGTCTATTTTTGGCAAAATCTGGCGACAAGCCCACAAGGTCCTCAGGAAAAAGGAAGATTCACAGTAATAGAGCGCATATATCCATGAATGGAGGAGCAGAAACAGAAAAGAAAATTGAGAATTACCACTACCAACCCTAAAATTTTCGAAATGGGTCATTTCCAAATGTGATCAATATTATTTTCTAACGGGCATTTAAGAACTATCTGTCCACATCACTCCTGTCAGAAAGAGAAATGGGTGAAATATGTCTCTGGCTGACCCAGCCAGAGGCAATAACGTTCTCATGGAAATGGAAAACTTACAAGGAGATGGATATCATTCTTATCAAATTCACGTAGAAAAGAAACTACCAATTTCATTTAGGTTAATGTAGTGCTCGGAAGGTGACAGGAAACTACTCACAATTATATCTCTCTGGCGTATAATTTCACCACGTTCTCCTTCGAGGAGCTTCTTTGTGATGGAGATGTCAACTTCGAATGTTTCTGCACAGAGCCCAGATAGAGATGCTCGAAGTGTTCAGCAGGGGTGGAAAACAATTAGAAAATTGAATGCAGGTCTATTCAACATAGGTGCAAAATGGAAAAATAATGGTCTAATTGAGATGTGCAGCATGAGATTGAAATATTTTTCTGAGCAGGATGCTTTTCCTTAATTGTATTGAAATGAAGTGGGTTGCACAAGAGCTCTCCGTCTCTTACAAGACTCCCCCCATCTCTTTTGAGAATCTCAAAATGAAGAGTAAGAGAGACTTTTTATAAAACTTTAATCATAAAAAAATTATCTGAAAACCGTGCAGCCTTGATTTCTCCCATTTCAGAATCCTTTTGGAGTTTCACACACACAACTGGGGAAAAATCTGAGCCGGCAACCATCAAGCCATTAAACTTTTGAATGGATGTAATTTTCCCTTTGAATTATCTTTTACCGACTTCTTGTTTAAAGGCTTTATGCCTCGTAGCATGTTCTACAAGGAAGACAGATCTTGGTTGTGTTAGAGAGGACGCAGGGTAGGGCTGGTTTTTCGTTTTCCTTCCGTCTTTCTATTGGAGGGATTTTATTCTACCGATCACTATGACTCCCATGAAAACCCTAAATGGGCAGTACCCCATTTGGCAGTGTTAATATGAATCTATTTAAGTAGGGAATCACAAAAGGCAGCTGAAAAGCAAGACGCCATGCAAATCCATTTCACCAAAAGTTATGCAGCATCTTACCCAAGTTCCGATTGTTGATGCCAATGAGTTCAACTCCACTGATGCCCAGAACACGATCCAGCTCTCTTTCATTATGAACCTTGAAATGGTTAGCCATAAAACCATTCATTAGCAACCAAAAGTAGAAACCCATTCTCACTTAAACTTCAAAAAGTATTGTCAAATTGAAGTTCGAATCAAGCAAAATAGAGAGAACCATGAACATCTGGACTATATTTGGCTCAAAATCGCCAGTTCCAATGCATGCGGTGGGTCATATTCTAGGGGAAAGCACAAGGCATAATTTTTTTTCTAATGTGGAAACCAGACTCCAAAACCAGGTGTAAATAATCACCAAAACAGTGGGAGAAAAATAAAGATCATCTTAGTAAACCTCAACAAGCGCAGCCAAGCCGAGAATTTTGCAAATCTGAGTCATATATTTGATGTCTAGGTCAGGTAGGACAGCAGCAATTAAGAGAACTGCGTCAGCTCCTTTGACTCGGGCGTAGTATAGTTGCCAGGCATCTATAATGAACTCTTTGCACAGGAGTGGGCACTGAAAAGTTCTCATCAAGTTAGTATCTGGACAGGCAAAATTTATTAACACTGGAAATGGTATGCATGAAGGAAAACCACGTCATAGAGCAGACCTGGACTCCTGCATTGCGTATAGCCTCTAAGTTTTCAAAGCTTCCCTGATGAGCAACGAAAGAAAGAAAAGTTATAAGAGAAATATCAAAATCTCAAGCATGTTGACAAGAAGAGCATCTAGTCACCTGAAAGAACTTCTCATCGGTCAAAACACTGAGACAAGCTGCTCCACCTGCCTCATAGGCTTTGGCTATCCGAACCTATAATGAAATTGGTCATTAGTTAGAAAAACTATTCTTCAATAAACTATTTCAGCCCAGTATTGATATATCGGGTTGATTTTACTACATCTAGTGAGAATACAGAAAATATATAATACAGTCACGAATGGCAGAACTGTTGTAACTGCTTTTGTGTTCCTATTATGAGCTTCTGATGTATGTTCATGATTTTTCATCAGGGTAACTATTAAGAAACAGTCAGCCAATTACCTAACCGGAGGTCAAATGCAATAAACCACCTGCACTCTGATCATCCATTGATCTTCAACAGAAACAGCTGATACGGCACAATGTTTACACCTTGGTCATAAAACAAGTCACCATTATTTCATCTCCTCTTTCATTCAGATGGTCAGTTCAAGTTTAACAGTTTTACCAAACATAGGAAGTATTCCTTGCCATCTAATTTTAGGGAACCTCCTTGGAGTTGATTCTAGTGTACTGAAGAAAATTCTAGAGAGAAAAGATGATCTGCTAGAGGTAAAGCTTTAAACCCAGATTTGAGGATCTCTTGGGTCTACTTTATGAGGAATTTGTTACCAATGTAAGCAAATATATCGACTTTATTATTTACGAGTCCCATCTCTCAATTCTCACAGAATCATGAACAGCAACAAGAGCTGGCCATAACACCATAAATGGCTCGTATGTAGTTGTTGCCAGACAGCAGACTGCTTGCAACATGGCAACAACTGGGGATCTGTAGGTGACTAATCTTGATGCAGAGAAGATCAAGGGATGGACGATGTTAGTGAGATTCTCAGGATAGCGGATGGTGAACCAATGCACTGGGGAATCTTAGCCAAGGTCAAGGGAACACGTAGTACTCAACGGGTGTGGGTTGTGTTTCAATGTTCCGGCTCTTTCATCAGCGAATCTGTCTTCCACCGTGTATTGTCCACATTGTACATCCTAAAGCAAAAGACTAACTACCGATTAAAAGAATGAATAATGTACTAAATCAGACAAATCCTATGAAAAGATAGAAATTACAACCGACTCCTGAAGTTGATTACATGGTAGTCTGTTCAACGCAACTCATTGTGTTGGGCATATGCATGGAACTTTCTGTATTATTAAATTAAGCTAATATCCCATCACCATCATTGAGAATCATCCATTTGAATAGGCAAATATCCTCTAGCCAATTTTGACGAGTGCAGTAAACTTTTAAGGTGTGTGATCTTAATTCAGATGCTAGATTTAGAATGTTTGGGAAATTAACAGGTCATGTTATAGCAAGTACAGGTAAAGCTGATTCAATCCCAACAGAAAACTGCCAGTTGCTCCTTTCTTGAAACGTGATCCTTGAGCATTTACCTCTGTGAATCCCGCTATTTAACAAGGTTGTGCTGTTGAAACCCTTAAAGTATGGTTAACATAGAGCACAATACAAAAACTGAGTTGATGAAGTAGACACAAAGATCCAGATGCTACTAAGAGGGTACAGCCTACCACAATTTTGGCAGGGTGTGAATAGAGAATGAGAGTGATGTTTTGGAATATTCGAGACAACAGGTATCATTATTCGATACAACTGGTTCGTTTTGATCCAACTACATTGCAGGTAAGAAAGTTAAAGTAGAAGTCCTCGGTAGAGTTTTTAGATTAGTGGGTTTTTTTTCCTGGTGTCCTACATCATCAAATAAAAAACATATGAACATCACAGAAAATTTATCAAAAAAAAAATTAATATGCAGCATACACACATCCAACTTTTAAGAAACAACTGAAAGAGGAATCATTGATCGAAGTCCAAATGAAATGGAAAAGAAGTGGGATCCTTACAGGATCAAAGTCCTCCCTCAACACTCCTCTACTTGGTGATGCCTTCTTAACTTCAGCTATCAATGCAGGCATATTGGTTCTTGTATAAGATTGCCTTAAAGCACCAATGAAATCTCGAGTAGGAGGAGCATAGTCAATAAAATTTTTCAGTGCAACAAGGGGCTTCTTCTGTTTTAACTGAAAAGACAAGGAGAGTGTATCGGTACATGCACCAACTTGCAGTAATAATTTAGCTAGTCAATCAGTAGGAATCACGTATGACCTGTTTAACTTCCACGTCCTTGTTCCATACTATCTTCTCTAGGATATTTCGTGGAGTATTTCCTTCATTTTCCAAACGAAACTCAAAGGGACCGACATAGTGATGAGGAGGGCCCGTAAGAGGTCGGCGCCTGATTGTGATGCCCTGACGTGCTGCTATATCGTTGTATGAATACCCACTTTCCCATTGACTGACTTCGACAGAATTTGCAAGGGAATCACCAAAAACTGGAGAGGATTTTTCCTCAGAATCAGACTGCAAAAGCAAATGAAAAATATAGAAGTTAATAAAAACATGAAATTTCGTAATGTAGGAGTTATTGGATCAGGCAGAAAAAGCAAAAAAAGATGTACATTTCATCAGATTCTGGCATTTCATGCTAAAGATTTCTGAGTATCTCACTTACAATGCAAATAAACTAAAGTCAAAAACAGTCAGACAATATTAAGGAAAAAGGGCAGTTTTAAGTAAAGTTTTATGTTCTTTTCCATAATTCACATGGCAGTTCGGAAAGTTAATAAATAAAATAATTTTTTCGTACTAATCATTATGTCCACAAATGTGGGAACCAATTGTTCAGAAATCCCTCTAAATTAAAGTCCTCTAAGAAAATAAAATTTTATTACTCAAGCATGGGGAACTTTAGTTTCATGTTCGTTCAGAAATAGACATCAAATATTTCGGAATTTCAGGTGTTATAAACCAAGAGAAGCAGCAAGGAAACCCTAGATAGGTGTCATTGTCCGACTTATCCGACATCAAATTGTAAAAATGCAATCCGGCTATCACGGTTTAGCCGCCATTTCATCCAGCAGGCTGCAGAGCTCGAAAATATTACTTATAGATTATATAGATTAGAATTCATGCCGGATAACGGAATGAATCATCAACAAAGAAGGCCCATCTACCTGAACTTCGTCTAACCAGTATTTTTCCGAGTCCTATATATCTAACTATCGTCAGTCTACCCCAAAGGAAAAGGTCAATATGAATCCACAAGGAAATAAAATATCCTTCCATATCTTCCTTCGGATACAAAAATTTAAAATGAACTATGCGACATCGAAGAATTGAAAAACTCCGAACACTTTACGGAATCGCAATAGCACAGGGACCAGAAAAAACAGCCGAGCACAGAGTACGGCAACCAAGGGAGATTTCGGAAACCTTCTGAGCTCTAACAGAACCAGGCTTCCAGGCATCCCCCATAGGGCTCTTCGGCCGCCAGTCCCCTGCGCGGAGGTTCACCCTCCGCCACCGGAGCCCGGAGTTCGCAGCGGGGAAAGGAGCGCCCAACCTGTTCACCGTCGTCGCAAGGCCAGCTCCTTCCATCGCTCTTCCCACAGAGCAATCCGATCGCCTCCGTCCCTGCGATCTCCAATCACTGCGTCCGATGGAGATAGCAAGCGAGCGGGGAAATGAGATGGATTAGACCGTTGAACAGATGTTTCTAGTCTGCGGTGAATACATGGCCGCCAAATGACACGGTCCTAAATATTTACGTCCCCAGAGACGTCGAGTTTGACCAGAGACGAGCACGGCTCCGCTCACTTAAACGTCGGGCCAGGCCGAGCGGTGGATAGGGGTTGTTCGGGCTCGGCCCACCCCTAGGGAACGAGGAAGCTGAAGTGAAAATTCTACTTGGCTTTTGGGCCTCATGCCTCGGGCTTCGAGCCCGCTTCGGTGCTCAGGTAGCTAAAGAGATCCCCCGGGGGCCCGCGTTCCACCAACCCATGGGCCCGACTACAATTTTCTAATTTCAATTTGGTCGGAGGCTTATGAAAAATAAAATCATATCTCGGGGCCGTTCAAGACTAAGCCCGGGGTTTATCCACCCCGGTCAACGATGAAGCATCTAGTCAACCAATGAATGGGAGTGGGCATGTTCTCTACGTTCCCCTTAAAAAATTCAACTAGCTGTTGACTCCAATGGGATCCGGATTCACCAACGGTGACCGTTTGAAACAAGGAGTATTTTCTGGCGTTTTTTTTTACGAAAAAGCCCGCCTTGAGAGGTCAACGCTACCCATGAATGGAAAATAGCCATACATTATTTGAATCTAATCATGCGTTGGCACAATTTAATTTTATTTATTTAATAATTTTTGGTGGCGGTCTCACTTGAGGATAGAACACCAAGCTATCATTGAGCAGTATTGTCCATTTAATGATAATAATTATAAATGTCGGATAAGAATTATTAAATCATTAAAACCGTTTAATGCCGCCATGGGCAGGGCAGATAGATTCTTCAAAGGAAATTTTGTTGAAGATACTAAATCAATCTAATATGTTAACAAATTATATTGCATAAAAATTCAATCTTGAATGGAACATAGAACACCGCCGTTAATCCTTGTGTGAGGGAGGAATCTGGGGTTGGGAACGAATGCGCCGATGATCTTTCGCACTGGTGGAGGCGAATCTTTCTTGCTTGCTTTCCTTCTCCGTCCTGAACCGGGGCTTTTCTTCCTGTTTACTCACTCTCTGTCTCTGTCTCTCTCCTCCACCCGACCAGGATAATGGTGCTGGTATCTTTCAGCTGCAACCTCACCTCCTGCAACTTCCCATCTCTGCCCTGCGTCCGGAGATCGAAGCTCGGAAACCCTAGAGGGCCATCTCATCCCCATTACAGCAACCGACTGTCCCTTCGGAGGACCTTTCCCTGCCTGAATTCTGGGCACTTGGGGCCCTTCTCCCAGGCTGGAGGAACTCGTTTCCTCCTGCATCGCCGGAATTTCTCCGAGGGCGAGAGCTCGGAAGAAGGGAGCCGAGAAGACGAAGCGACGGCCCCAGAGGTGGATGGGGGAAGCGGGGATGGGGAGGAAGACTGGACGACTTCCGTGCTTCTGTTTGCGCTTTGGGCCGCGCTCGTATACTACGTCGCACAGCTCGCACCAGACCAGACGCCTGTAAGAACTCTGTTAGCTTCATCCTCTAGAGAAATTCGCCATTTCCATCTCCGAAATCTGCTTCCTGCATCGTTTCATCTCCCCCGGCTATGCATCTATACCGTGAAATCCATCCCGAGAGGCCTAGACATCGATTGACTCGCTGGATCTTCATTTGATTCATGAGAAGACTAGAAGCTCGGCGGTCGCTACTAGCTCCTGGATTGACATTCTGTTTTCTGCAGTCCAGGGATATGTATTTCTTGCAGAAGCTGCTTACTCTGAAAGGAGATGACGGCTTCCGGATGAACCAAGTGCTTGTGGCTTTATGGTACGTCATGGGCTTGTGGCCCATGGTTTACAGCATGCTGCTGCTTCCAACCGGCAGAAGGTGACGAATTAACCCCAATCTTCCTAAACTGTATTACTTTTTCTCCTTTATCGGGCAATGAGAGAGCTCCCATTAGTAGTCATCGCCATAGTTTTCAGAATTTATTTTCTTTATTCATTGATAAGTGTCCTTCAATATGCCCGATTTATGTTATGAAAAATGTCATTAAAAATCGATTTTTTTAATCTCCATTTGTCTACATTAAGGCATTAGATGCATATGATGCTGCATATAAAACAATGTTCGAACGTAATATTTTGAGGAATAGAAAGCATGCTCTGTACAAAGTGGCACATGAAAATCGGCTGAAGATGATCGGGGTCCTTTAATGATCATGGCACCAAACTTATGGCCAGTATGAATTATCCATCATCAGGGAGAGATCAAGTATCATTGAAATGACTTCTCTCCAAATGAATTTATCCCAAGATGTTTTGATATTGGAGGTTTTACCTTTTCCTCGGAAGAGAAAAGCATCTGCTGAAAGACCACTGCCTTCAAATTGTTGGGTTTCAATAGTTCTCATCAATTTGAAATCATTTGATATGAACTTCGTATGGTCTTTTGATGCAATATCCTACCCACCCTGAACGCTTAGCTCAATTTTTTGACAATCTTTCATGGAGATTTGTGGGTCCAATGGTGGGAAGTTTTTTAACCCGGAGAAAGGGCCCGAAGTTATTGTTCTACTGTGATAACGATGCCATAGTGCAAATCTGATCAAATCGGGAAGTATTTCAATGCAGCTCACGGAGCAGAGTTCCTGTGTGGCCTTTCCTCCTAGTTTCGTTCTTTGTTGGGGCGTATGGTTTGATCCCATACTTTGTTCTTTGGAAGCCGCCAACTCCCCCTGTCGAGGAAGAAGAAACGAGGCGTTGGCCACTGAATTTCCTTGAATCAAAGATAACTGCAGCGGTGAGAAATCGATCATTCTTGCCATGAATTTTTCTTGACAAAACTATTCGATGGACCACCGTTTTTACATAGAATCGATATTTATTCTTAATTACTGTGGATTAATTAACTATCCTCCAGTTGATAGGCTAATGTTCTCATTTCTGTGAAAATATTGTTGATTTATGTGACATCTTTATTGGCGCACTCTTGAAAAATAATGATTCTAGAGCCCACTGAGATTTGTTTGCGGAGTAGATTCTCAGTGGACCACAGAGGCCTACGAGATGCCAATGCAGATGAGGAATTCTCACTGACGAGCAAAGGGGACTCAGATCCTCACCCCTGCAAATATTTGAATTTTATTTATTTATGTGTAGAATCTCATGCATTCATGAAGCTGATCGTGGAAAATTAACCTGCCACTTGGCATGATGATTTTTCTTGATAGTTTGAAAAAAAAAAAGTTCATTGGACATTGCTAAATGTTTATTGATTGCCTCATTTTTCATATTCAATTGTCAATACATTCAAGTGGGATTATAAAGCTGCTGATATTCAAATTTGAGACATAGATTTATGTGGCTCATATAGGATCGCCTGCTTATTATCTCTGATAATCTCCACACTTTTTGTACATTGGATGCGTAAATAAATGGAAAACCCATTTAAAGTTTCAGTTTTTTTCTCATCAGCTGCATCCTAATTAACCTGACTGGATCCCAGATTGTGACTGCTTCAGGCCTCGGATTAATCACATATGCTGGCCTAGCTTCAGGTGAAGACTGGAAGGAATTCTTCCAGTATTTCAGAGAAAGCAAGTTTGTAAGAGAACTACCCACATAGATCGTTCACTCAATCTCTCACTCTCTCTCTTCTCCTGTACTGGGGAGTAGAAGGACTAGCAATTTTGGTGAAGACATCTTTTTTCTTTTTCTCTGTTGGAAGTACAGGTTCATGTCACCTCCCTTGATTTCTCCCTGCTTTCGGCATTCTCTGCATTCTGGGTGTTCAATGATATGACCGAGAGAAAATGGTAAGTCTTGGCAATCTTAAGTAGCCCACTTGCTTGTTTAAGCTGGTTGGAATGGCAACTGAGGGCTCGCTTTCATCGGCAGGTTTGACAGAGGCTCTTGGCTCTTGCCGGTGACATTGATCCCCTTTGTGGGGCCCGCACTGTACCTTCTGCTTCGGCCCCCACTACCAGTGGCCCCTTCCCAAGCTCCTCCCACCATTGCGGCCAAGGAAGATTAGGGGAGCTCCAGAGTTTCCTCCTCTCTGTGCTCTTTTCGTTAAGGGGCTCCCTTGGGGAGGTGGACCCAAGAGTTTTTTCTAACATCAATCTTGTTGTTATTATTCAATAGATAACGTAGATAATTTTTTTGTTAAATTTTGGAACATACTATAAGGGCCCAAGGGGGGATTAATGTACTCGAGATGCAGGAATTAGCTCAAAGAGCCCAAGCCCAAGTCAACCCCTCAAAGTAATGAATTCAACCAGTAAAAAGGAGTTCATGTCAGACCCATTAAAGGCAATGCAATCCTTCACCAGGGAAGGAGACTCACTGTTGGGGGGTTATCTTGAAAAACCTTTGGTGTTCTAGGGTTGACCATCTGGTGTTACTGTTTTCTAGTTTTATTACTCTAATTTCTGCTTGTCTCTATATGATGATGTTCTCCAACAGAAGACCATTGCTAGGTGCCCAATTGGGGGTCCTAGCATTCTGATATTAGAGACATACATAGAAGCTAGCAAACCAGAGGTTGACAATGAAATTATGCAATCAATTGAGTATATTGAATTTTCACTTACTTGTATGACTAACAAATTTAGAGACATTGAAACTTCAGAGAAAGATGGATAATGTGGAGGTAATCATCTTGGTGAATAGTGGTGTAACTTATAATTACATTTCTATAGGATTAGTTAAAAAATTATATCTATCACTAGCCCCCATAGCAAACTAAGAAGTCGGCATAACTATGTTGATAAAGGGTATGGAGATTTTACAAGGATTTGATGTTGTAACTTCAGTCAAAATATCCAAAGGTGTCCCTTGTCACTACTAATTTTTCATTTCATTATATTGATTCTACTAGTGAAAAAGAAGTATGGGAGTTGACACTTCTATGTAGACTAATAGGCACTCAATTGAATCATCATTCCTAATCAGTTTCCAATTTCGAATGTCGATGAGCCATTAGATAAACTACAAGGGTCTGCAATATTGTTCAAACTTTATTTGAAATCATGTTACTATCAAATCAAGATAAAAGAGTTTGACATTCTAAATTACCCTTCAAGAAATAATTTCAAGTGATGTTTACAAGTTTCAAGTGATGATGTTTAGATTATCTAATGCCTTGATTACATTCTAATTTTTTATAAACTTAATTTTCTAAGAATTAGTTCATAATTTTCTATTAATGTTATTTGATGATGTTTTAATTTACAACAAGCACCATATAACATATGAAGAACATTTGATACAAGTTCTCACAATGTTACATTACTATTAACATTGTGAGATGAAGACATATAAGCGCCTTCTCCAAGATATCTTAGGGAGTGAGATGGAGAAAATAATTTGTGAGTATGTGGCCCAAAAGAAAACAAGTGCTAAACCTATCTTTAATAGGTTCACTTTAGTCATTGGCAATCTCAAACTAGGTATAGGATGACTTATCAATGGATTTTATTGATGTCTTACAAAAGTTCTCTAATTATAATAGTAACATGATCATTGTAAGTAATTATGCTCATTTTTCATTGTTGAAACATCAATACACAGCCTTTCTAATGGTGATGTTTTCCTTTGTGAGAGAATTCAATTTAATGACATACCACTCTCTATAGTCTCAATTAGGGACCACATCTTCTTCAATTTATTCTGGAGATAGATCTTTTAATTACAAAAGAACTAAGCTCCACCACAATATTGCATATCGACTACAATCTAACAACCAATGGACATGATAAACGACCACTTAGAAATTTATCTTCATTGTTTTCAGGTGAGCAATTGTAATAGTGGAGTAAATGGCTACCTTGGGTAAAAACATCAGTACAATATGACCATTCATGCCTCTATTAGTTTTAACTCTTTCAAAATCTCATATGACAAGAACCCTTCTTCATTGATCAGGTTTAACATTTGAGAGAAGGTAGTCACAAATCTAGTTCAGTAGTTAAGGGACTGCAATAATATTCTCATATAATTAAAATAATATTTTCTATGAGCATATGCTCAAATGAAATCACAAGTAAATAATAAGTGTCATGTGGTACATGATGTAGTGGACAAATGGGTCTATCTGAAGATTCATTCGTATCAAGTACAATCTCTCACACATTGACCTAATGAAAAGCTAGCTCCACAATTCTTTGAACCATGTCGTATCCTAAAGTGCATTGGCCTAGTAGGTTATTATCTACAACAGTCCCTAATGGTCAAAATTTACCTTATTTTTCATGTATTATATATCTAAAAGACAATTAGAGTAGCAAACCACAACCTCCTACTTCCATAGTAGTTGCATGCCAACCTCAATTAAAACATCAACCCTCAATAGATCTTGGATGTACACTTTATTATGAAAGGAAGTGAAGTCTTGGTCTTATGAGATCACCTTTCGGAAGAAGAAGCCACATGGGGGTCAATTCCAATCTTATAATAATAATTCTCAGGATTTCACATTGGAGACAAGGGGATTGTGGTGGCAGGGGGTAATGTTGGGACCCAAGGAGGCCTAACATACTTGAGATGTAGGAAGGAGCCAAATAGCCCAAGTCAAATCCTCAAAGTAATAAATCTAACTAGTCATGACAGGCCTATTAAAGGCAAAGTAGTATTTTGCCTAAGGAAGAGATTCACTTAGAAGTCAAGAGATACTTTGGGGGGAGGGAGAAAAATCTAGGGTTTCAACTAGAGAGAGTTGGGAGTCATCTCTGAATAACTCTAGTGTTCTAGGGTTTTTACCACTTGTTGTTACTATTTTTTGGTTTTATTACTCCGATTTCTATTTGTCTCTATTTTATTATGTCTCTAATAGAAGGCAACTACTAGATATCCAATTAGTGGGTCCTAATACATACCATTCATTAACAGGTATGTTGATGGGCTGGGGACAAGGTTTGAATTTAGCATGGTTCTTTTTTATTCAAGGAGAAAAAACCTTAATTATTTTTTTATTTATAGTTTTTTGAATTTTTATTGACCCAAAAGTGTTTAACTTTTAATTCCTAAAAATTCTCATCAATTTGGATGTAGTCCTCTGATTAATCTTTTATGAAATTAGTAATAACACAACTCTATGTTGATTGTTGTTCTAATGATAGAGGATTTGGTTGGAGAGAGAAAGAAGGGAAAGACAAAGACAAATAGAATTCTATTTCTCTAGGATAAATAGAGGGGAAGAGAAAAGTGGGAGAGAAGAGGGTATTTTATTTTTTAAAGGCTGTTATGAACTTCTAAATGTCAGATAACCACCACACATTAGCAGGTTCTGATTAAGGTAATTATAATTAAATCTTCCTTACCATGAACTTTCTTATGAACAGTTGTTGATGAAAAGTATGTGATTAATCAATAATAATAAGCTAAGTTTAAGGGACCTAAGCATGAATTAGCTCAAAAAAAAAATGAGTCTAGTGTAGTCTATTCTCTGTCCCCTATGCCCATAGAGATGGGTAATGTGCAAGGTATAGAGTTTATTACCCACGTACCCACTTCTCTCTCTCCCTCTCTCTCTCTCTCTCTCTCTCTCTCTCTCTCTCTCTCTCTCTCTCCAAGATACGGTCAAAGGTCGATGTTCAAGAGTAGTTTTAGTTAGCCACTTTTATGGGTTTTGCTTTGGGTCAAATCCCAGTAAAAGGTCCAATAACGGCTCAATTACGACTGGTCCAATAACATCCCCAACGCTTATCGGGCCAGCTCCCGAATCTCCCCTCAATCTCGTGGTTTAGATGCGTTGCAGAGGAATATTCCACCGTGACGTACGCCGTACGTAGGGTCACGGTGGTCGGCGACGTTAACTCCCATCTTGATATGCTAACAAGGGCTTGGTCGTGACTGCGTCGAACACAGTCGGTAAGCAAACCCGCGGGTCACGGGCACCGTCTGCTGCGGCGAATACTCAGCAGACGACAAGGGTTTTCAAACCATGGCGGATGGTGGTTGACGGTACGCTTCGTCTCGGTGCGAGGTGATATGTTCCTAGCGGGCAGCATCGTCATAGTACGACGAATAATCAAGGTGAACGTATTTGATGACGTGGCAGACAGGTGCCCAGCGCAAATCTCGAGGAAATAAATGGGAAATAATTAAAATTTAAGTTATCCCACGCCCGCCAAAAAAGATTTTTCCTTTCTCTGGACCGTTTGATTTGATTCCAATCAAGCAGCCCGCTACTCATTTGCATCGGCTTCTGGTTCTTCCACTCTCCCCCAAGGGGGAATTTTTCCTGGTTGACCTCTTGGCTGGTCGGACGACTAGGATTCGTGGCAGGAGTGAGTGAGTACTTTGAGCAGCTTTTCCGGGTGCTAGGGTTTGTGCTCATCTCGTACTGCTTACTTGACTGAATCGATCCATCAGTTCCTTTTTTTTCTTCCGTTGGTTGCCTGATTTCCTCGTCTTAGAGCAAAATGCGGCCCTGCCGTCTGATTCTATAGCGGAGATGCATTGCGTAGTGGAGATGCTTGCAATTCATTTCCTCTGCAATGGTATCTGCTCTGGGAGAGATTAGTTGCCGAGCATTTTTGTTATGCGGTCCGGTTGTCCGCTACAATGTTTAGCCGACATTGAATGCTGTTTACGACTAAGCATCATCATATTAACTTCTACTGTTGCTCACTCTGTCCGAAAAAAGTTGACTGTTATGCATTGAGAAGCGTTCATGACTGCGGTATACTGGCACTACATGCTCAATGTTCAATATGTTTTGTTGCTCAAGTTAGTCCTCAATTTCTGGGACTGGCATTTTATCTTTCTATTGAAATTCAAATAGATGCTGATTATGGTTGGCGAAGAAATTACTCTCTGTTTCATGGTACAGCTAACTGGTGTGATTGTTAGTTCCAGCTTGTAGTTAGAGAGGTGGTAAATTGATGGATCTAACCTGTTAACACACGTTACCTGAAGATATTCATGCCGACAGATGGGGTGTTTGGCAAGTGTTAGACTGATTGCATGAATTATTTAAGCTTAATGAAAGTATCTATTTTCACAGTGACGTACACGTGCTTAGTATCTAATTTTTTTGCTCATACTTATTTTTCACGAACCTCTATGGAGATGAAGTCGGGGCTGATACGTGAGATATGAAGGGAATAGTATGTCAAGTGTTCATAGAGAATAACTCAAGGGACAGTTTTACAAATAGTTAATCTGACTCTAATACAGAACGCTTATTCAGAGGTATATTTCTGATGTACTTGGAAATCATGATGCAGACCTCCCATATCTGTTTTTTGCACGTCTTCTTCATTTCTATGCTAACAGTAAGTTTCTATATATAAAAACATCTGCAGAAGCAATGAAAGCAACTTAGAGAAGCACTTGTACTCATGTCGGTGATTGACATGATGCTTGCTGTTACGTGATATTTTGATATCAAGAAAAGTGATAATTGTGAATCGTCTTTCTTTGCTTCCTCATGCTGTTTACCTGATGAAAATGCGTTTCATTCTTCCTTGTTCTCTCTTGACTCGAGCCATTTTTAAGATCGTTTTCTTTTCGTGGAATTGTTGACCTGGTTGTATGCAACAATTCTATCAAGTTGTAGGATTCCCTTTGTCATCGCATGTCCTTAGTTGCCTCTTTTTATTGCTATTATCTAGTTGCACAAAAAGAAATGCTACCTTTTAAAAAAAAATCTTGGATCAGCTGATTATGCAGCTGAGAATGCTAGCTCAACACTAGAAGCATCAGCATGGGCACAAACACTCGTCAAAATGTTGTTGATTCATCCAAAACTATGGGAGAAGTTGACTCAAGAGTGCCTTTTAAATCTGTTAAAGCTGCCGTCAGCTTGTTTGGTGGGCCATCAGTCTCTCCAGATAAATTCACTGTGGTGAAGCACAATGACCCACCACCTAATGCGGTACATCAGGAACAGGTCAGTTTGGCAAACTTTTTCGGTACATGTATTTGTGCTAATTATCAGCAGCCAAGTCTGTTCCATATCAATGACCAGGGAAAGCTCTGAATAGGAAGAGCAAAGATAATTGTTTACCCTGAAAAGGTTAGGAAACTCATCTGAAGTGTGGGAACGCAGAATATTTTATTCTAAGAAGATACGCATTTAAAGGGAGATAAGTCTTCAGAATTTTCATGAAGACAAACATAATTTTTTTTCTAACTTTATAACTCCTTGCTGGCTCTTTATTTCTTAGCTGTGCGCTACACGATGTGTAGGACTGTGTTTATGAAAGTATAATTTTATCAATCAATCCTTGACTTGTTGCCTAATGATAACGATGGAAGTTCTACACACTTATATAATCCATTGGCTTCTTTTCTAATAGAGAGAACTGGTTAAGGAGGCACAGTTTCACCTGGCCCAGAATGAATTAAACAAGTTCAAAGAAAAATTGAAGAATGCCGAGGCAACAAGAATTCAAGCGCTTGCTGAGCTAGAACAAGCCAAAAGAACCGCCAAAGAGCTGAGTTACAAACTAAAAGCTGTCAGTGAGTCCAATGAATTAGCCCTAAAAGCTTCGGAAATAGCAAAGATGCAAGCCAAACGATATGAAGAAGTAAACTCCAGCGCTTTTCCTAAAAATGATGTCACACGTGAGTCAGATCTTGTAGGAAGACAGCATGTTGCCGCAGTCGATGAGGTTGATGCTATAAAGCAGGTTGTCAGCAGTTTCAAAAAGGACATTCAACCAGCTGAGGATGCCAAGCTCTCTGCCTTACTGCGACAAGCTGAATCCAGAAAGTTTTCTGATGCTAACATGGAGAGGGCAGCTCAGCTTGTGAAGGGGATTGCAGGTTGGCCAGGCTCACTTTCTGACATCAAGCGTGCTTCTCTACGAGCTCATCAGGACAAATCAGTTGTACACTCTGAAAAAGATGTTAAAAGGGTGCCACATGGGGATGGTTCAGAACAGACAATAAATAAATTGTCTACGGTGAAGAAAGAACTCGATCCTGTTTCTGTTGGGAATCTGGGGACGAATTTGACAAAGACTGCTGAAGAGTTTCGAGACTCTAAGAAAGAAAATATCAACCCACCTGCCTTGGATTCTGTCACTACTGTGGCCTCTGGGTTGGATGGTGTGAAGGACGTGTTGCAGAAGATAGCAGAAGAAGAGACGTCCCTCAAAACCATGATGGAGTCACTGTGCTTGGAGCTAGATAATATAAAGAAAGAGAGCCTGAAACTGAAGTTGGAGGAGGCTGAAACTGATGTGGCTGTCTCTGACCTTAACATTAAGCTTCAGAATAGCAAGGCGGAGCTTGAGGCTATCACTTCTGGGGAACCGAAGGCACAGGCGACATGCAATAGCTTGATCTCAACTTTCCAACAGTTAACTTTGGAATCTGAAAATGCAAGGAAGAAATCAGAAACAATGAAAAATACTGCAGATGAGCTGATGAGAGAAGCTGAAACTGTACAAATCAGCCTGAATGAGGCTCAGCAGAAGCTTCAGGTTGCCCTCAAAGACTCTGAGGATGCCAAGGCTGCTGAGGCTGATGCTCTCAATCAGATGAAGGTTCTCTCTAAGAAAGCGCAAACAGCTCGAGTTTCTACGTCAGAGTCTGGGACCACCATCGCTATCCCGATGGAGGAATACGAATGCTTGTGTAGAAAACCGCAAGAGTTTAGAACATTGGCTGAAATGAAGGTGGAAGCTGCATTGGCTGAAGCAGAAGCAATTAGATCCGGTGAGATCGAGGGAATTGCGAGGCTAGAGAGAATTAAGCGAGAGGTGGAAGAGATGAAGCTGGTAACAGAAGAGGCCCTGAAGAGAGTAGAAATGGCAGAGGCTGCAAGGAGAGCTGCGGAAGGAGAGATGAGGAGGTTGCGTGAGAGGGATCAGAGGAGGGCTAACGAAGCAGCATGCCGGATTTTGGTTGAAACACAACTGTCCAAGACTCCGTCACCACCAAGGACTAGAGTACGCAGATCGAACCCGCCAGAAAAGAAGGAAAGATCCTGGAACTCTGGGAAAACTTCATCGAAGCAGATAACACTTTTACTGCAAGTCAGTGGGTTTTTCCAGAAGAAGGCCATTCAAGTTGAAAGTGGATCCCTGTCTTATCTTCCGGGTGAGAAACCGTTATGACTACTGCAGCTATTTGCTCGCTGTAATCTTAATCATACTAGGAACAATGTACGCTCTCTTAGTTGTATGATTTCTCTGTATGCTGAAAATTTATATGCCCAGTTGAGAATGATTATGAGTGCAATTCCTTTTCTTTTTTGTAATGGCATGGTCATTCAATTACTTCCCAGTAGGGCATAGAAACAAGAGAGATGACGTGAATTATTTGTGGGGCGCTGACCTTGCTCAGCTCTGACGCATGGTTTTTTAGACCACTTAAAAAAACTTTGATTTACATCAGCTTTTCCAATTTTCATATTTCTAAGGGCAGGAGCAATTGCTACGTATGAAAATGGGACTAGAAAGTGATAAAACCAGAGGGATCCATTGTATGGTCCTTGTGATGCCGGAGGTACGTCCTGCTTGTCCATTAATTTTATTATGTAAATCGATCACTAGAATGACTTTTTCGATGTTTAGAATAATGTTTTGGCAGAAAGTTCCCGTTCGAATGGCATTGGTCGACATGGAGACGGGCTCCTTTCTTGTGCAATGTAAATTAAGATTCGTCTTCCACATTGTAAGTTTCTTCACACAGGGAAACTAGTAGCAAGGTCCAAATACATACATCATTAATATCTAAAATATGTATATGTATATATATAGATATATATATTGATATGACCAACCCCTTGTACATTCCTTCATGTCAAGAGCCTTTTCATAAGCTCCATCCCACCCTAAATTGCTGGAGGAGGAGGCTACAAAAAGAACTACCTCTTCTCGGGGGGAAGATGACGTCAATTGACTGCAAAGGGGTGTGATGAGTTAGGCGTGGAAGACAATCTTCTGATGGTTACTGCCCTCCCAAGGTAAGCAGACTCCCGTTAGTCACTGATTTTGATGGCTTCAATTGAGTGGTTGATCCCATTTTGGTACCCACATTTCTGCAGCTCACATTCGATCGACTGGACAATCTCTGATTCCTCAGTCCCGCTGCCGGGCACATCTACGTGGAAAGATCCTTGTGAAATCGGTGCGACTGGATTTTGCATTAAGGACTGTTCTCTGATGTATGTATAGAGTTGCTGGTGGAAATCATGGTCCAAGGAATAGCAACTCTCAGTTCCTGTGGCCGAGTGACGCGAGGACCCTGATCCTTCTCTCAGGCAGAAATGGGGCAGCGATGAGTAGTCCATCACCTGCAAGGTCAGTACTGATGAGTTCTTTGCCATGAAATAACAGCTGCAGAAGCCCATTTGACTTTTGCTTTGATGGGTATGCATATATGCACCTCTATCTTTCCTGGTAAACATTATAGAACCAACAAGGAAAGAGGAAAATATTATACAACTCTTTTGTCATGCACATGAAACGGCTCTTTCCTTCGTTCTTTTTCCACGAAGGCATGCTGGAAGACTATTTTCAATGCTGTCATTTTGGGTTATTCTTGAACGGTTCCGAGGTGTTTTTGGACCCTTTTTGGGTTATTCTTGCATTTATTATGCCATAATTTTAATTATTACCGGATCCAAGCTTTCAAATATTCAACTTCTTTTGTCTAAATATCAGCTCCCCATTTTATGGCGCATAACTGCATCTTTTGTTGATAGTTGATAACCCGTTTAGCTGCTGAAAAACTCTGGGCTCATACCACAATGCAAACATGGATTTTCCTTACTCATCCTCCTCTGTGTGTGTGCCAGAGAGAGAAAGAGGAGAGAGAGAGAGAGAGCATTTATGAGATGTATGGACTTACTTTTAACAACTCATCTCGGCCGCAACCTTGAAGAACTTGGATCTTTCTTCTAGTCCTTTCTTGCAACAAAGGCTTTACAACCTGCCAATTGTTTTGGGAAAAAAATCCACCTCAGCCCACCAATTAAGTTGCCAAAGAGGCGGCGATAGAAGCACGAGTCGTTATGACCCTTTATCCCCACCTTCCAGCAGGCTGAAAACACATAGGGCGCATTCACAATATAGTATGTCTCCGTCTTCTCCGGGTAGTTGAGATCATCAACAGTAGATATGATCGTCAGCAGCTGCAATCCCAAGTCCTGTTAGATCTAATCACTTCCCATCATGCAGATGAGTAGATTTTTCCATTAAAAATCATAGCATTCATCATTTTCATGGACTCATCCCACTTTCTTCTGGTGGATTAAACGAAGATAGTAAGTGATGATCTAAGATTGGATGGTATCAGCGTTGTCTAGCGATGTGAATGGGAATGAATTCCCCCCTCTGATTTTCTCTCCCAACCTCTGCACACATCATATAACCAAAAAAGGAATTTTTTGAAGATCACATTGACACATTTTTAGCAGCTTGAAGAACACCAAGAGCCTAGTTTGACTGATCCCCACACCCTTGTGTATCATTTCATGGAACAGATCAGAGCAACCAACATATTCAGCGAGAAATCTCTCAGAAAGATCAGGTGTTCCAATGATACCACAGTGGGTAAACCCTGCAAGAAAAACTGTAAATTTTTCACTTCTTTGGCTGACCTTGATTTGACTCAGAGCTGAAATCCTCAGACCAGTCATGTCCAGGACCTTCAAGCAGGTGCCGACATAGTCCCCTCGTTTCTTTGTGGCTGTGGGCTGGAAGAGGAGAGAGAAGATTCCCTTAAGAGGGTGATTCCAACAAGATGGGTTTAATCACCGGTGGAGAGAGAAACTCACAAACACCACTCGGTCTCGGTACTCGTTGATCTGAATGTGCGACTGCAGGTAATAGTGGACCTGCATTGATGAACTCGTCAGAGATATCGGCGATCCCCTCTCAACCGAGGCAAAACCATGATCACATCAAAAATCTCATCAATGGACCTCTTATTATTTCATTTAATATGTTCTTATAAGCACTTTTAGTATAACCCCGGCACCAATGGCCCAGTGCAATTCTCTCTCTCTCTCTCTCTCTCTCTCTCTCTCTCTCTCTCTCTCTTTCTCTCTCTTTTTATATATATACATTGTTGACAGAAAAATCAGTTCTTTAGGGTGGGTGGGTGGGGGCGTACAGATGCTCTGTCGAATGTGCTTAATCCGGCACCAATGGCAAACACCGGTTGGCCCTGTCAGAAGAAAGATCAAGACAGACTTATTATAGGCAATTTTCCCAGAAGAAGGAAATTACTAAGAAAGGTATAGCCTTGGACAGCATCCGCAGCTCTTTTCAACCATAACTTAGCATTAGCAGTCCAAGGTTGAAATGAACCACTTTATCCACCCAAGAACCAAAAAATTAGAATTAAAATATAAATGGGGGAGGCAGGTGGGCAATCTATTACCTTCTTGGAGTATCCTGACACTCCAACTAGCTGGGTGTCGCGAACAGCTCGGTAGAGATCAGCTGGCGATATTGGTTTCTATAAAGGGGAAGAGAAGCAGAGTCAATGGGGTGCCAGGTCAAACCACGAGCTGTGACCCCAAAGAAGGGAAGTCAAGGCCCCCCCCCAAGGGGGAAGCTTGAGATTATTGTCGATGATCATATCACCCCAGTGAAAAGGACTAGGTGGATATATATCATCGCATAATAATAATTAATACTCACCGCCAGTATGTTATCGATTTCGTTCTCAACCCTCCACCTTAAGCAGTCGACCAGCTGCAAGGGATCAAAGGGTCAGCAGAAAAATGGGCCAAGTCAGCTACCAAACTCAGATTTTTCTTTTTTTTCTTTTTTTGGGGGATTAAAAAAGAGCTCATGCTGACCATATTATGCGCTCTTGGGACGTTCCAATCCCTCGCTTTGAGGAAGCGAACCAGGGTTTCATCTGGGTAGCCTTGATGCACATTCTGCAAAGAAGAAAGGCAGCTCTCACCAACTGAGCTTGGATAGCTTCTCTCTCTCTCTCTCTCTCTCTCTCTCTCTCTCTCTCTCTCTCTTCATGAAAGGGGGGTATTGGCCGAAATAATGATATTAATAATAAAAATAATAAAGATTATCCCTTTATCAGTGGGTTCTAATTCTGAGGTTGGGAATATCCTCACAAGTATAGAATTAGGAAAATAGGATACAATGAGGGGAGATGTTCCCACTGAGATTCTTCATAGTCACTGCTCGGGAATAAATAAGGAAAAAAAAAGGGGATCCTGATCTCCTTGAAAAATATAGTCCTGTCTTTAGACTATATTTCTACCGGAATCTATGAAGAAATGGATGCAGATTAAGCACTGGTTCGGCAGGAGCTGCCAGTCCCAACATGGAAAGAATCAGATCTTAAGGGTTCATCAGAGTTGACATTTCTTACCAGCAGGCCCAAGATTTGATACCCCCCTTGAGCTTCCGACAGAGAGGATCAAGAGAGAGAGAGAGAGAGAGAGAGAGAGAGAGGGAGAGATCCCACTCAAGAACAGGGATGAGATTACCACCCAGATCCGGGGATCCTCACCTTGAAAGTGCGCTGGAAGTCCTCGTCGACTGCCGCAGCGGAAATGGCAAAGGGAAGATCGAGTTAAAAAAAAAGGGGGGTAAAAGAAAGAAGGGCTCCTCTTCTGGGGGAGGAACAGGGCAGGTTTCGTGAGGTGGAGAGTGATCGCTGACCTTTCTCCATGAGAGCTCTGAGCTGCTTGACCGCCTCCAGGGAGCCGGAGCCCATCTCGCCTCCTGACGGCGCCGCCGCTGCGGCGGAGGAGCGCTAGAAGGAAGGGGGTCTGCAATGGAGAGCTCGCCCACTTGGGAATAGCAGGTGGGAGAAGGTTGTGGAGAAGGTCCTTCAATGCCACCCGTCCGCCCCCATCTTTTCAATTGAGGCGGACTGGGGAAATAGAGAAAAGAAGAATGAGATGCCCCATGTATAGTCGATTTTACTCGTGACCCACACTCACCCACGGCGGGAGTGGGGGGGGGGGGGTGGGTGGGATTTGACCGTGGGTGTCCGAACGAGCTGAGTCGCCCGTTGCGCTCCAAGAAGTCAAACTCAGACGGCGGGCAGAGTAAATCGAGGAGGAGGACGGGCGGGCGCCCACCAAGTCAAAGTCAAAGTAAAAGTCCCTCCTTTCCGAGCCCTCTGGGTAGAAATTTCAAGTTCTTGATCTGGAAACGTCGAGGGCAGAGGATGGGGTCAACGGGGGAGCAACTTGGAAATTGCGGGAGGATGTTTATTTTAGAAATCTCGTCCCCCCCGTTTAAAGTCATTGTGAGTAATTATGCAAGGAAGACCAAGCCTTCGCCGTTATAAATAGACGAATCCGACGAGATCTCTGGCTGATGAAGTCAACGGGGGTTAGTCTCTCGGATTCTACCATCCCTCTGATTCCGCCGGTCACCGACGATATAAGTCCCCGAGCAGGCTTCAGGTGACCGGGAGTAGGCTCAGGTCAACGGCGGCGGCGGCCATACGCCGATGGACCCGTTCTTCGCAGGCGGGGGAAGAAGCGGGGAAGTCATCGCCAGAAAAGTGGAAAAAAATCCTGTCACCGGCCGGTCACGTCGGCTCGAATCGACAGGAATCGTATCTTTTTCTCCATAGTCTATTTTTGCGCCGAAATTCCCCGGATCGTCATTGTCATCGTATCGCGTTGACTTTGGAATAGTCTCCGGGCCTCAGTTTCCTCGACTGTAGCGAGAGAGAGAGAGAGAGAAAGAGGGTCTCTCTTTCGTAACTTTCCAGGAAGTTCCGCTTGTGAGGTAAGGAGGTCAAAGCGGGCATTTAGCACGTGTGATTTTGGACTTTTTGAAGTGTCTTGATAGGCGAATATTCGCACAGAAGACGACAAAAAACCATACTTCCTGGAAACTCCCACAAAAGGCACATAAATGGATATTTTGGGCTGTATTCGACGACGCGTAGAGATGAGTGAGACTTTTTTTTGGGCCAGGCCCAATAAACTATCGAGCCGTGGTTCTCATTTGCGCTAGGCCCAATGGGCTTGAACTCCGGGTCACTTAAAATGGGCTGGTCGACAGCCCAATTAGTCGTCGTCGTCCTCCTTCGTCCACGGCGAGAAAATCGACCAGGGCCTTCAGACAAGAAAGATTACTCTCATCCAACTTTCTCCCTCTCCCCCCTCTCTCTCTCTCTCTCTCTCTCTCTCTCTCTCTCTCTCTCTCTCTCTCTCTCTCTCTCTCTCTCTCTCTCGCTCTGACGGGCAACCACGAATGGAGGCGAGGGGGAGGGAGATGATAATCCAGGAACAACAGACAGAACCATCCACCAAAATCCAATATGAACAGGGGAATCAGATAGAGAGAGAGAGAACGACGGGGAGCTCTGATGCAGAGCTCCGATGGTTCTCCTCTAGAAGAAATCGAATTCCAGGTACTTCTCCCCGGCGGGGCCTGGTGCCGTTGGCGGAGGCGCTGCCACCGGCGGGGGTATCTCCACCGGGCGGGGGATCTCCGGCGGGCTGGCGCAGCGGATGAGCGCCCAGTTGACCCCCTCGAAGAACGGATGCTGCTTTATCTCCGTGGCCCCTCGCTTGTAGGCCAGCCGGTGCTGCGGCTCCTTCACCAGCAAGCTCCGGATCAGGTCGCGGGCGGCGAAGCTCACCGCCGGCGGCGCCTCCGGGAAGCGCAGCGGCTGGCCGACGACGTTGAAGAGGGTGGCCCTGTTACCGGAGCCCTTGAATGGCGTCTTCCCGAAGAGGAGCTCGTACAGGAAGATCCCGAAGGTCCACCAGTCGACGGCGCTGCCATGGCCTTCCCCCTTGATGATCTCCGGTGCCAGGTACTCGTGGGTTCCGACAAACGACATCGACCGAGCTTCCGTGGGCTCCGCCACCAGCTCCGGTAACGGGCTCACCTGGTTCCCCACCTCCCGCTTCTCCTTCTTCCTCTCCTCCTTCTCCTTCTTCTTCTTCGTCTCCTTCTCCTTCCTGGACTTGGAGGAGAAGAACCGGGGGGAGAAGCAGCTCGTAGGGATGGCGCAGGCCGGCTGCGCGCAGTAGGCGGCGGCGACCTCGCCGCCGCCGGCGGTGAGATTGGCCACCGCCGAGTGGACGAGGGTGGGGCTGACGGCGCAGCGCAGGGAGAGGTCGAAGTCGGAGAGCATGATGTGGCCGTCCTCCCTCACGAGGACGTTCTCCGGCTTGAGGTCCCTGTAGACGATGCCCAGCATGTGGAGGTACTCCAGAGCAAGAAGAACCTCCGCCACGTAGAACCTGCAACAACAAAACATAGCGGAGGGGAACCCTAATTCATGATCATCGTCGTCGTCATCATCATCACCAAGCTACTTGATGGTGGGGTGGGGGAGGGGCTTACTTAACGGCCTGCTCGGAGAAGTGCTTGCCGGGCTGCCGCTGGCGGAGGGTATGGAGGTCGCCACCGGGGCAGAACTCCATGACCAGGCAGGAGAACTTTTCGGTCTCGAAGTGGGCGTAGAGAGTGGGGAGGAAGGGGTGATCGAGGCAATGGAGGATCTCCCTCTCCGTCTGAGCGCGGAGGAGCTTCTTCCGGCCGGCGAGGGAGCTCTTGTCCATGATTTTCATGGCGAAGTGACACCTGGTTCCTGCGAGCTCCGAGAGATAGACGGTGCCGATATCGCCGCAGCCGAGTTTCTTCAAGAGGCGGAAATGGCGGAGTCCTACGGCGGCGCCACCGGCCCTCGAGCGGACCGACTGGATTGCCTCCCACCGGGGATCGTTCGCCGCCTTGTGGGGCTTCCCACCGCCGCCGCCGGCGCTGAAGCTGCTGCACGTGCTCTCGTCGCTCACGTCGCTGCTCGTGCTCCCCCTGCAGATGCTGCTCTTGCCGCTCTCAGCGGTCTCCGCCCGCTCGCCGCCGGCGGCCTTGGCGGCGCCGCCGATGGTTTTCGCAGTGGCGGCGGTCGAGGAGGAGGACAGGGAGGAGGAGCTCTCCTTCACCGCGCTACTCCGGTCGGTTGTCTTCTTCTTCTCTGCGTCGAGGCTCGTCGGCTTCTGATCTTCTGCATTCTCGGCGGCGGCGGCGGCGCCGCCCCCCGTTGCTTGGAGAGAGGCCATTGAAGAACGTCGAGTTCACCTCAGCAGATCTGATCGACCGCTAAGAACCGAAGCGGATCATCCTCCATTATCACTGGTTAATTCCACGGAAGTGCTCCATGGTTTCTCTGCAAATACAGGAGCTCCTCTCCGGTCAGATTCAGCAGAAAAATGAGAAACAAACATCATCAAATCTCTCGCTGAAAGCAGGAAAGAAAGCACTGGTTTAATCGCCATCTCGATCTAAACCAGCAATCGATCAGAGCTTGAGGCGGAAGAAAGACGACGAACCCTAGAAACAGAAAGGAGGACGATCCTAGACGGGATCGGCCGCGCCGAAGAACACGGAGGAAGAAGAAGCCCAGGTCAGATAGAACCGGGCCCCCTCCTCCTCCCCGATCACCCCGCCATGGACTCAAACACGGATCCGGTTCCCCTTCACGGGAAACCCGGACGCCATGGAAAGAGAGAAGAGAGAGAAAGGATCGGAAGGGTACCTCTCAGTCTCAGAGATCGGCTGATCAGGAGAGCTGCGGCAGCCGCCCTCGCCCCTTTTCCTGAAGTGGGTAGCTGCTATCAGAAGAGAGAGAGAGCGAGAGAGAGAGAGAGAGAGAGAGAGAGAGAGAGAGAGAGGGGCAGAAAGTAGGGTAAAGCAGAGAGAAAAAGTAAATTATTTAATAAGGGCCACCCAGGGACGGCCGTGGTGGCGCTCGATGATTTTGGTTATCTCTGGTCCCTCTGCAACTAGAGAGAGAAAGAGAGAGAGAGAGAGAGAGAGAGGATGGGTCAAAGCTATGGTCAGAGCTTTTGCTCACCCAATTATTTTTTCATTATTTTTTGGCCCGCTGTCCCCCCAAATCCAAGGGGGCATCTGCACCACATAGCCAGTGACCAGATGACGGCTCTCTCTCTCTCTCTCTCTCCTCTGAGCTTTCCCTTCCCCCAATGCCGCCTTTCAAAATTTCACCCGGTCCCAACGCCGCCCTTCCGTTTGAATCCCCCCCCCCCCCTCTTCTCCGGAGACGTTACGCCATGTAGAAGACGACGATTAGATCCTCCGAGGAGATGATTACAGAGAGAGCGATCCTCTCCATTCGCGATCAGGCGCTTCGATTGCGCTGGGCCAGGTGGGGGAAGGGGACGCGACCGGCGGAGGAGAAAGAGGAAAGAGTTGCAAAGGGGCAGAGGCGGAGCTTTAATGGCGAGAAGCCCTAGCGGCATCATCCCACTGGAGCTTGGTATTAATGGGTTCATTAAGGAGACGCCGACCGCCTGGAGGGGGGGAGCAGAAGCTTCTCCTTCTTCTTCGTCTTGTTCCTCGGGATTTTAGGGACGACCAGGAGGGCCACCCGCCATTATCCGCCATTGAAGGAGGAGGGCTACTGGTGCGAGCTCGGCCATGAGGAGCTGTAGACCTCCGAGGGCACAGGTCACATGGGCCTTGCCCGGACATCCCCTGTTGCAGGTCGACCTCATCCACAGGACAGGATTCCTCCATGGAAGGGCCAGTCCCTTTCCACCCGTGACTGCTCAACCTCCACTGGTCTTCTTCCACTGGTCCGCCTTCTTCCTCGCCGCCCCCGACAGGAGGTCGCCCTAGAAGCCGATCTGATTATTTTTCAAGAACCCACCTCGGAATTTAATGCTCCCCCCTCGCCCTGGTCTGGGGTTGGGGAAATCGATGATTTTTTTAAGAACTGGAAGGGGGAGGGGGGGAGCTTTCGGTGTTATGGTTCAGGCATTCTCTTTTGTTTTGGCCGGACCCGGCGGCGGGGAGGGGGCGCCGCCGCCGCCCCAAGGCGGATGCTTTTTCTTGCCGGAGGCGCCGCGCCACCGCGCCCGGTGGGGTAGGATAGCTGGCGGGGATCGAAGGACAAGGCTAAAACAGGGTGTCACCTTGAGGATGAGGTCAAGGTGGGGCTGGCCGTCCCCAGTTGACCCATCGCCGGGACGCGCCGAAAAGCACCCTTTTTTGGAAAATAATACTGCATAAAGAAAAAAGGACCCTTTCTTTTTTCAGAAATGGTCATGGAATGACACCCAAGAAATCATATGGATTGATGACATAAACCCATTAATTTCTGTCCTCTTTTTGGGAAATCATATGTTTTTGCCTAAATTTGAAAAGAATGTCAACGAATTTTCTGGTGTTCATTGCCGGAAGAGGAAGAAATGGAAGACTTTGTTTTCCTCCCACTGGCAAGTTTCTTCTCTTTCTTGTCCCTGTAAAGTCAACTCGAAAACAGCATCAATGGCCTGCTGTCGGCGGCGCGTGAATTTGCCTTAATTCGGGTCCGTCGACAATGGCCTGCTGATCATCTTTCTGTGCCTTCTACTTCTCCTCCTTCCTCGATGGACAGACAGGCGTCACCAGTAATCTCCGCAAGAACAGGAGCCGCCTTCGAAGCAGTGGAAGCGGTTCCTGTCGCGAACGACAATCTTCCTCCCGGAGACGGCGGAGACGAGCTTGAAGGCCGCGTGGCAGTCCCCGCAGACCCGAAGATTCTTCATGATTCTGATCGTAGTTCCCGGCGGCGTACTCATCAGCCCAAAACTCAACGCCATCTTCTCACTGTGTCTGGCCAGAGACCGCTCCTTCTCCTCCTCCCCCACGTCGAGCATCACCTGCGAGGTGTCCGGCACGTACCCGCGCCGCCGCAGCTCCGCCGACAGCTCCTCCCACCGCCGCTGTATCTCCGCCGCCCGCGGGTGCCCGCAGTCGCCGGCCACGAACTCGTGGACCATGCCGGCGACGGCGACTCTGCTCCGGCCGGGGGTCTTCTTCACGCCCTCCTCCTTCATCATCCTCCTCACCCTAGCCACCTCCTCCCACCTCCCGGCGCCGGCGTAGATGTTGCAGAGCACGATGTAGTACCCGTCGTTGCTCGGCTCCAGGCGGCAGAGCTCCCGCATTGCTAGCTCGCCGGCGGCGACGTCCCCGTGCAGCCGCGCACCGCCGAGCAGCGCCCCCCACACCGCCCCGCTGGGCGCCACCGGCATGGCGGCGATGAACTCCGCCGCCTCCTGCAACCTGCCGGCGCGGCTGAGCAGGTCCACCATGCAGCCGTAGTGCTCCATCTCGGGGCGAACTCCGTAGTCTCTCCACATGCCGGCGAAGTACCTCCGGCCCTCTTCCACCATGCCCATGTGGCTGCAAGCGTGGAGCAGGCCCAGGAAGGTGACGCCATTGGGGCAGACCTCGCTCTCCATCTCGGAGAACAGCTCCAGCGCTTCCTTGGCACGGCCGTGCATGGCCATGCCGCAGATCATGGCGGACCAGGAGACCACCGTCCTCTCCGGCATTTCGTCGAACACTTTGCGTGCTTCTGAGAGAGACCCGCATTTCACGTACATGTCGATGAGGGTGTTGCAGAGGCGGACGTTGCTGTGGAACCCTCGCCGGCGGCAGAGGTGGTGGAGCTCCCTGCCGAGGTCTAGATCGCCGAGGTCAGCGCAGGCGGCGATGGCGGCCACGAAGGTGACCTCGTTGGGGCTGCTGCTGCTGCTGCTGGTTTCTTCGGCCTGCATATTGCGGAAGAGGTGGAGGGCCGTTTTGGGGTCGCCGGAATGGACGTAGCCGGCGATCATGGCGGTCCAGGAGCGGACGCTGCGGCTGGGCATGGCCTCAAAGAGCCGCTTCGCCATCGCCATCTCGCCCTTCTTGGCGAGCTGCGCGATGAGGATGTTCCAGGAGATGACGTCTCTCGTGGGCATTTTCTCGAACAGCTGCAGGGCGTCCGCCATGGGGCCGCAGGAGCCGTACATGAGGAGGAGGGTGTTGTGGAGGTGGAGTTCGGAGCGGAGGCCGAACTTCTCCACCAGCCCGTGGACGGCCCTCCCCATGGTGGCGGCGGCGGAGCCGATGTGGGTGCAGGCTTTGAGGACGAAGGAGAAGGTGTACTTGTCCGGTGGGATGTCAGCGGCGCGGAAGAGGGAGAAGAGCCGGAGGACGTCGGGGGGCCGATCCGACTCTGCGAGGGCGTTGAGGGAGGAGTTCCAGACGAGGGCCTCCCGGCGGCCGTCGCCGGCGCCGGAGACGATAATGCTCCGAGCATACTGGAAGTCTTCGCGAGAAGGGGAACGGCCGCAGACGACGGCGATGCGGGGGAGGTCGGCGGCGGAGAAGGAGATTCCGGATTTAACGAGCTTGGCGTGGAGCTGCCTGAGCTGAGCCGGCGAGGAGAAGGTAGCGGCGGAAGTGGAGGGGACGGAGGGAACCTCGCTGAGCGCCGGCGGAGCGGCCAGAGAAGAAGTCAACATGGCCGCTGGCGGAGCCTCACTCAACAAGGGCTCGAGAAGGAAGCTGCCAATCATCAAGAAATCTATCCAAATATCACGCCGTGGGAACCCAGGAATTAAGATCTGAAAAAAATATATTTTTTATGTCTCAATTTAGGTTGCTGTTCTTCTCAGGGGGGAAAAAAGTACAGCCGCCATGGAATTACTGCCTCCAAAAATGGTGGGCAGACGGAGAGAGCTGGTAGCTCTCACTGTTCTTCGCAGCTTCTTCCTCACCTTTCAAACCCTAGCCTTCTTCCAGCCTCCTCTTTTGTTCTGTCTGGAGAAGAAGAGATCACAGGCATGCAGAGATATCAGCACCAAGGATCTGAAGCAAGGTCAAACCGAGAAAATTACCCGATTAAGGGAAAAAAAAAGAGCTCCAACCGGACCTTGCTTTCGAGATCTCCTTCCCGGGCTGGAACTTCCTCTTCTTGTCTCCTCTAGCCGGGGGAAGTCTGCCATTCCCATTTTCTTGGACTCCCCTCTTGGTGGGAGCGGGAGCAGCCTTCTTCTTCCCCTTCTGCTGCTGGTTGCGAAACATGGGTTGCTGCTGAGATTTCTCGCCAGGGCCCTCGTTTTTCATGTCCCCAGCATCGTCCAGCGGAGCCGTCTGCTCTGCAGCTTCTTTAGGAGGAGCCCCGGTGGGGGCCGGCTTGGTGTTGCTCAATTTCTTCAGCTGCAGGGAAAAATCATGCCATGGAGCAATTTTTAATTTTTTTAATTATTAAACCTTGGTTTCTCCGCTTGCCCACCAATTTTGGATACCCAATGAAACCTGGGTATCCAACAGTTTTCCGATTATGGAAGTCAATTGCTACAAACTGGGAATTTTGATTACCTTGGCAACGAAGAACCCATCCATGTTGTGGACGTGGGGGTAGAAGCGTCTCGTCTTTTCCAAAGATGGATGAAACCTGTGCTCCCTAAAGCGTATGAACCTGCCAGGAAGGAATTACCAAGAGCGTTCATAAATAGAAATCACTTATTTTCTCACAGATCCCACAACAAGAGCGTTTGGCATTTACCCAGGACAGCCGAAGTCTAGTCCACATGGCACAACCTGAACATCCCTCTTCCTCAGAGCATAATCGATGACTCCTTCGTTCTGCAGAGGCAATGGATGATTCAAATGGCTGTGATGGCTCATAAGCACCTACCATATGATTCTCCAGAGGCTAGGTTTCTTGGAAGCAAAAAATATGAACCCTTTGATTATTTTTCAATGAGAAATTATATAAAGTGTCGACACCTCAGACAGCAACATGGCCCATAGTTCTCTGAACCCAGATACAAAATGCAGATAGATGAATTAAATAAGGTGATTATAGCGATATTTATTGTTCTCGTACAGGAAAACAGAATCATTATGTATTCATCCGTGTGGCAGCAAGGGGATTCTGTGGTGACGCTGATACGATGAATTTTTTTTTCTAAGGCATGATTAACTTGCTCATGAAGGCGAAAGGTGTGATAATCGCACAAATTGGGACAGTAAGCAGACCTCAGGAATCATGATTGAGCAGGTAGAGTATACTATGTATCCTCCAGACTTTGAGTGTGCATCCACCATGTCGATTGCTGCTAGAATAAGTTGCTGCGATAGAGAGCGTAGTTAGTGAGATGTTTTATTCAAAAGGCAAATACCCCCCAAAGAAAACAGCATGCCAGAGTTCCTTTCATTTATTACTGACGCAATGATAATTAATACTGAGATTTTTCATATGGTAAAATAGTGGAGTTTTAGAGCGAAAATATACTCCTAAAGAAAAAAAATAGCACACCAAATTCTCGTCGAAGTTAATTGAAAAAGATTTCCACAATGTTGTTATTCTTGTCATTATAGATATATCTCACAGCCACCTTTTCTTTTCTAGTACGTGAAAAAGGAGACATAAAGATCATCCAAGGGGGGCGGGTTACCATCATATTTCTTTAAATTTCGAGGTATTCGAGATTATATTTTCCTCCGTGCTACAGACTGTACCTTTTGCAGAAATGCACAGTTCTGTATGTCTTCAACACTCTTAGACACTTTGACGGATTCATCTTTTGATATAACCTGAGAAAAGGGGAAAAAAAAGAGATCATGATTGCTGAAAAGATTCAGATTTGAACTCGAAAGTATGAACGTCAAAGTGAACAATGACCAAGGAAAAAGAGAGATATGAGTTACCCCAGTTCCACTGCAGGGCGCATCCAGCAAGACTCTATCAACAGAATTATTCCCCAAGATCTTCGGAAGCTGTATTAATTCATACATAATCAGAAGTGCCACTAAAAATCGTGATTAAAACCCATTGCCAGTCCATATCGTGTGAACACTATCAAAATCGACTGACCTCTCTCCCGTCATAGTTACATATAACTGAGTTTTTCACACCCATACGATTTAAATTGCCGAGCAAGGACTTCAATCGAGGTTCTTTCATCTCATTTGCATATATTATACCTGCCCAACAGACAGAAAAAATTGCATTAGAAAGTAATAATTTTAAAAAAAGATAATAATAACTTTAACATGATGTAGCTTTAATAGTTTGTACCCAAGAGCTCTTACCCGTATTCTTCATTAATGCTGCAATATATGTCGTTTTACCACCTGGAGCAGCCCTAGAATAGAACAAGTATAAATTTACATTGATGTTTGATAATATAGAATTAACTTTTTGTGGTCAGAAAGTGAAATGAATAAAAATGCAAGAAATACTCAAGAACAAATTCCTCCGAAAAGACAGCCAAAGCACCCGCCTACCCCAGGAGAGTCCAGATGCTATGAGCCCTTTTGAGACCTATTCTATTGTCTCGAGTGAACCGCATAAAAGCTTTCTTCTATTCCCATGGAAGATTGAAGATAGCATCTATTAATCAACAGATTTGAACACTGGATGCATGACAGAATGCCAAATATAAGGAACGTAATAGCCACCAGCACAAACAAGCACCCAGAAACTACCCGGATAATCTGGTGGAAATGACAGGACACTTGCCCCATCTCAGAAGATGGAACTACCGGTTGAGGGCACTTTTAAAATAATAAACAATTGAGAGAATGCGATTACTGAATCAGCACAGGACTAACCATAACCTCAAATTTGTACACAGGCTCAGAGACAGGAGAAAAAACGACCGAGAAAAATTGAACATAATAGATGAAATTTATGATAAAAAACGTAAAATTTTGGAAGTGATAGATAGCATGTAGCTGGTCAATGAACCCTGTGGTAAGAGTAGCTGTTAAGCATGTCATGTACTCTGCAGAGGCCACAAAATCAGCATACAAAAATGAGAAAAAAGCCGGGGGCTGCTGTTGTGCATGAAAATACACAGATTGATAAGCAAACAGGTTTCTCTCCTGGCGAAGATGCCAATCAGCACACTGATATTTCTGCATTGACATCCTTCAGTCTCGGTGACCCTGATGATTGGGATACACTTAGAGCAGCCTTGTTTATTACAAACAGTTATAGGAAGTTGCAGAGATCACTAAATAAAAGAGCAGGTGGGGGACGGGATACTGAACAGTCTTTGTTGACAACTAGCAATTGCAAGACTCGCCAGACAAACCAGAGATCAGTGTGGGCAATCTCTGCTCCAACAGCAACCTTAGCAATCAAAGCACAAGAAGGTAATAGGCTAGCCCACTTGGGAGGCGATCATAATTAGCTTCTACGAATCGTTTTGGAGCCAACCAATAGAAATATCGAACCCCCTTGGTTTTTATATTTAAAAATTAGGTTGGCTATTTCATACATAACCCAGTATGATTTAGTCCATTCTATCTCCCTCTGAACTGAGTTCGATCCAAACACAATTAGAATGTTGTTTGCTCATCTTTGTCTCTCCATCTTATTGTAAAAAAAGTGTCTTATGAAACATTTTAGAATTAAGGCACTTATTTTTGAATATTTACTCCATTAACCTATCTCGTTTTTCATATTTGTTGCTGATACTCACAATAGCTGGATGGAGTTTTCTTCAACCAAGTCAAAAACAAATTTGAAGTATACCTTTCGTAGGTCAATTTGTGTAATTTATTATAAAAAATAATCCAAACAATAGTTCTTTCATGGCATTCATCCCTCCGTGCTACACTGTTCCAATTACCTTTGGAAATATATTATTGTACATCAACCACACCACGTGAATTCTCCTAGTGTTTCTTATTTCTACACGGTAAAGAAATCTATATTTTATTTGAATTAAAACGTTGTAATTTTGATCTCCTTTCCTTCCAGTTAGAGAGCAGGGAACTATCAGTTACTTTGCCAAGATTAATGTTCGTTTTCTCAGCTTTGCCCTTATCACGCACATGATCAGATGGAAGAAATCAGTCATAGGCATGACACCCTTGATTCTAAAACCGAAGGGAAATCTTAACTCAACAATATCATATGACGTCTAAGTATCAAGTATATGAATAGGGAATAAATACAAAGATTGAAAGGGATAGAAGGAAATGTGGAAGAGGATGTTGTAAAGGCGAGTAAAGAAACACAGATTGACTGGTGAACTGCCAACTGGAAGTGATGGACGAAGAGGGCTAAGTGAGAAATAAAAGGGAACTTAATGAGAATAAAAGAAAAAGAACGGGGACGAATACAGAAAAGGAAAGAAGATATGTCACAGGGACAGAGAGCGGAGTGTGTCAATGATATGGGCCAGTGCATGCACACGCAAATGAAATGAATAATTCAAAACTGGAGAAGCTGGGAACCAAACACCGCTAAAAAAAAATTAAATGATGAACAGATGACACTTTGTAATCAACCAACCAAGAGACGAATACTTACGCCACGTCTACTATCCGTTCCTTTTCCTGAGGAGCAAGAGCCATTACAGGCAAAAACGAACTGGCACTTTGAAGCTGGGACCAAAATAGATTACATCAGATGGCTAAATCAAAGGCAAAGAAAAAGAGAGACATTGAACTATTACAAAAATCATTCAGTATCACCAACCATATAGTGCCCAGCCAGGTATTCCGTGGTGGAGCCAAGACTCGGAGCCTTAGGTGAATCATATGCTACAAGTCCAACCTGTCATTTACAAATCAGTTTAATGCTTTATCCAACATATATGGAGAAAAAAGGTACAAGACTTACACTAGACATCAGTATTTACCTTTGACCACTTGCCCAGTTGTTGTAAATTAATTCCTCTACTTTCCAGAGCAGCGGTTAACTCCTTCCGACGAGTCTATAAAAAAAACAGTTTTTTTTTTTTCATAACACAGAAGTGTATTTCCTTAAATTGATAGAAGCAAGTATTTTGGTAACTTCATGAAGAACACAGCGGAAAACATTCATTTTCTTAATGAAGCAGACCCAATCCACAAGAACCATGTAGATAGTGGTACGCAGCCAATCACAAATGAGGATCACCTCATTCAGATTCTGACACTAAAAACCATGCCCTGAAAATGACAATAAGTTAATGGCTACCTTTAGAGTGTTTGTACGCAAACAAACTGGTCTTGGCTTTTCAAATGCTTCAATCAGTTCCAAAAGCTCTCTAACAGGGAACATCTAGATGAAACAAGTGACGGTTTAAGCATGTTTCAAACTTTAAAGAGAGGTGAATGAAGACGGGAGAACTAGACGGTTTCGAGTACCTCAACCAGAACACCAATCAGAAACTCGTTGTATCCATAAAATGATTGTAGATCCCTTTTAAGCTGCTCAACGTAATCCTTTCGTGGGACGCCCTCTAGTCTCAATTTCTTGAACTTGGAAAGCACCCGCACGACTTAAGAAAAGGGAAATGACAGGCAACGCCAGGTTATTCGTTTAATTCAACAGAAATAAGTGAGTGTACACATGAATGTGAAAGGAAAACTCCGAAAGTTAGAAAAAATAACTAGAGACATCAAAAAACTCAGATCGTTCTTTCAAAACAGAGAATTAAGTAAAACAGGAAATGATTGCCCTCGTGAAAATTTCACAAAAGTTCTTCTCTAAGCGATAAACACTCTACCAAATCGAACAGGGAATTGTTGATTAAGATACAAGGTTACTTTAATAGCTGAATTACGTTCGGGCATAGGGCTTAGAGTAAAAAATTAACCGATAGAAAGGGGTTTAAAAAAAATCTCACTTTCTTGGATTCTCTGCTTTATGTTTTGAAGGTCAGGAGGGGAATGTGACTCTTCTTCCAGTTCCTGAATCAAACAATGGGATTAAACTGATGATATGAACACCCAGTAGTGAAGAATAGTAGAAAGAAATGGCACTGGCGAAGTAGGCCTACCTCCTTTGTTGGCAATTTGAACTCGTCATATTCTCCCTTAATATTTAGCTTCATCTCCTGATCTGCGTCCTCAAGCTCCTTTGCTTTCTCTTCGTCGATTGCCCTTGACTTCTTCTCTATGTCCGACTCCTCAGAATCGGACGACGCTTCCTCGCCTGCAAAACCCAAACGCCAAAAATTGCTAAATACGTTAAATTTAATCTTCAGGATTTCATAGATGAACGGAGGTCATGAATGAGCTTACCGTTTTCATTATCGCGGAGGAAGTCGTCCGCAAAGGGGTCATCGTCACCTGAAGAAATCTCTGACTGAGATCCTTCGTCGTCATCTCCCGACAATCCGCTGCCATCATCCTCGAATTCGGCGTCGGATGGTGCTTCCTCATCTTCCCCGGCCAGGAGATCCAGAGAAGGCTCCTCCTCAACTGACTTTTTCTTCTTCGTTTCCTTGTTCTTCTTCGGCGCCGGTCGCAACGTTGGCATCTCTTCCTCATCTGAGTCGACGGGCTGGAGCTTCCCGCCTTTCTTCTTCGTATCCCTGGTATTCTTCGGCTGCTGCCTCTGCACTGGTTCCTCTTCCTCGTCGGAGTCGACGGGCTGAAGCTTCCCGCTTTTCTTCTTCGTATCCCTGGTCTTCTTCTGCTGCTGCCTCTGCACTGGCTCCTCTTCCTCGTCGGAGTCGACGGGCTGAAGCTTCGTGTTTTTCTTCTTTATCTCCATGTTCTTCTTCGGTCGCTGCCGCACCGCTGGCTTCTCCTCCTCTGAGCCGATGGGATGGAGCTTCCCGGGTTTCTTCTTCTCCTTCTTCGGTAGCAGCCCCTGCATTGACTCCCCTTCCTCGCTAGACTCAACGGGCTGAGGCCTCACACCTTTCCTCTTCCTCTCCTCGTTCTTCTTCGGCTGCTGCCGCATAGTTGGCTTCTCTTCCTCCCCTGAGTCGACGGACTTGGCCTTCCCGCTCTTCTTCTTCACCTCCCCGCTCGTCTTTCGCAGCTGCCCCTCGTCGGAATCGGCGGCCTGGGGCTTCCCCCCTCTCTTGCTCTTCTGCACCATGTCCGACAACCTGCGAGAAAGCGGGGGAGAAGCGAAGGGGAAGGAGAGCAAGTCTCCGTAGACACCTGTGATCGCACCAATTCGAAAGGGAAGGTCTCTGCGCCCTACCGAAGTAAGGTACAGGGCAGGAGCGGCAGCCGGACTGCGCAGAAGCTGTGCTCGCCGGAGATTGGAGAGGCAGCTAGAAGAAGACGGGAATGGGGTTTTAGGGTTTAGCCTGAAGAAGGGCTAGGCGGAGGAGACGGGGAGGAGGCTTTCGGATCTAGTCGGTACCCTGTATGGCCGGATCTACCGGCCTGAACCCGACCCGGCCCAGGCATTAAAAAATATTTCTCGGGTCTAATTCCAAAAGCCCGGGCCCGGAAGAACCCGCCCCGGCCTTCTGGCCTTCGGGAGGGGGGATGTTTTCTTTTCCACCCAGAACACTATTTAAATATCTTTAATATCCTCTCGGGCTTTACAATTCCATCAGTCCGTCCCGACCAACTGACCTTCAAGAGGGGGGATGATAATTTTTCTACCCAAAAAATTATTTAAATATCGTTTGTATTCTATTCCGAGGATAAAAATCCAAAAACCAATTCTGTGGGGTGGGTCGAGTAATAAAATAGCCGCTTTTTTAATTAGGTTGGGTGCAGATTTCAGTATTTTTCTATTTCTGAGAAATATAATATTAGATTTTCTTCTTGCGCCATGGCTTGGGTTATTTTTTCCATACCCAGAAGTTATCTAAATATCGTTTTTATTCTCGCGGACAGAGAAGTGCTAGGGTAAAAATACACGAATCAATTCTATAAGGGTGTATCGAGTAATAAAGTAGCCCTAATTTATAATCTGGCTGGTTGCATATTTCATTAATAGAAATAGAATATTAGAGTTCCTTCTCTTCCAATGGAGGGGGATGATTATTCCCATACCCATAAATTATTTAAATAAATTTACTATCCTCGAAGACATAAAGAATGTCAAGGATAAAAATACACGAGTCAATTCTATAAGGGTGTATCGGGTAATAAAGTAGCCCTGATTATTAGCCGGGCTGGGTGCATTTCGTTAATTTTATATTTCTGAGATAAATAATATTAGATTTTCTTCCGTGGGCCAGGTATTGTGTTGGGCTTGCGTTGGACCGGGCCGGGGTTGTTCGGGGCCCGGCCCGTTGGAAAAGTAACTAATCAGACCCAGAAGGAGGAAAAGGGGGAGAAAAAATAAAATGGGGCAATAAAAAAGTCAGTCTTCCCACACGGGACGAATGCTCTTTGAAGGGCTTCTTAAGTCGTCTTCTTCTTCCTTCTTCGGCCTCTCCGGCGGCCGATTTTCCTTCTTCTCTTCGCCTCCCATGGTTGATACCGATTCAAAAACCCCGCAGATCCTCCACTGAGACGACCCTCTCTGGGTCCCTCTCCCTTCGCCCGCCCCACCCGCCCGCCCCTCGCGTCCGGGTTGCTCCCCCTTCTCCCGCAGTTGGGCCTGTTTTCCCCCTTCCCCTCTTGGTCCTCGAAGATGAGCAGCGGCGGATCCTCTAGGGTTTCCATTCCCAGCAGCGAGAGGAAGATTATCCAGGACATTAAGGAGATCGCGAGGAACCACAGCGATGAGGAGATTTACGCAATGCTCAAGGAGTGCTCCATGGATCCCAACGAGACCGCCCAGAAGCTCCTTTTTCAAGGTTTCCCTTCCGATCCCACGTTCCGTACTTCCTCGCGCCTTCTCTGTCTGTTATGTCTCTTCTTTGTTACTCTACTACGTTCCTCCTCTACACCTGAGCGCATCCGATTTCCTTTTTTTTTTTGTGCGTTTGGTTTGGAATTTGATCACAGCTTCTCAGGTGGAAAATGGAGATTTTTTGGGGGAATCCAATCGGAGTGGTACACCCTGTTTTGTGGGGTTCTTCCTTAACTCGACTTCTGCCAGTTTCCCATTTTATTGTTTTCTGCTTTTTCCTTTCCTGGTGTGTCGGCTGAGGGCCATATCTGGGGGCTCATTGGATTGAAATTCGACCGTTAAAATTTCAATTGGATTTCAGTGCCCCATTTCGACGGTGTATATTTGTTTGAGGTTTCGCTATGGGTCTTACACGTGGATTTTTTTGATGGCAAAGAAAGATCCTCTTTTGCTATCTTACAGGGCTAGGACGTACATAAAGTGTGAGATCAACATTTATTCTTTTGTGTGAAAGTAAATATCCTTTAATCATTCATCAGGTACATTAGTCCCACGATGCTTCATCGGATCTGATAGTTGGCACTTTCAGTGGGTACACAACTGTTGCGTTTTCTGGTTTCATGTTGTTGGCATGATGATCGTGCCATGTGGCTGTCCAATCTCGAGTAGAGTTACCACATACCGTCAGTGGGTACACATACCGTCAATTATTCATTATGGCTAAGAATCCGTCCGAATATGTCTGATCTAATGCTTACTAAGTGACACCTCGGTTTTGGTGGCGAAGACATTCTTCGCCATTGACTTCATCTCTCTGTGATTAGGTCGCCTTTTAGGGGAAATGCTGGAGCTCACGAGGCTTATTTTGTTCCTCTCATTGGTGCTTTTTATATTTTTTTGATTTTAGTGTCTATTTCAAGGTAAAAGTGAACTTTTTATGGACAGAATTATGGTTCTAAACGGCTCTCTAAAGGAGTCAGTTTTATTTTCGAGTATAATAGATAATCCCAACGTCTCAGAAGCTTTTATGTTCTTCAGTTTGTCGGTTCTTCAGTTTTATTTGCTTTTTCATGCAAATCTCTCATCTGGAGGGGTGCTGCATTACTTACTGACTGCATTACTAATTCCTGATATATTATGTTACTTGATGATTATACAGACACGTTTCACGAGGTGAAGAGGAAGCGTGATAGGAGGAAAGAGGTATCATCCTCCTTTCCACTTTATCCTCTCGAATTCTTTTTTCTCCCTTGGTACGACTCTGAACATTTGATCATTGTCTCACAAGTAGGAATGCTTTTTTTTGAGTTGTGAATTCACTGTCATGCGATCTATAGGGTTCATTAGCTATAGACCTGGATGAACTAGTAACGCCATTACTTCATATCTATTTAAACGTTGGTCATTACAAATGAGGCATTATGTGTAATTGTTGTTCATAAATTTCGTTCTCCAAAAAAAATAAAGCTTTCCCTCTTTTCCTAAAACAAAGGAAAGCTCTTCTCTAAATGAAATTGACATCCGCATGGTAAGTTTCTCACTATGTAGTTACTAACACAATCGAGCGTTATGTATCCAACTGCAAAGTACAATATGTTTTCTGCTCCAGATATTGTTTCACATTCGAATCAAAGTACTGAACTGTGGGTTTCTTTATGGAATACACGGGCTGGTGCATGGTATGAAACTTTTTGTAGACACCTTGGGAGAGGCTACTGAGCAACTTAAATGACTTTTTTTTCTTCTACTGTCAAGAACTTAGCAATGGCTAAAGGATGTTCATGTATGTGCAATGTACGTGCAAAAGAGAAAGAGGAGACGACTATAGGGGTAAAATAAACTTGTAATAGCATATTAGATGGCGGTACTAGATGCTCTACACCTTTTCAAATGTGGAATTTATTTTGACATGGAGGATCTTACTTGGAAGACTCCCATTGCGATTGGTTGTGAACCTTTATGGAAAATTTTCGGACTACTTTCTGTTTATGTTGGGATATTTATTCATATATATTTGATATTGTCCCCTGAGGATAATGCACGAGATATGAACATGTCAGGATTAATGATGTCTACTCAGAGGAGGCCTAAAGTTGTGATGCCTTATCTTGCATTGGTTGTGAAGGGAATATGGCCTGTTGGCGAATTTGTGGTGATTTCCTTTTTAATAAATTGTTAATAGATGGTGGCGTGTCTGTCAAGCATGATATTGAGAATCAGATCTGGAGTCTGGATTGACTGGCCTAATCTCACCATATGTGGATATGGATCAAGTGACATGGGAAATCCTAACCTCTGACACCTCCCCCCCCCCTCTCCCTCCCTCTCCCGCATTCCCAGAGGGGAAAAAAATGCTTGGGAGATGCTTTATTCCTGATTGCATGATGTCAAGCCTCTTAGCAGATTTGGTTAGCCTTTGTCAAGCAAAACCTGGAATCCATTAAGACACTTGTTCTGCCTGGAGTGTAATACAACCCTAGGATCATGATTCAGATCAATTACTTTGGTCACTCTGGTTTGATCCTGACCTTAGATCTGACTGCATTGGGACAAACTAAACGACTCAAAAGGATTATTTTTTCCAATTTTAGTGTTCTATATCTAATACTTTTTAATATGAAGGGAATCAAATGCAAGGAGTTTCAATTGGAACTTGCATCCATCTCACCTATCCTGATTTGGGAAAAGGTGCTCAATACCTGCATGACAGTGGTAAAATGTCTGTTGGTGTTGTTACTTCTTCTTTTGTTGAGCTGAATGCTGGAGGTCTCATCAGAGTGTGGACACCATACATGCGATGGATTGGGTTTCCTTTTTTTCGTAGAGATGGGGATGCCAGTGGATTATAACTTTTTTTTTTTATGCGAGCTGGGCCAGATAGGGTGGTGTCAACTGCTGACTCATCATTCTTTTCTGTTGAATCGGCTACCCATCTTTCTCATTAGATTAGTAGAATTAAAGCTGACTGAAAGCAAATTTCGCAATCTATTGCACAACTTACTGAGAAAAATGCTTTTGTTTTGTGATCACTCTGTATTAAGTGAAATTATTTTTCTTTATGTTGTTATTTCCAATAAAATAAAGAAAAATCTTGATAGGAATCCCTTATGACACTCCCTATCACTGGCTCCTTGTCGTTCAATGGAGAGTTGCTTTCTCAGTCTTTATCAGTTTTTTCAAGCGTTTTGCATTTTCGTGTGACAAGGAGTTTGGCTCCTTTGAGTTGATGCTCCTGTATCATTTTCACGAGGGAAAAATCTGTGTAGTTTCTTTTTATTCATTACCTTTCATTTCCAATGAGCGCTGTCAGGATTGAATCTCTGTTGTTTATCGTCATGTTAAACCAGCTTTTGGTTTTCGTCTATTTGAACCAGTTTTACCTGAAGAAAAAATTATTCATGTATTTTATTCTTTTTGCTTTTTTCCTAGTAAAAATGCAATTGTTAGCGTATGGATCAGATTGTCTTCTAAGAATCTTTTGGTCTCTACAGAATTTGAGCAACAGGGAGCAAACTGACCCTTGGTGGAGACCTGGCATGCAGGGGCGTGGGACTAGAGGTGGTAGAGGGGGTTATTATTCTCGGTACCAATCTCACGGTATACATTCGCCTATTTGTTTTGTATCTTCCAGATATGGTCGAATGCTTCTTTTAACTTTCTTTAATTACTTTTTTGGTTCAGTAGGTAGCTTCATTATTCAATGTAATCTTTTTGCCAGTGGACAATGTTTATGGGACCTCGAAAAACAAAGGCATTCTCGTGTTTTGGCATATGTTTGTTTTATGGAATTTTTTTTACTTTATGAGTATTATAATTGTTATTTTTTTGATATTCAAATCCTGAGGCTTGCAGCCTTTTCATGGGTGAGGGAGATTGACTGTCATTGTAGAGACTCAAAGTGAACATTCGATGCTGTTGTTCCTTTTTGCCAGATGCTGGTGGCATAAACGCTGCAAAAGAAGATGAGGCCATCCAAATGGCAGAAAAGGGCATTCCATCTTCATCCTCTGTTACACAGGAGACCGATAGTAAATCAGAAGTTCCAGCATCCAGGTATTTCTTCACCTTCTTTCTCTTATTTGTGTTTATTAAATAGCAATCATCTGATATTCAGTGGAAAAGAAGCATATTTTATGCAAATCAGATAGCATTTATCCTGTTCTTTGAATGGCTTAAATTATCTTCATTTCTTGTTGCAGGGGTATCTACTGCTGTTTTTGTTTCTGGATATTTTGTGTACTCGGATTTTACTGTGCTGCGTGGTGTGTTTTGCAATTGTGCAAAAAATGGAAATTTCTTTTATTAGTTGATATTCAAATAATAATTGCCTCGGACAATAAGAAACTGATCAGTTTTATTGAGATGTATGTCCACATTTTAGATTATTGAATTAAAATAAAATATCTTTGAGTCACCTTCATAAGTCTGAGGTTGCTTCTCAATTTGCCTACTACTTGGCCTAAAACCACCATGTTATAAATTTTATTTTTATTTTTTGGTTGCCGAAATGAGCAGGCCATGATACCATCTCTAATTACTTTAACCATGACTGATGGTAACAACACATTTAAAAGAACAAGCTCATGATGCTGCAATATTGTTGTTTATTCAAATCACATTTCCAGAAAAGCTCATGATTCTATTCCTATTTTATTCTTTTTATTCCAGCTTCCAGTGTAATTGATAAATCTTTTTTGGTCAGCTCTGGGTCTGTAGTCAATGATCCAACAAAAGGAGGATCCCTGGGTTCTTCCTGTGGATCTGTGCCTCAGATTCCTCATGGCGGGATTTCTCCCTTGGCTGAAGATAATTCTGTTGCAGAGAGTACTAAGGTTGAGTGTGCACTATCACCTCCCGTGGACACCAAACATGGTCCTGCAAATGTAGTTAGTGCAGCATGCAGACAGCCAACTCCGACTTCAAACCAGTTTCCATCTAATATGGTAGCGCCTGTTTCTGTGGCCCCTGCCTCTGATGCTGTGCTAGTGCCATCTATTGATACACATGTCTCTGATGGTACTAACGAATGTGAAGTGGAAAACAAAGAAACAACTTTGGAACATCCTATTAGGAAAGGTGTATCTCATGGGCTACCTGATTCTGGGATGTCATATGAAAAGACATCTTCAGAATCAGGGAGCTCCTTCATGCAGGGGAAGATGGCAACTAAATCTCAGGGACAAGAGCTAAATTATTTCTCTTCATCAGGTAGTAAGCCATCATCCAACTATGGCAGCAGGTCACAGCAAGTAGTTGGCCCTCAGAAAGGTATAACTGGCTATTTTTTGGCACACCTGTTTGTCTCTTTATCTGTCTATATGCCTTTGCTCGTAGAAAGTATGAATAGAAAGAAGTTCATTATTTTCTTTGTCTTTAGGTAAAGGGAAACTGCTTCCTCTTTTCAATGTCTTTGCTACCAATCATCCGCTCCACAGCATTAAGATATTGTATAAATGCCATGTATGCATGATTGTCTTTTTAGTTGTTCATCCGAAGGAGGATCCTCCTCTGTGGGTTGCAGGGTATACTCAGAAAACTAGTGTTGACTTGAACTGAAGTGGCTCCTTTGTACAAGAGTAAAAAAGTGTAAGCTGAGCCTGAGGAACATGACTGAGTTAATTGACTTTAAGCTTTGCAGTAAGGTAGCCTCTATGGTGAATACCATTCGTATGGCGAAGGCTCTAATGTGGAATCCCAGCAATGAACTTTTGAGTTTGTTTATTTCACTTCAGCTGGAAACATGGCCCTACAATGTCAGTCACCTGAAGCATCCAAAAGAATGTTATTCTACCATACAAGAAAAGGCGGAAGATACCCACAGCCTTGATATGCTTTAAATGCTGGAGGAGCATTGGCAGGTGCCTGAGGTAGTTTAGGGAGCGTGGAAGAGGCTACATGTTTTATGATATCTAGAGTTTCTGTTCTGGATTAATGTTGTATATCCTTTGGCGTGAGAGCATGCACCAGTGATCCATGATCTCAATCACTGTGGGAAAGCTCTCTCTAGTTAAGATCGGTTACTTCATTCCAGGGGGTTGGTTCATACGGAGGAGAGTCAATAAGGTCTGTGGGGGGTTTTGGCTGTGACTTAATAAGGTCGACAAATTTATTTTCTTTCTCCGTAGTTTTCTCTGAGAGAGCCTGAGAGGATGGAGACACGTAATGTCTATGAGGATGGACGTGCTCATTGAGAGGATGAAGACAAATGCCATTTTCAAGAACAGTTCCATCCTCCCATCTTCTTCCTCTTTCTGTTTTTTTCCTAAAACCCCTTTCGGGAGAAAGCAGTGCTAAGAATCAAGAAAGGGGAGGGTTGAGGTCAGATGTAAAGAGAAAAGGGACTGGGTTCCTGGAGATTGTATTTTGAAAGGAATGCCTGTTCTAGCGATAACTTTTAATACTTGTAGTCAGGTAACCATGGAAGAGTCGCTGAGAGTGGAATCAAAACAGGTAAAATGTAGCTACTGTAAAATCAGTAGGATAGGAATGACCTACGTTTGAACAGAGGGGAATGGATGCTAAGGAACATTTGTAGGATATCCTAACTTTATAGATCTTGTACCGCATGTAAGAGTTTGAAGTATATGGTAAATGAATGGCGGAGAAAACGAAAATGCAAGAAAATGGAAGTATGTAGCTAGCTTTTAAACAAAAGTGGTATCACCATCCTCAGAAGGACAGAATGATTTTTGGAAAAGATAAGGGCGAAGGGAACATCTTGTCTCTCGTTCTATCCAAATGGGAAAGAAAAGGTTTCATCTGGTTAGTCAAGACAGATTAAAACCGAATGAGAACCGGGATTCGGAACATCTTGTCTCTCTTTCTATCCGAATAGGAAAGAAAAGATTTCATTTTTGTTAGTCAAGATAGATTAGAACCGAATGAGAGCCAGGTTTCGGAATGAATACTGTGTTTGGGGATACTCACAAAGGAAGTGCATTGACTGAAGGATGGTACAAAGGAACTGTGTCGAGAAGAAATGAAATAGAAACATTGCACTAGGAGGGTGGCGAACAGCTCTATTTTTCAGTTTGACTTCATTTAAGTTGGAAGCTAATGAATGTGAGTTATGGTTCATCGATGAATTTCGGAATTTTTCTTTGACTTGTTGTCCAAGTGGCTTGACTATAAAGATAGTCTGTTCACAGTATATTGGGAAATAGGTTCTCTTGTCTCAGCCGAACAAGTCTTCTATGCTCTGTGTGGTTTTTGCTAGGAAATTCCGAGAAACGTGGCTGTTTCTTTCTATGGTTGTATATTGCAGTCTGGGATATTATAAATGGTTTCAAGAAAAACCCTTTTCATATCCTTCAATTCAGTTCACCTGAGCTTAATGCTTAATGAGGGCTGTTGTCGTATCAAACCTCAGGCTCATTGGTATTGGATGCGTGTCATTAGTCATTGCTGATATGCTGGACGTGAGGCATGGATGCTGTGGATAAAATGATTCTTTTTGACATTGAGAGCTTTCCTTGGAGGAAGAGAAGTTCATGATAACTTCTTCTTACCTATGAAATGTCTCATGATTAGATAACTAGGGGTAGAGAGGACTCTGAAAGCATATAAAAAAGATACTTCGGCATTTTTTCTGCAAGCCTTCGTTGGCTATGATTCCTTGAGCAAAATGGACTTGTGGGGTGCAAAGTTACAGCCTGCTCCTCCTTTTTCCTTAAGAAGAGATTTTCGAAAAATCTGATTTTCCTTTTTTCTGCTTCTGTTTGATGCCCATAACTCATAATACTTTGGAGATGGGACAGGTCTTTCTGGGGGAGTGAGATTTCAGAATGATGGGTTGGCATTCCCATAAAGTTGATGCTAATACTATTTTATTGAGGATAATTCTTCACTTCTGGACAGAACTGTGGAGAATCTGCGCGGCAATTGGGAAAAGAATACAGGATACCCGAGATCAATGCAGTTTCTATGAATACATCCCAATTCTGGCACACTTAGATTACATTTGGAGATACTTTATTAATTTCTATGAATTGATGAAAGAGTTTGATGGGATTGGAATGTTGGAAATCAAAAGGTCTAACGGATGGAGAAGGGCATCATCTGAAACTGTTTCTATTCACTTTTGGTAATGTTTGCTGGTGCACGCTAGCAACAATATGCATGGAGTGGTCTTATTTGTCTCATTTTGGGATTTCTTTTCTTTGCTATTTTTAAAAATTATATCTTCCTATTGTTAGGCACCTAACTCGATCTACTTGGATTAGTGTTCAGCTTGAGATATGATTAACATTATGACTTTATAGTTCCATCTTATGGTTCCCTTTAGTGACCAATTCATTAAGTAAATTCACTTACAGCAGTTGGTCCTAATATGGAGTGGAAACCAAAGTTGACGACCCAAGTTCCAGCTCAAGCTTCTGCAACAACTATGACACATGATGTGTCAACTGTCACAGTTGAAACGGACAGCCCGGCTGCGCCTCTTGCAAATTCCAGAAATCCCAAGGAATCCACTTCAAACCTTCAGAAGAAGCTAGAAGAGTTGCACTTCTCAGAAAGTCAACACGTTATCATCCCTGATCATCTTCAAGTCCCAGAAGCTGAAAGAAGTGGATTGAGCTTTGGAAGTTTTGATGCCAGCTTTGGACTAGAAACGAGGTCAACGTTGCCGAATGGTGCTGATAGTGAGAGGAGCTCTATGCTGCTGACTGAGTCATCCCAGGGGCCTAAAGAAAACGTTGGAGGACCTACTTTGAGGTGATAAACATTACCTTCCCGTTATAATGGAAATTTAGACATGGATTAATTTTTGGCTGCATACTGCGTTCTGTGTTTTTTCTCTGGTTTATTGACTAGTTTATACCTGCTAACTAGATGAATAAATCCCTTCTTCTCTTTATTATTAACTTTTTCTTTTGATAGCTTCTCAAATAATCCACCTTCATTAGCTAGATACCCTCCCTCGTCTGTCAAATTGTTCAGCCTTGGAATTCTAAAAAACTCTTTCCTTGACAGTGGATCCTTCCTGTACCCTGGAACTCTTCCATGATGATTGGTAGCTCACACCATACTGTCGTCAAACTTCCTCAACATCATGTTTCATTTCCTTACTATCTTCGACATTGTATTTCTTGCTGTAGGTTGGTCCCAGTGGCATTTGCATTCTGCTTAAACCCTTTGATTCCTTAATTTCTTTCTTTCTGATTACAGCACTCAGAATGTTTCATCATCTGCTCAGCAAGAACATCCAGTTCATTCACAGGCGCCATCTCAGATGCCCGAAAATCTGCCATCTAAGGAGGCTGATGCTCCGTTGGATGTTCCTGCCATGCCAGAACATGAACAGTTGAAGCAGGCTACAGCTCTGGCACAAGGGAGCGCTCAGATCTCGCCCTTGCACACTTCTCCACTGTATTCAGCATTCGGTTTGGTCCCACCAGTGCTCGGAGGTCAGTTCGCACCTTTTGAAGGCTCTGAGGCTCAGGCTCGTGAACCCTCTGCTGTTGCTAGCTTTATAGTAAGTCGTCCAAATCCATCTAAACATCTCCGCCCTCTCTTTTATTTTCGTTATTTTAGGAAATATGGATAGCAACCCGTTCTATCAATATAAACTGAGGTGATGAAAGAGAGAGAGAGCCCTCTGACCAACCAAGAACGGCCTAATTGAATGTGAAAAAAAAAGGCATTTCACGAAGATCTTTCTATGCAGTGTCTATTCAAAGGATTTGGCCGGAATTACTTCTTACTTAGGCAAGCTTAAGCCTCCAGGAGAATGATGGTGCTGCTCCTCGTCAGAAGAACTTCCTAGCATTTAAGTGATCACATTGACCAATCTCTCTAACTCCTTATGGGCTCCCAAATAATTCCATGTTCCGTCGGGGAGAAATAAAGCTAACTTTCTACATATTACTTGTAATTAATATCTGTGTTACATCTATTTCATCAATGTCTTTTTTTCTGTTTTTATTTGACATCGTTCGAATATTAAACGATTTTTTTATTTTTTATTTTTTTATAGCAGGTTCAGCAGCCATTTGATCCTTCTACAAATTATTATACCCAAATTTATCAACCAGGAGCTGATGGAGATGGTCGTTTCTCTCCATATCTTGCACCCGGTGGCACTACTAAATATAATGGAAATACTGCCATCTTGTCCCCCCAAACCGGCCAGTCTGCTCAAGAGGTTCGTAAACTTAGACTGCAATATTTTGCTCGCAATGGTCAAAGACTGAGGCCATGATTTTTTATAATTATAATCAGAAAAATTATCATGGCTGTTGGGAAATTCCAATCTTTTAAATATTCAGGATAATCAAACTGACCCATTTATCTAGTTTATTATTTTCATAACTTTTTCTGTATTTCTCATGTCCCTTGTTCTTCTCTTCCAGCAGACCGCCAGTTCTCCCATGTTACCCGCCACTGGCATCACCAACCAAGCTGGCGGAGCTGTGCAGACCTCGGTGGCCATAGCCCAACAGCATCTCCCTGCTTACAGGCAGCCAGCTGGTGTACATATGCCCCAGTATCCCCCTAATTATATGCCGTATGGTCATTATTTCTCCCCATTCTACGTTCCAACTCCTCCAATTCATCCCTTCTTTAGTAGCACCGCCTTTCCCCAGCAGCCCTTGGCCAGCAGCCTGTACCCACCTCCTGCCGCCGCCGCCACCGCCACCCCCGTAAAATACTCCCAATATAAGAGCGGAACCGGCGGCAGCAACCCTTCTCACTCTGCCGTGCCATCGAGCAATGGGCCCTACAGCTCCGGTCAACCTGGGTACACCTCCAGCCCTCCAGTGGTCAACGATGACCCCTCCGCGACCCAGTACAAGGACAACAACGTTTACATCAGCGGGCAGCAGGTATTTTCTTTACCCAGATGGCGCTCCTCTCTCTTTCTCTCTCTAAAGATCTCTTGCTCAAATCAATGATGGGCTATTGTTCTCTTGTTCTCCCGAATCTGAATAAGGCAGGGATTTATCAATAATGGTTGACTCTTTTGAAAAACATTGGCTCACGTGTATCAACTGTGCTATAGCCCTTGTGATACAAATCTTAACATATAGATAATTTCTTTACCAAGATGGGTATTTGATGATCTGGATAATAGTTCTTTGGCCGTTTATTTTTAGTCAATGGGGGGTTTGACTATGTTCTTCGTTTTCCTTGATTTGTCGTGTTGCAGAGCGAAGGCGGCACAGTCTGGATTCCAAGCCCTGGGAGGGATCTTCCCGGCCTCCAGGCGGGTTCTTTCTACAATCTCCCTCCGGGGCAGCACATGCCATTCGCAGCTGCTCAGTCAGGAAACAACCCCTTTGCTGGGCTCTACCATCCTGGCCAGTCTCTGGGCGGCGCCGCCACCATGCATCCGATGCTCCAGCCGCCGTTGACCGTCAGCGGATCCGGTGGTGCTGAAATGGCGCCGCCACCAGCCGGCGTCTACCAGCAGCCCCAGCGTGCGCAGATGAATTGGGCCGGTAACTATTGATCGGGGATTGGCGGCTTTCCTCAATTGGTGGTGAAGGATCTTGCAGGTTGACTGCCGCAGAGAGATGAAGGTCTTGATGTCGAGCTGTGGCGGAAATCGGCCGTAGACAGAGTGTAAATATTTCTATATAAAGAGCGGCCGGAGACTGCCGGGAATGGCGGTGGCGGTGGCGGTGGCGGCGGAGGAGGTGCGGACAGTTCTCCTTGCTTGACTTCTCTCTTCTGTTTCCTGTTGTTCAGTTCGTCTCTCTCTACACCTGTTCTTCCTATTTCTGTGGATCTTGAAAGGTTTGCTTCCCTTTAGTTTAGTCTCTCTCTCTCTCTCTCTCTCTCTCTCTCCCCTCCCTGTGGCGAATGTCAACGGCTCCTCTTTGGGAGGTGGTGTTCTTATGGAGTTGCTGGACTTCATTCTTTTTACTGACATGTAAAGTCAATTTTGGGGGGTCTCAAGCAGAAATGTGTACCTCGACTGTTGTGATTCTTATAGTAAGTAGCCCTTTTGGGTTGGTATTCCTCTCACTAGCCGCCGTCGATGGGCCGCCTAGACATATCATTATACTCTCTCTCTCTCATCTCTCTACGTCTGATTTGATAGTTAATATATATATAGAGATAGAGAGAGGTAGCGAGAGAGAGAGAGAGAGAGTTATCACACGTGCCGAAGGTTTAGGACGAATGGGGGCAGAAATTACGGAACTGCCATGCCGGTGGTGCCCGGGCAGTATCGAGAAGAGGGCAAACGCTCTCGTTGGTCGGTTACCCTCACTCGCGGTTCCGCCACCGCGTCTGACCTTCTACGGCATTTCCGGTGTTGCGGATGTCGTGGAGGGTACCAGGCCGGGATGGTAACTACACCAAGGGTGGTCGTAATCCACCATTTATATGACGGGGGAGAAGAGACGAGAAGGCAGTAGGAGATGGAGGAGCTACGGGGCGGAGGCATGCAGATCTGCTGCTCCTGTTGCTGAAGGTAACTCGCTGTAGCCTTGATCCAGATCTGAGGAGTTCTTCACTTCGTTTTGAGCTAAGATTTCTGGATTCTTCGTCCTATTCCGTGTTGTGCTGCAGATCTGAAGCTCGTTTTGCGGTTTGGACTGCTGCTCCCTGAGGCTGCATTCCTCCGGCGCGGCGGCCTCGGGATGCCTCAGCTTGTTGTGGAGTTCCCGGAGCTTGGAGCAGCTGTTTGATAGTTGCATTTTCCGTTTGGTTGAGGTTTCAGCGGATTGAGGTTCGCCCGTTGGTAGATCTGCGCCGAGATGAAGGGGGTGCGCGGGAGCTTCGCTAGGTCGGGGAGCTTCAACGCCGATAGCCTGGGGCACGACACCATTCGCCTCATCGGTAACCTCTGCTTTGGTCTCTTCGTGGCCGGGGTGCTCGTCTTTACCATCATCGCTGCCACTTACCAGCCCGATGATCCGCTCCTCCATCCCTCGGACAAGATCGCTACATTTCTGACCTCTACTTCTAACGCCACGTTCCGCTCCGATGAGAGCGCCATCTGGACAGGGGAGGATTTCATCTCCCCAGTCAACGAGACTGTCGCCACCGATTCTTTCATCAAAATCAGTGACATCGCCCCCAGTGCAGCCGCAGATGACAGCATGACTGCTGTGGCGATCGAGCAGCCTAAGGAATGCGACGCAACCGCGCCAATCGACTGCTCAGATCCAGAGATCTTTCACATGATGATGCGGGCGGCGATAGAGCAATTCAAGGACGTCCACTTCTACCGGTTCGGGAAGTCTGTCCGAGGCGACGGTGACAACTCCTGCGACATGGCGTGGCGGTTCCGCCCCAAGGATGCAAAGAGGGCCACCTTTTACAAAGACTACCGTAGGTTTGAGATCAACCGTGGGGATAATTGCGTCCTTAGTGTCTCGAATATTGGAGAATACCACTCTGGAGTCAATGCGAGGAAGAAGAAGAAGGGAAAGGGACCGAAGGAGGGGGACGTTGGTTTTGAACCAAAGCACGATGAGAACAGCAAACCAGAAACGGTGGTGCCTCTGGTGGGTGAAGCAGTGAATGATTCACTCCCCGTGGTGGAGTCCGAGGGTTCGTTCAGCAGCGGCAAGTACTTGATCTACTCGAACGGGGGCGATCGGTGCAAGAGCATGGATCACTATCTGTGGAGCCTCTTATGTGCCCTTGGCGAGGCTCAGTACCTGAACCGGACACTGGTCATGGACCTGAGCATCTGCTTGTCATCTATGTACAGCTCAACCAGTCAGGATGAGGAAGGGAAAGACTTCAGGTTCTACTTCGATTTCGAGCACTTGAAGGAGTCGGCATCCGTGCTAGACCAGAGGGAGTTCTGGACAGATTGGGGAAAGTGGCAGAAAAAAGATAAGTTGGGTCTCTACCTGGTGGAAGATTTCAGGGTTACCCCAATGAAGCTGGCCAGTGTCAAGGACTCCCTGATCATGAGGAAGTTCGGGATGGTGGAGCCAGATAACTACTGGTACAGGGTCTGTGAAGGGGAGACCGAGTCCATCGTCGGGAGGCCGTGGAACCTCATCTGGAAATCCCGCCGGCTGATGGAAATCGTATCAGCGATTGCTACGGACATGAACTGGGATTTTGACTCCGTCCATATCGTCAGAGGTGACAAGGCCAAGAACACCAAACTCTGGCCCAATCTTGCTGCAGACACTTCCCCTGATGCACTCCTGACCACCCTCAGAGACAAGATCGACGACGGGAGGAACCTCTACATTGCAACCAACGAGCGCGACACCTCCCTGTTCGATCCCCTCAAGGACAGGTACACCACTCACTTCCTCGACGATTTCAAAAACCTGTGGGGAGAGGGCAGCGAATGGTATGCAGAGACCAAGGAGCTGAACAACGGCGTTCCTGTGGAGTTCGACGGGTACATGAGGGTGGAGGTCGACACAGAGGTCTTCCTGAGAGGCAAGAAGCAGATCGAGACCTTCAACGACCTCACCAGCGACTGCAAGGATGGAGTCAACACCTGCAAAACGGTCTCCTAGCCCGACAGTGGACGGTACGCCCTCAACTCCCTCATTCTATTAGCCTACATTACGTCCAAGGTCAACGGCTCACCACACTGCAATAACCTCCGCATAATTCCTCCCCCCCTCCCACTCTTTGAGATTTTGATCCACTTTGGGTAATCTGTTGAATGCTAGTGTCTCCTGTTTGGAGATGTTTTAATCTCTGCTTCCGCCTACCTGGATTTCCCTGGGCTTGGACCCAATGATTTCTCTAGAATAATAGATCCAAACCCTGAATATGAATAGATTTAGTACTACCCAGATATGTTTCTCGGCTTCAAGGGAAGGACCGTCTTGAATAAATCATGGCTTTTTCTTGATCACAATTCGATATTTTGGTAGTCTGAAAATCCGATGAATTAATTCTCTAGAAGACCCTGGATTTTTTGTCTCGGATTTGAGATTATCTACCAACATAAACACGAGATTCATCGTCTGAGAGTATCACTCAAGAACACAGAATAATCCGATCTTGGTGATCTACCCTCCCTACCCTAGGAACTCCCGTGCACATCTCACTCGCACGAGGAATAGAATAAGTAACCCGGCGGCGTGCGGCGGCGGACCCCCTCGCCTCCAGAGACACCCCCCCACGCCCTCCGGGCGGCGGCGGCGCCCGATAAGAGCTAAAGAAGTTCATCTACCGGGCCGCCGCTAGACCGTTGCGTTAGGCAGCCCACTGGACTGCACCACCGTATAAGCCGTTAACGCCCAACGGTCTCACCAACCCCGCGATGCCCAACGGCTACTACCCCACGTCGTCACGTCGTCGCCGTGGGCGGCGGCGACGGCGACCGAGCCCGGTGGAGCGACCTCCTCTTCCGGGTTTGCTTGCTTCTTCCCCAATAAACAAACTGCCGGTAGGCGGCCGGCTTAACCCTCCTCCCCCTGAAACTCCCCTTCCCGCTAAAGCAAAAGGACAGTGGCCTTTTTAGCTCCGCCACCGCCGGCAAAAGGCTTGCTTGTTTCAGGCAGAGAACCATGCAACCGGCGGAGCACGGCGGCGGGCCGGCGGCGCCGCCGCAACGCCGCCCCCCGGTGTTGGTGAGGGCGGCGATGAGGGTCTCCAGGGCGAGATGGTACGCCTTCCTGAGGAGAGTCTTCCGCCACCAGAACGGCCCCGTTGGGGGAGACTCATCGGCCAACCCGTTCGGTTCTTCGCTGTGGGCGGCGCTGGAGTTCGCCTCCGTCCTGGTCCAGCTCGCCGTCGCCGCCATAACGGTCGCCGTAGCCGCCGCCCGCGGCGAGCGCCCCGCCTGGCCCCTGAAAATCTGGCTCGCCGGGTACTCCCTCGGGAACCTCCTCAGCCTCGCCCTCCTCCTCCATCGCCTCCTCTCCCACCGCCGCCGCCCCTCCGCCGGCAACGATGTCGAGCAGCCCGGCGGCGCCGCCGTGGAGGCGGCGGAGAAGGGGAGGACGGTGATGGAGCTGTTCCACGCGGTGTGGTTCGTGATGGGGAACATATGGCTGCTGGACTCCCGGTGGGTGTCGTCGGGGCAGGCGCCAGCGCTGTACGCGCTGGGGCTCGGCCTGTTGGCATGGAACGCCGCCGCGTACGCCTTCCCGTTCCTCGTCTTCCTCCTCCTCTGCTGCTGCGTGCCGATCGCCAGCGCCGCGCTGGGCTATAACATAAACCTCGCCGCCGATCACCGCGGCGCCTCCGACGAGGACCTCGCCCGCCTCCCCCACTGGGCCTTCCAAGAAGCCCTCCCTCTCCTCCACTCGGTACCCGCACCCCCCCTCTCTCTCTCTCTATCTCTCTATCTATCTATCCATCTATATTATATATATATATTTATATCTTTCTCGGTCTGCGTGTGGATGGGCAGGAGTGCTGCATCTGCCTGGCAAAGTATAGGGAGAAGGAGGAGGTGAGGGAGCTGCCCTGCGCCCACATGTTCCACCTGAGCTGCGTTGACCACTGGCTGAAGATCATCGCCTGCTGCCCGCTCTGCAAGCAGGAGCTGGAGAGGTGACGAGCCGGCGGGGGGGGGGGGCACTGGACACTGGGCAGAGAGCATTCTTTTTCATCTCGAAAATGGGTTTCAATCCATGTACAGAAATCTCCACTGGGGTCCAAAAATCTCCAGAATTAGTAAATAAAGAAGGATCATCTCAGATTTCTTGGGGGATGGCGGTCAACGCAGAGCAGTAACCTGTGTAAAAATGAGCGAGAGCCCTTGGCAGGCCTAGATTGCAAAATTGCAGGAGAGTGAACAAAAACCAGTTCTTCCTCAGGGAGCAGGAGGAGGGGAGACCATAAAATGGCCGTGTGATGGAGACGACCTGTACAGGTTGGTGCGGAGATGGAAGAACCACGTTGGGTGGTGGGCTCCTCATTTTCCGCGGGCCTTCCATTTCTTCACCGGAAAAAGCGTGAGCTTGGTGCTTGGAATGTACGATCTGCCTTCTGCGGCTCGCAGCCTCGAGATGTTGACTTGCTGCTCTTCGGCCGCCATGTCGTCTGTGAATGGCCTCACCTCGAATGTGCCCCTGGTGAAGCCTCTGGCGACCTGTTTGGCAACTCAACCAAATCATGGGGTGAGATCTTTGATTAATATATATATATATATCACTTTCCATTTCATGAAATATTATGCAAACCTTTCCTGCGTTCTTCGTCATATATATATATATATATACATATATCTCAATTGCTTTTCCTAAGTGACCCATAACACGATTCTCATGCTTTCTTCAAGCAAAGGAACTCCATTGACCAGTGGGTATTGGTTTTGAGACTAGCTCAGTGCTGTGCAGATGTTTACTTCAGACCCAGAGACTGAAAAATATTTAAATACTTCTCGCCATTGATGCTGACCTTGCAAGATTTTGTCCCAAAATGACCAAAATGGTTATATCAGCCAAAATGGCCGTGTTTCCTTTTTCTTCTCCTCTAATATCTGCCACTTATTTGCCATTTTTATACACCCTTGGAACTACTTTAAATCCGAGACCATACATGAAAGCAGATAGAATCTTTTTGTGCTCCTTGTGGTTTTGGCTGGTCAACCATGCGTTCTGCAGCGAAGGGCCCACCCCAAGTTGGGCCGTGTGTGGGCAGAAAATGCACAGCATGGACATAGAAAGATGTTTTTATGAATGCTGATTATATGTACCTTTAGGAGAATCCAAACTTTGAGAGAGCTGCTCAAGACTGCCAACTTTGTGCGCTTCCCTGATGTCAGGTAATTGAACATATATCGGTCAACCCTCAACACAAACCTTGGCCAAGATTTTGCATTCTCAGGGTCTGCCTTCTGGTTAGATAAAGCCTGGCGCATATTATATACCCAGATTAGATGGCTGAACTGTGCGATAATGTTAATCATTAATAATGGTATTTTTCAAGCGAAGAACTTCAATGCCTAACATAAATCATGATGGAATTCCAGAAAAAGCAAGATGAATGATATTCGGACATATTACCTCAGTTATGATGGGTAGTAGCATTTACAAACCTAAATATTAGGATTATCAGAAGGCACCGTAGGATGAATATCTTGGGATAAAACTTATCTAATTAACTTTATAACTCAATCATATAATTAAAGTACTTCAAGATTCAAGCAATATCCCAGAACATGATCCCATGTCTTAGAATAACACGAACACAAAGCCATCCTTTAAACATAAAACCTTGATTGGATCAGAAATTTTCTTTTTCAACAAAAGTTTCAAGTGGTTTTGAAGATTCCGTTGCCTCTGAAGTCTATGCAATCGAGATAACCAAAAATACAGCCAGCCATTTTTATACTGAAATTTAATTCAGAACCAAAAGATAAAAGAAATTTCGAAAAAAAAATGTTACTCACAAGCCTGCGACAAATTTCATGTTCAATTTTTGAAAATGATGTCTCTAGAGCTTCCACTCGACCAGTAGCATGACAGCAAGGGCATGGCTCGCTTATCATAAATGCAACACTTGGGCGAACCTGTGTCATATGAGAGCATTCTTAGCTGGGGTTAATTGTTTACATGTATAAAAACTGCATTGACCCCACTCTTGATCAAGGCTATAAAAGACATTCAAAAGCCCCTTCAAATAAATCATGTAATTTAAATGCACAAAGTGAGAATCTCCGGTGCTTCAACTTCGCCGGATAGAATACAGCTCAGAGAGGTTTAAAATATTTCAAGTTTATTTTTGACATGGATTTGAATGATAATTGTCATTATCCAGACTATTATTAAGATATTCATCATAAAACATATCATATTCATTAATTTTCATGCCTATCATATCAATCCAAGTACCACATGAAATTTCAGAATTATTAACTAAATCTTGACAAAGAGATCGATGCTACATTCACTTAAAAGAATATATCTAAATTGCCCACGTATAGGACTCTTCCATGAGTGTTAGGCCTGGCTATATTGAGCGGCAAAGATCCTCTCACAAGTCTCAGGCAGCTCATATGAAAAAATTAAAGACTGATGTATCCTCAGCCAAAAAAAATAACGTGTAAGTCTCAGTAAGTTATATGGCATTTATATCCCAGTGCTTTACCCTCTTTCTGGTTATCTCCATCAACCCATGTCTTGATAACTCAGACACTTTGACTATTGATCGATCTCTCTCCACAGCCTTCTTCATTTCTTCGTAAACTAGCCTTTTATTTGCTGTACAAGAAAATTATTTGCAGTTAAAAAGGAGTCAATATTTAGTTATTATAAAGCTACAAATAACATGATATATTTTATGCTAGATCTGTCATCAAAAATTGTTTTAAAAAAATGGAACTAGAAGCATAGAAGAGAGAAGAAGGGGTGAAAAGATATCTTAGAAAGCTTGGATGGAACACGGCATCACAAAGTTGGAAATTCTCTTAAAATCAAGAAAAATAGGCGGTTGAATTCAACTAAAGTGGGCGAATGATGTTTGAGGAGCAGTGACTAACAATGGCTTTAAAAGCATTAGAAGAAGGGCAACTAGTTTATCCCATAGCAATATAACTGTTTTAAGAGGATCAGATCAACGACAATAATCAAACCAATGTGAAATAGTGATTCACGAAATATTTACTCATTATGATGACGCCAAATTGACCCGACGTTTTAAGAAAAAAGATTGCTTGAGAAAACATCCGTGGCACAATATCCAGTGTAGTAGGGCATAACATGAAATGTGATAGTGACCAAAAAAATGCCGTGCCTGAGGAACTAATCATCATAGTAGATCAGTTCTAGTACAAGTGAGAGCTGAAACCTCTATCAGTCGAATGCAAATGAAGAAATATAGAAACTCAAGGTAGATAATCATCCGATTAGGTCTCCTTGAACGTGTACAATGTAAGATTGATAGACACAAGTAAAGATACTTTGGAGCAGCCACTAGGCTTTTTTAATGGAAAGTAAATAGAAATAAAGGCCATTTATCGTTCATATTTGATGAGGATAAAGTGAATGATGTTCCAATTAAAGAAAGCATGGAAGCTCAGTCATACTCAATGATAAAATTAAAAAGCTCACCCACCAACCCATTATGATTCGCATGATTTTGACCAAAATTCCAACTTTATATTACTTCATACGTGTCAAGGTCGTCCCATATGGTGGCTGGGACAGACGAGCCTAGTATGTATTTATTCCGACTATACAATACTTGGATTCCACTTCACTGAGATCAGTACAAACTAAGATCTAAGCCATACCTAACAGACTTCAAGAACTTTATGAGTATTTTTAATAAGAAAATCTGATCTAGTTGGGATGTCTTGCAGGATGTCCTTATAAATTATTGTAGAGAAAAATCTAATTTTCACCTCATGGCAGTTCTGAGTTTATCACAGGTGCTTGTGGTTGGTGCGTTGTACAACAGATATTGCTAGGAAACATGCCAGAAAATGTTAGATTAAACACCATCATACAGTGTTCACTTAGGACAATAGAATGGTGACAACTGCATAATGGAAACTAATCACACATCCATGCACTTATTGATAATCCATGTATGGTCCTAAGGAATGCACAATATGAGACATGAGAGAAAGCATGCGGAGTTTGTCATAATCCTTATGCTCTTTCTTTTTCTAGAGTGAACGGTCTCTATGATACAAAAATCCAACTGAAAATCTGAGATTCAGAATTTCAGGAAAACAAAGAAACGCATTTATAAGAGATTAAAATGACACTCCATCACTATGGATATTTAAATGGGTCAATTACTTACACTCATCAATCATATCAATGAAATCGACCACAATAATGCCGCCAATATCCCTCAGTCGTAGCTCCCGTGCAATCTGAAAGTAGAAATATTAATATCGTTTTTTAACTATTTTATGTGAGCTGCCAATCATACTTGATAAATAATAGTACTGAAGAAAAGTATTTTCAAAGTGAATCATCTTGAAAGAACAGAACTGAAGACCCATATAGCCACAACAAGGCAGGCGATACCTACTTAATACTTTGGTAAGGAAAATAACATATTAGAAATCAGAAGCTAAGCAGTAACAACTCCTCTCTCTTCCTCGATAACAGAGCTTCAGAAATAGAAATCTCATGGTTGAGTTATGGGAACTGAGTTCCCAGCCCACAACTAAATAAAATACATAAGGGTAATGACCTGGAAAAGATTTGATAAGCAACACTCAACTCTGGATAAGATACCGGCTACAGTAAACCAGTTCAGCAGATGACAGAGTCAAAAGCCAGACATTTACAGACAAGTTTGGTAAGAGAAAATATGTAGGCTCATTAAAGAGATCTGTTAAAAAAATTGAACTGATGCATTAGTATCTATGTACTCTAAGGTATGCAATAGTGATGCGAACCAAACAAGAATAAACAGTGGGGAAAACTTTCTGTCATATTGACTCATGGAACGATTTCTGGTCATACTAATTACCCTGGGCTCAAAAAAGGAAAACTATCTGGGTTGAATTCCACGATTTATAGGATACTCAACCAAATTACGAAACTGACCGACAACCTAACCCGTAATTATATATTTTTTCCACACATGGAAAAAATACCATGAAAGGATGATAAATTTCATATAGATGGTTCTAACTTAGTTTCTTCTCTATCATATGGTTGCAGAGCACAACATGATGTGACTAAGCGGTCCTAAGAGAACGTTAATTCCCCTTCAATCTCAAGAGAGCTAACTGAGTTTGGCATTGCACTACGTCCATCCATCGGATTAGACATGGTCACTTCTAGTTGTCCAATGCTCAGGTATCCGTACTTCGCCAGATTCTAGACTTTTATTCTCATCAAGTCATTTACATCTCCCTGGCACTGTCTCACAGCACTTCCCTCATTTTTCCTTGCAGAAATGGAAAGCGTTTAGTATGATAACATAAAAACTTCCGAGTATAAAAATAGTATCACTGGATTCTATGCATCTCTTGGTGATATATTTATTCGTTAAACTGAAAGCAGTGACCCTTCTGTGACAGGGTCTGGTTATCAAATAATGGAAGCCACATTCGCCAGAACCGTCTAAACGCTCTAATCTCTATCTCTCTCTCTCCCCTCCCTCCCCATCTCAAGTCATCCTTCTGCAATTAATATATCATGCACATAGATTAAAAGAAATCATGCAAAGGCAAGTTTTCCGAACTGATTCAAAGTTTAATTTTTTCACTTCAGGCAGAAACTCAACACAAGTTCATTGTATCATCATCTCAGATGCATGTTTGTAATTAGGAGCAAAGTGTGCGTAACTCAAAACATACTTGTTTTGCAGCTGCAAGATTGACATCAAGGACAGCTTTCTCCTGCGAAGTTCCTTGGCCAAGCATGCTATGGCCCCCATTGACATCAATAGAAACAAGAGCTTCAGTTTGCTCAATCACGAGTGAGCCTCCATTAACAAGTGGAACTCTGGAATGAAAAATGAAAGAGTGAGAATAACAGTATGAGGACCACTGAGAAGGAATCCATTATAAGCTTAAAAAGAGCGAAAATTGTCTAACATAGTCAGCTATATCATAAATAAATATAATTGACGATAGGAGATTTTCTATTCACATAATTTCCTGTTTCTAACATTGTCTTGGAAAAAAATAAATCTGACTTGAACTTGGGTTTAATACGGCAACAAATATAATGATCATCCCAACCAGACTTCAGGACGCACATGCTAATTCGAGCATGCATTAGTTTGCTTTAATTGGAAACAGTTGGGACGCCGAATCCTATTCTATGACACTATAGGAAAACAGCTTTGATCTGTTGAAATATGTTCCCGGCAACTTCGAAACTTGTTTCATTCATGAAGCCCGCACTTTTACCCCAAAGCCTGACCGCTCTGATTCAATTTAACCAGAGGAACATGCTCCCCACCATCAAGAACGCAGATTGATGGCCTAAGGTAACTGAGAGATTTCTTTTTCGAAATTTATTGTGATGGAGTAGGATTTGATTGCGAACTTGAAATTTGAGAACACAACATAACAGCAGGATATTGAAAAAAAATTTGATGGCGCACAAACCTCAAGATGGAGTTTTCTTTTATATATCATAGCGTAAAAGGGGATGTCGAAGATCAAAATCAATTTATTTCACATGACTAATGCCAATAAATTGCGTCTGCATATGCAAGCCATGAACTTTTTCTGAAATGGGAGTGATGAAGTATTGATAATTGGTAAAAAAAGGCATGAGTGGAATTGAAAACAAAACATATTTAGTAAAAAAACAGTGAATAGGTAGCGCCAGATCCTGATGAGACACCAATCACGAAAGTGCATGGGGAGAAAAGTTGGGGAAGCCCAATGCGGCATCAAGTGGAGATACTGAGAAGAGACTTGAAAGAGAAATCACACAGTATCACATGGTGATAATATTTAAAATCAATGCACAAATCAAGTCATACATTGACAGCTAGCAACAATAGAGAATATCAAATCTGTGAAAGATTCAAGAAGAGAAGAAATATATTATATTTTCTCTCATTTCATTCTTTAAAAGACAAATGAAGTTAATTTTTACCAAGTAAATAATGACATTGCCGAACTACTTTTATTAATTAAACCAACATCATAACATAGGACAATAATATGCCACATGTTAGGTCACAGCCTTTAGGTTTTTTGATAAATACTTTAGGCTAAAACAAGTCCTAGGGAGATCTTTTATTTAAAGTGCCAGGTCCTTGCACTAGATTGATGACATAACACTGGGTGATAATGACATTTTATCTGAACATTCTGGTTATGCTCACTATGAATGATAATAGACTTCGCATTTTAGAACAGCAGGTAGACCTAGGGTGGCTTCTCTATTTCTAACAGCGTTATAACTAAGAAAGAAAACTTTGGGAAGTATACATCTGCATGATGAAAAATATAAAAAGTGACCAAGACTATTTTTTTTTTCCTAATTAGAGATGACCAACCCCAACCCATCCTGGTGCAGAGTCGCAACTCTTCCTGTAGAAACCTCCAGCTGACATTCTTTCCTTCTTTGAAACATCATCAGTAAGTGATAATTGTGAGCTTGGATCAAAGATAAATAAAAGCACATATGCAAGATTAATAATGCAACAATTATGGAAGTTCGTGCCATAAATTCAGATACTATAAATTTGAATAGTAACTTAAGTTCCAGAGAGAAATGAAAAATAAAATTTGATGATAAATCAAGATGACCCCCTTGTCCTGGGAACCAGAAAAGGGAACAGTATGCTATCTTGTAGGGTAATAGAGTCCTCACTTTTTACTAAGAATGCTATTGATCTCTTCTTCAACACCATATTCATCAAAAATGGGAGTTCTTTTATTGTATAACTCAACCCTGTCAGACAGGTTGGGAGCAATTTCTTGAAGATAGCTTGTAACCTGAGGAAGGAGGATCCAAACAATTATGTGCAAAATCAAAACAATGTAGAAACTAAGTCAATAAATTAAATCTCAAACTATCCACTAGTAAGACAATAATAGAGATTCTAGAAGTTTCGCTAATAGTGTAAGAAACAACACATAATAATGACATTAGGTACCATAGCATAGGGCCACCTGTGCCTTATATGAATTTGAGAATGTAGTATAAAGTTATTCTCTTCCGATCGTCAAGGATTGTGTTTTTATCACAGGACAGAGATTAAAAATGATATAAGTTCATTATTCTCGAGGATTCTGCAAGGGTATATATGAGGATTCCTTACAACATAAGTCCTGATGAAGGGAGAAATACACAACACAATAATACATATGGATAACTCCTTCTAGGACAAAAGTCTTACACCATCATCCTTTATATATAAAAATATCTCAATTGATTTCGAATAATACCTCATGGTAAGTCCGAGGAGAGTCGACTACCATGCTATTGACCTGAATGAGGTATTTGCAACTCTTGAGCCCAGGATATTAGAAAACAGGTGAAAACATAATAAATCCAGTCGAGTTACGGTGCTATGAATCAAACCTTCTCATTAAAATAATCTTGCACTACAGAGAGAGTCTGGCCCATTGCTCTATGCAATAAAACTGGAACAGCACCCTCTACACCCTCATCAGCAGCAAGAGCTGCAGATTTTGCATGTTCAGCTATTCCTCTCCAGGTGGACAACAGCCCCTCCAGATCCTTCTGCAATTCCTCCAGAGAATGACTGGAAGCGACAGTTCTGACAGTCAAACCAAAACCAGGTGGTTGCAACGTTTTTGCAATGACTCTCAAACGTGTACGTTCAACTCCAGTAATCTTCTTTGAGACACCGATTCTGTTACAACGAGCACTCAATATCTGCAAGCCAAAAACAATAAATATCCTATATGCAATCATGATTCATTTTTTAGGTCACTTATTATAATACAGTAGATCAAAGAGCATAATGAAGAAAACTATAAGATATGGCATAGTTTTCCTAGATCTGGGATTTGGAATGCTCATGACAGAAGTACAGTGTATCCGAAATATTTATACACAGATAACTGACCTTTCGTGGAAACTTTTAGAATATAATCATATAGACATGAGAAAGAATCTACAGTGATGAAAAAACCTGATCTCATAAGACAAATATAGTCCCATTACAATCTGATGAAATTTCGGAATTTTGTCTGCATGCCACTCGTAATACTTTTATCCGATGTTTTTTGCACAAAGTTCATTATCCAAAACAAAAACGAAAAATAGATAACCATGAAAAGATTAAAAAGGTGTGTCATTAGATCTTTCAAACTGTACGATTAGCCAGAAAACATATCTAAGAAAAAATGTTCTACATTTTCCTGTATGCATCTCTAACACAGATGTCAGTATTTCCCGTTTATGCACACACTTTGTGTACAGTTCCAGTGTCTCCTCTTTTAAGAAACAAAATAATCAAGCTATAACATGAGATTCGGCCCAAGAGCTAAGCTTCCGATTCAGGACCAGTTTCAGGGCATACTTTCAGGAGGAAGATACAGTTAAGCGAGCACAGTGAAGATGACTCATGCTTTGCACAGGGGAAAAATAACATTTTACTCCCTGGAGCACATCAAACTCAATACAATGGTACCAATCCCAGGGAAAAATGGATATCCAATAGTAAGGATCTAGCATGAAAAATAAATGGTGTTTTACGATAAATCTACTTAGTGACTTCAACTATAATATTTCATCTCTGTCATTCTGGGATCACCAAATATTAGCATGTCAGATATAGGTTGCATAGGTAGGGGATGAAGGGATGAAATTCCCTGCTACTTTTGGGGGGGGGGGGGGGGTTATCTTTGTGTCTGATGCAAAAGCGAAATCCAAATTCAAAATGAAAACCCAACAATTTATAGATGAGTAGGATCTTAAACCTTTTTGTACAACATATACGTATATGTTTTCAACGTAAGCAGAGAGAATCCTAACCAACGAAAAAATACAAACTAAGAAAAGCAGCAGCCCCTCCAGATGCCAAACGGTAACAGTACATAATCCCGTACTGAGTGAAGACTTTGTTGTATACAGAGACGCATAAGCCAAAACAATCACGACACAGTGTGCATAAAAACCAAGCGCATGCAGACGATTAGTTGTTGAAAAATAAATTGTCGCAGAAAGGCTACGTTTATGTTTTATATAAAGCGCAAGAACATTATGACATATACGAATGATCAGAAAGAAAATGTATACTCCGTTTCGTGATTAGAAAAAGGGTGGCAAGAAAAAGTAGAATAATTCGCTTACCCAGAATCTACTTCTCAGAGTTGGATATGCAGTCAGAGCAGGACCTTTTGTCCCTAGTCCCTCTTTAACAACTTGAACAATCACTTTCGTGCCTTTTCGAACATGATCCCACTTATTCTCAACAGTATAAGGATCACTATTTTCTTTCAGGCTTTGCAGGAAAAGGTCTGATAAATCTGTATCATTTGCACCTTCCGTTTCTAACGAAAATAGGTCCGCAACAGATCCATATTCCATGGAATGCTCCTTTTCTTCATAATAATCTTCAAAGTCAATTTCCCCGTCAGCATAGTTCACTGCACCATTAGTCACAGGTGTCTTACGACCACTGGAGGCATTGATGTTATCTATATGCTCATCGTCCTCAAGAACCTCATTTATGAATTCTATTGAATCATTCTGTTCATCAACATCCACAAACTCATCATTTATGGTGTCCCCACTGTAAGTAGGATAATGTTCCTGGACATCCAGGGTCTCACTTACTTCATTACTCACATAGCCATTGATTTCCTGTCCATTGACCTTTTCATGGAAAGGAGGATATGCAAATGGTTCCCTGTTTTGCTTTATTTCCATAAGTGATGGTCGAGAAATCCCAATATCTACAAAAGCACCACCCATGTGTGGAACAAGCTTAGTGACTACACCAAGATATACACTATCACATTGCACATTATGCTTTACCGGTTCCAGTAACAACTCCACAAGCTTCTCATCTTCTAGGATGGCAATCCTTTGCATAGTACATACGGATGAGTTGATGAGGATGACAGTTGAAACAGGTTTACCAACGTGTCCTAACTTGTAACCGTGCTCAGCTCCCTCCTTTTCCGTAGCTTCAGACAACGTTTTGGGGGAGTCGAGTTCTGAAGCTACTGTTTTATCAGATAAAAGACTTGGAACACAAGAATCCATTCCAGATGCAACTGCTGCTTCGGGCAGCCAAGGTTCCTCAAGAGGTTGGTCTCTCTCAGGAAACTTCTTCAAATCTTTAATGGTATTGAGCTGTGATGCCACTTGAGAATTGTCAGTCCTCCTTGAGGTCTCAAGTTCAACTGTTGATCATCAACATTGTCTAAGCTTAAGCAATCAAAGGGGGGACAGTGAGAAGTTGCAATATAAAAGAAACATGTCGTATGTTACCTGGAGATAGTGACTGTTGCTGTCCATGCTCGATGGGTTCAGGACAGTCTATGACCTCTAACCACGTACCCCAGGAAAAAACTGGAGGTATTTCTATTTTGCTACTCATCCACAAATCTTTTACCATAATTTTTTTATTAGGTTGTTTTGACAAGGGTACTGAAAGTGAAAATTCAGGCCCTAGTCTCCAAATGATATCACAATAAGCTCCTGTGTCTTGTTTTATGAAATAGTTATATTTGAAATGAACTCCATCAGGCACCTGAAATGTATGAAGTTAAAAAATTAGTACCAAAGGACTAAGAGAATTTTTGAAGAAAAAACTCCAGTCATGGTTAATGATGTGAACCAATATCATCCTATTTCAGTTTTCATGAAATACTCTGAAACATAATTTTAGGCCTAATGCACCAATAAACTGGGCCGGGTATTGAGACTAACACATAATTTATTAATTACAAATGGAATCCTCAAAGCTAAATGGTCGTCTATAAATAAAGACGGAATTTATTTTTTTCTACCAGACGCCTATTTGCTGTTTTCTCAAACAAGATTAATCATTCTTTGTTTAGACTGTCCACAAAGCGTATCATATTCTGAATTTTGATATCTTATGCATAGGCCTGTGTGCAGTGAACTGGGTTGAATTGGGCTAAATTAGAAAAGCCCAATTTATAAAGGGTTTAGCAGAGGTCAACCCGACTTAAACATTAATTTAGAATCCACTAGTTTAAAATGCAAATAATCTTATATTTTATGATATAGACAACCTTTTATAATTACGAATCACATTCATAAGCCCATGCAGCATTACCTCAGGAAACTGCATTTCTTAGCGAATGATGCCTTAAATAGAAAAATGGAAAGAATTAAATAAGATGACTTGCTGGGACATTACAGCCAGGATCAAAATGGCTGTAACTATTCACTCATCAAGAATACAAATGCGCTCCCTTTGTTGATAATGAATAAGAATAGTAGTTAAAAGACCATAGAAAGGTAGTAAAACATGTATTGAGATATGAAATTGTTTACAAAGGTGAAAATAATACTGACCAAAAGGTTTGATACTAGCTGTCAAACGAGGAGACATAAAAGGCCCTCTCATTTATTTCTGTAAGCATATGCATATATGATGTGGATTTTAATATAGTATCACTGCCCTGCAACACGGTACTCTAGAAAACAGATCTATTTGCTGCAATGGATTGAAGGGCGCGTAACTAAGATTATAGCATATATCAACATAGAAAGAAATATTTTCAAAAAAAAAATTAATTAGCATACCTCTATTTCAGCCATCCACAAATTAGCACGTTCTTTGCAAGGAGACAGGGGAATGGCCTTCTCTGGTTCCCAGCAACCTAATGTGGCGGGATCACCAGTAACGTACAGGATCTCCCCCTCAGAAATATCAGCTTCTATATACCATAGCACCTTGCGAAAGTCACTGCATGCTGCTCTCATTGATTCGTCTGTTGAATAAAGCAGTCATATACAAAGAGATCGTGAGCTGGGTTACTAGCAGCTAAAGCACAATACAATTTGAACATATAAGCAGAGCTCCACAAAAAAAAGGTACAAAGGGATAAGTTTCCCAACTTAGAAGAAGATGTAAATTTTTTTTATATAATATATGTGACGTCTATCTTTCATTACTTATAATTTATAAATATATTAATTAAATTTATGTTTTTCACTTCCATTAATTACAAAATTACGTGTTTTACTAATTTTCATTCAAGTTTCTGAAATATTCAAATAGTAGATGGTTCTTTGACTTATCACAATTATTTAAGGAAAAATTCAAAGGGCTCATAATCAAAAAAAACTTTCAGATAGGCCTCAACAGTACGCCTGATATACTGAATCAAGAAAAGCTGCATACCTTTCTTAATGGACATTATTCGAGATCCAGGAAGGCACTTGCTAATCGTCAAATAGGTGACCTTAAAACCTCTCTGAAGTGGTATCCATTGGCAGAAATACCTGCAGTAGAAAAAATGACATATGGTTCCTCTCATATAGCCAATGAATGAGTAAACTAACCTATAAAAAAAAAGTAATCTTCACTTACAAACATGAACTGAAGGGTTGGATAAAACTTAAACAAGAAACCAAATACATATTTTTAATTATCAAAATATGTGTGATGTCCTTAGAGAGATTCTGGATTGGAAAAATAAAACACGAAAGGTTCATCGACTTTTTTTTAGAGTCTAATTTCTATTTTTTTCTGCTAACAAATGTCCTCAATGCACTAGAGCGATAGTCTACACTATAGTATGTGAACTAAACAAGAAGCCGTTCCTTCCCCATTACATAGAATACTCCATTCGTTTAGCCTTAATGAAGCACAAAGAAAACTAATATCTACTTTACATCCTTTATGGTCGTATAGGCAGTTGTTCTGCTCATTCTAGACTAATGCTGCTCCTGATCTATTCATAATAATTACAAACCAGCTAGAAGCTGCCCAACTGAAGTATAGTTTATCGAAAAGCCTCTATCAGATCTTCCATAAAAAAGAGAGCCCTAAGAATAGATGATTCAATCCCTCTACTTCCTCCAACAGATTGCAGGGAATATTAATATTACCAAATGAAGAGCTAACAGTTTGCACGTACATTATATATCTTTCAGTCCCTAGATACACACCCATAAACTAAGCAGGAAAACTGCCATGCTCTAAATGTGGGCTAGAGCATCATCAGTAGCAGGATTTCCTCGCCCACTTCTTAACTTTTCCTCAGCATCTTCGAACTAGAGATAATTTTTATTAATTTCTGTTGTGGAAAAGAACATATCCAGGCCTTGCCAATTATTACCATGATTCCCAACGAATCTAGTGTTCTATTTCACTGCATGGAGTGGGGTATACTGTTGACAGCTAGTTTGTGAGCTCATCTATCTGCATGACAAACTATGATGCTAATCAATGACTGATTCTCCTGCATTTGATACATATTTCTGCCTAAAAGTAAACTTAATGAGTATTTCGCACCATAAACCTGAAGGAAGTAGGGCGCTGCATTCTCCCGTTCAGATACTTGTCCTTATTTCATGATGGAGAAGCCATTGTCAAATGAACAAATTCTTCAGGCCTATGAACTCTATGGAAGCTTCGAAGCAGAAATGAACAAACTCTTCTTTCTACAAACTTGGTAATGGAATTACCACTCTGTTAGTTTTCTCCTTCACGACTTTCTTGTTTTTGAATGGCCCGATATAATTACACCATATGAGAAAGATTCCAAGTGTATCAAGAAACTATTTTTCATAAACATCTCTGAACAACCATCACCAGACAAATATACAATTTCGCATTGCTGAGCTTTGAAGGACAGAACTTCGTTCATTTCTCCTTCAACTAAAATTTTCACCAGAGCGTACCGAAATCCCACACGTTCCAAGATAGTGAAAATTTACCTAAAGCTAGAATGTGATCATAAATTGATCTTCTCCTCACGAAATAGGAAACAAAATTTCCAAGTCTTTATTCAAAATTCGTTTATTCCAGGTATTCTCAATAGATCAACCCATCCAGCTGCTAGGCTTCCCTAATTATTCAAAGGGCAAAGGATATACACATAGTGTCTGCGCTCAACCTCTATTGGATGCCAAGTTTAGTTTTAAGTTTGGCTATTAGTGAACCAGCGCTAATACTTTACCAGAACCAAAATAACCTCAAAAATTAAATTGATGGCATCTGAATAGTTTTTCATTAGAAAGTTGAAAGTTCTTCAGAACATGTATAACTCAACGTCCGCTGAGAGATGATGTATTCAACATTTACCTGCAAACTACGTACAGTTATTACTTGAAGAAGAGGGCTCAATTGAATTTTGAGATATCAAAAGGAAAAAAGAGAACATCATGGGGATGCCTTCAGCACATTAATATCTTTAGAACAAAAGCCAGAGGAACATTGGCAAATCATTTATGAAACTGTGCACGAAACATTGCAAGGAAGAGATGACTCATGCAATCAAGTGCATGTGGAATGACAATTATAAATACTAATCAAATACGAAACGCTTATCGGGCTTAATTGTCAACGTCAGCATCACAATTTGTAGACAAACTAAACCAGGTACATGGAAAAGTAAACTGCCTATCCGATAGATTTTAGTCTTTACTTGGAGAGAGCTTGCGGGCTTCCAGTGAACCGCAAGAAAGGGAAGCTAACGCGTCGCCCGAACGGAATCGGAGCCTGATGAGCTTTGCGGAGCGCCATGGCATCCTCCTACAGAAACGAACCGCTACAAGCGCCGGAAGAGAGCTACCGAGACACCACTCGAGCCAGCCGGAAGCTCACTTCCACGCCGGGAGACTAAATTGGAGAGCAGATGATGGGTTTCCACGCCATTTTGAAAAGTTGGAGGAGGGAATCCCGGAGGGCGGGTGCATCCATTGAGAAGCCTGACGTCTCAGTGGAGACGGAAGAAGATGACTGGGGGGGATAAGAGGAGGATATCGGAGACATTAGATGACAGAACCATGGGTAGTTACGTCATTTTAATCATTGTTATTTCTTATATAAATAATTATTTAATGGATACTTTCTCAGGCATAAACCTTTCTTGAGCCGCCTAGTTAATGGATGTTTGGGCTACTTTCACAAAATTATGAAGTAGAAGCCTTTTAAGTCATAAAAAATATAATTTGTTTAAATATATGTCAATGTATGGTATAATAATAACTTTTATTTTAGTAAGGGATTCCTGAAATTAAGAAAAATGTGACTGGAGTCCTTCCCTTTCATCCAACAAGCCCCGCCGCATCGGTCGTCCACTCGGTGAGCCTACGTGGTCGTTGCTGCCCCCAGGAGCATCCGGGCGGCTGCTCTGCCACCGTGGCAGCGGAAAGGCCACTTGGGCGGGACACCTGGTTCATTGCCTAAGTTTCTGATTTCAAATCAAGTTCACTAATAGAAACCGGATGAGCCACGTGGCAGTGAGTATGCAGCTCCAATGGCCAGGCTGGACATTTGGGACATACAAAAAGTTCGGTAAAAATCAGGGTTAGAAATTAAATTACGTCGATGACGTGTACAGAGTTTAGTTCGGCTTAAGGGGGGCCAAGTCTAAGAAACGTATATATAAGGGCTTTTAGTAAAAACATGGCTTTTGCAGGGACTTTGGCGATAGCCAGAGCTTAGAAGCCACCAACAGTTGGAATTAGACAGGGCCAATAAACAGTCGGCGTTGGAGAGAGCCCAGCGGTGGTGTCGGGGCGAGATGGGCCAGAAAAAGAATGTGCTGCCATTTAGTGCGTTGTGGCCCATATTTTCCGTTTGTGGGTCAAAGGCCCATACAGGCCCAATATTTGCTTGTAAAAATGCTGCTATCATGGTTTTTTTCTTTTTTTTTAATTTTTAAGTTTCCAGTGTAGACTCTCTGGCGTTCCCCCAACCCGACGGCTCCAGAGAGTGGACTGAAACCCTAGAATCGTCGTCGCCCTGTCCCGCCCTCGTGAGGTACGCTGACATTCTCTCTCCGGATCGTCGTCGGTTCCTTATACGCAGGTCACCCGAGGAAAATTTGGTCAATTATGCTACAAACTGGTGAGGAGTTCCTCTGGTGATGTATTTCGTCTTCAGTTTGGAGCTTTGCGGGTGCTTTTGTTGTGATTCTTCAAAGTGTTCTCGATTTTATTGCCCGAGATGTCCGGAGCAAGTTTTATCGGAGCAGTGGAGGGTCAATCTCTCTGGTTAAACTGGTTGTCTAGGGTTTTTGATTGTTGCCTGTGTATCCCGTGTTGATCGGCGTCTTCGTCTCGTGGCGATGCGTCTGTGATTCTTGCTATGTTTTCCCTGCCGCTCCGCACTTTCTTTGCTGATTTAGTTGTTTGCCTGTAAATTGAACCGATCTTATCCTTTTGACTATTAGGAAATTTTTCGGATACGAGTCTCAAATGTACGCTCTGGAAACAATATCCAGGTCTTCTATTTACACAGTGATTCCTGTCAGCGAGAAGAACGAATGCTCTAAATGGGGATCTCATGAAGAGAAACCTGTCAGCATCCAAGTGAAGCCCTTGATTGGCTGCAATTAAAGCAGGATGCGCTCCTTGATTGCTACATGTGAAATCAGCTCAGAGTATGCCCTCAGAAGAAACTGCATTTGACTGAGAAGATGTACAGGGGAGGATTAAACAGATTTAAAAAGGCACAAACCTTGGAGCCATTCTCTGTTTCGAAGAATCCAGGTTCCCAAGCTCCTTCCCCTTCCCCACCGGTTGCTACCTTCCAGCCTCAGGTTTCCCTGTCAAAGGCCCACAGTCAGACACAGGAGCAGGATTCCTCTAAACCTGCCGGATCTGAGGCTTCAGTCCCGGGTCAGCATGCCACTCAGATCGGTGGTGGGCAGTCAGCTTGGCAGCCCCCAGATTGGGCAATAGAGCCTCGACCTGGGGTTTACTATCTCGAGGTCTTGAAAGATGGCCAGGTTCTTGATTCCATCAACTTAGATAAGCGGCGGCACATATTTGGGAGGCAGCAGCCCACATGTGATTTTGTTCTCGATCACCTGTCTGTTTCACGCCAGCATGCTGCCGTGGTACCACACAAAAATGGAAGGTTAGTCTGGTTCTTTCTCTCCTTCTAGAATTCTGTTCATATATCAGTTTTTGTTCTTTGAAAGCTACTAGATTCTTTGCTTGCATTGGTTCCTTCCTGGCTTTTACGCACTTCCTGGCGTTGCTTCCAAGCAGTTTCATCTTCCGTAGAAATTTCTCCAGTTCATCTGAGACACTTGGCTTGATATCTTCATGGTCTCCTTCTTGAATGCTCACGCTCCAAGTCTAGTTCTTATGTTCTTGAATTGAGCACCCTTATGATCAACTTTTAAGGATGGATTTCTTTCTCTTTAAAATCTCTCTCCAGCGTATATGTAATCGATTTGGGGTCGGTGCACGGCACATTTGTCGCAAATGAGCGACTGAAGAAAGACATCCCGGTGGAGCTTGAAATCGGTCAGTCTCTACGCTTTGCAGCCTCGACCAGAACCTATGTATTGAGGAAGAACACTGCCGCCCTCTTCCCCACCCCCAAGCCCCCTGCTGAGATCGACCTCTCCTCACCTCCGGACCCCTCCGACGAAGAAGCTGTCCTGGCATACAACACAGCTCTCAACCGCTATGGTCTGAACAAATCTGATCTGTTGCCCAAATTTGACAACGACCCAAGAGGCAGCCCAGCGGGGGCTGAAGACAGCCGTCAGTCAGGAAAACCAGCGAAGAGACCCAGAAAGCTGCGGGTGGCATTTAGAGACCAAGTGGGAGGAGAATTGGTCCAGGTCGTCGGGATCTCAGATGGAGCTGATGTTGAGACGGAGCCGGGCCCAATTGGGGTGAAGGAGGGCAGCCTTGTGGGGAAGTATGAATCCCTTGTACATATTACAGTGATTCCCAAGGGGAAGGAGCAGATCTCCTCAAAGGAGGACGGCTTCCCCTCGAAAGGTGTCACAGATAAGCTGCAGCAGGTTCTGAGCAAAGTCAAGGGCTCAGGGAGGAGCGAGAATGGCCTGTATGGGGATATCTTCACTGGCATGGTCGGCTCGTCGTGGGCTTACTCTTCTTCTTCATCAGTTGCTGCCGCTGATGGGTGGGCCGAATCAGCTGAAGCTAACCATGGGAGGGCCTCCAGCGGCGCCAATGAAAGGCTGAATTCCAGCTCCACTTATGATGAGGAAGATGATTTATTTGGAGATTAGTAGGGTGATTAGGCTGCAATTGAGGCCTGTTCTTGGGGTGTTTAACTGTAAATGAGGATTTTTGTTCTGACGCTGCCCGCCTCCCATCACTCCCTCCGAGCTGGAGAACTGCGGATTCATCCCCTCCTATACTGTTCTTATATCCCCTTTGCTCTCATCCCTTTTGTCTGAGTATTTGATTCTATCCTCTCTCTCTCTCTCTTGATATCTCTCTCTTTGAAGTGCGGAGCAGCACTTGGGAAGGGGAAGAGGAGCCGGGTGAAGGTGGGCATGGAGGACGATCTCTGTGGTTGTTGAGCCCATCTATATATATCTCTCTCTACTCGCCGGTGGCTGTCGGCAGATGGTGGCGTCAGGCGCAGGTCTCGTCGGAGGGGGGGGCGGCGCACTCGGGGGGGCTCCTTGCGTGGTGAATCTGGTGGGCGTCTGAGTCCTCCATTAAAGAAGGAAGGGATTGGAAAAAGGGAATGGAGGGATTTAACAAGGTATCTGTCTCCTCCACTGAGGGGCGAGCTCCGTGGCTTCTTGTCCGAACGGGGGAAAGAAATCTTTGAACAAACCCACATGCCGGAGGAAGAGGGGGAATCCTTTCTGAACTAGGAGGGGCTCATCCCACTGGATCTGCACGTGGCAAAAGCTCAGCGGAGTGAGGAGTCGGCGCCTTCCCCCCTAAGCTTCTCTCTCTCTCTCTCTCAAACTCATGGGGCTGAGAAGGAAACGGGAAGAAAAAACTGGCTTCTGGCCCTCCACAGCTCGCTAGTTCCAGGCGCAATGGAGCCAATAGGATTCTCACCGGACCCTTTAGCCGAAAGCGGAGGGGGAGGGTCCAAGGCGACGTCTTTCTCCCTGGTTTTAGAGCTGGCAGCCCCACGCCGTGGATTGGATTCTTCCCAGGGTAAAAATTAGGGTTTGAAGAGCGGACATCGAGACACACTTGATAGAAAACACAGAGCTAGTGTAGGGTGGAGTGGGGAGAAGACGGGACAGCCCTACTCCTCTGAACCTCCCCTTCTGCCCTTCAATCATGGAGGCGAAGGAATGCAGAGGAGGAAGAGTTTTTCTCTGCCGGTCTTTCAATGGGTTTATGATGGCTTCTGCTCCCGCATCAGGGGGCCTTGGAAGGGGCCACAGAGGGTTTTTGTGGGAAGCTGGTGACATGGGCCAGAGGGACGGAGGGAGGGCAGGCAGGGCTGCCGGAGAGATGCCATGTGCCGCTGCAGACTTGCGCTTTCTGTCTGCCCGTCCGTTTCTCTACTGCTTGAGGCTGGCTTGAGAGGGGGAATCTCCCTCGTCGCCTATCCATTTCTCTGAATTTTAGAACTCGGAGAATCCCTCTCCTCTGCCCCTCTGTCCTCTCTGCCTGTCTCTCCCTCTGTTTTATCCCTCGAACCAAATGAATCCTGATTCAGATGGATAACTTTCTCTTTCATATTCTTGCATGGGTATTGACAACTCTGATTCTCTCTCTCTCTCTCTCTCTCTCTCTCTCTCTCTCTCTCTCCTCCATTTAATTTTCGATGCTAATCTTCACCGGGAACAAGTGAAAACGTTAGAAAGTGTCAGAGGCGTTCGTCTTCATACCATCCAATTTTCCTATTTGTTTGCAAAAGATCATCAAAAGAACGCCATTTTTCGACTATTTAGAAGGCTTTTCTTCTAAGAATCTCATACTGTTGATGGGTTTTCTCGATCAAGCGCTCTATTCTATTAAATAAATAAAAACTCTATTTAATTCAAGGTTCTTTTGGCCGTTCTTCCCTCTGCAACTGAACACAGACTGAAAAAAATGAAAGCAAACCCTGTTTGCATAGGCGAATGGGACCCCGAGATGGAAGGCCATGGGGACCGACGGTATTCACTCACAAATCTGATCTCAGATGCTATGCCCACGGATGGACACGTTCACTGTTCTCTTTTCCAGACCCACTAGCACCATAAAGCTCCTTCCCATGAAATCTTTCCATCTCTCCTTTATCTTCTCTCTCTCTCTCTCTCTCTCTCTCTCTCTCCTCCCCTCTTCTGTGTGACGCAACTGATGATGATGCCACCCATCCTCTCTTTCTCTCTCAAATTCTTTTAGTGCACTGGGTTGGTAGACAATGAGAGTCTTCAGACAAGCAGCACTCACCAATGTGGATGAGTTCTTTCTTGCCCCACCCAGCAACAGGAGTGCTCGATTCTATAGAACGCCGGCGTCTCTCTCCTCCGCCGGTCCTCCTAGGAAATGAGGCTGTTCAGAGTCCAGTCCCACGTATGATCTTCAATGATTCCCAGGCTTTCTAGGAGATGAAGCCCGGATGCCGAACCCTTAGGCATTCTCTCACAGTCGCTCAAGAACCTGGGGGGAGAGAGAGAGACAGCGAGAATGAAGTACATGAAGCTGGGGTCTAAGCCGGACACCTTCTACACCGAAGACGGCACCAGGTATAGCATGGATTATCTCCCTCTCTTTCTCTCTCTAAGATCTGAGCTTGGGCAGGTCCGTCGATTATTGTAGAGCTTGACGATCATGCAGGTCCCTGTTATCCGATGTGCCCAGCGATCTTCTCGTCCAGGTCAACGACACCAGATACCGACTGCACAAGGTGAACTCCTCCGGCCATCTATCTCTTTCTAGAGCAGCAACGTCTTATCCTGATTTGGATGTTGTTCTTGTTCTTCGGTGTTGCAGTTTCCACTTCTGCTCAAGTGCGGGCTCCTCCAGAGCCTCTGCGCCGACTCGGCGGAGGCGGCGCTGGCAGACCCACCGGGAGGAGAGGAGGGGTTCGAGCTCTGCGTCAAGTTCGCCTACGGCATCGCCATCAACCTGAGCGCCCACAACCTCGTCGCCGCCGTCTGCTCGGCGAGGTTCTTGAAGATGACGGAGGCCGTCGCCAGGGGGAACCTGGTCATGAAGCTCGAAGCCTTCTTCGATTCCTGCGTCCTCCGCGGCTGGAAGGACTGCATCGTCACCCTCAACACGGCCAGGAAGTTCGCCGTTTGGTCGGAGAGCCTCGGCATCGTCCACCGCTGCATCGAGTCCCTCGTCCACAAGATCCTCACTCACCCCTCCAAGGTCATCCCCTAGAGAGAGACAGAGAAGAGAGAGAGAGAGAGCCGTAGATCTAACTCTTCTTCTTCTTGCTTGATTGCTTGCTAGGTTTCGTGGTCCTACACTTACACCAGGCCAGGGTTCTCCGGGAGGGAGAGTAGAACAGTTCCGAGGGACTGGTGGACGGAGGACATCTCAGAGCTCGACTTCGAGCACTTCCGGACAATCATCTCCGCCATCCGCTCCACCAAGGAGATCCCCCCTTCGCTGGTCGGGGAAGCTCTCCACGTCTACGCCTGCAAGCACCTCCTCCTCCCCGATCCTGCAGCAACCTCCTCCTCCGAAGAGTCCCCGTCGCTCGCCGGGCGGCGCCGCCTGCTCGAGTCCCTCGTCGGCATGATACCCGCAGATCACGGCTCCGTCTCGGGGAGGTTCCTCCTCCGGCTGCTCCGGGCTGCGGCGCTGCTCGGGGCCTCGTCGTCGACGACGGCGGAGCTCGTGAGCAGATCCGGCCGGCAGCTCCACGAGGCGGCGCCGCCGGACCTGCTCTTCCCCTCCCCCTCCGACCCCAAGTCCTACAACCTCGACCTGGTGGAGCTCCTCCTCGAGAACTTCCTGCGGCAGCTCCGCTACTCCGACGGCGGCAGCGCCGCCACCGCCTCCGTGAAGAAGGTGGTGAAAACGATCGATGCCTACCTGCGGATCGTCGCGGCGTCCGCCGGCACGCCGGCGGCGAAGTTCACCGCCCTCGCCGACGCCCTGCCGGAGATCTCCCGTCCCGAACACGATGATCTGTACTGGGCCGTCGACACCTTCCTCAAGGTAATAAAAAAAAACTCAAAGCTGCCTCAGAGCCTTAGCTCGTGACGGCCCATTGATGGGAAGATGAACTCGGAACCGCTCGCAGGAACACGCGGAGCTGAGCAAGGAGGAGAAGAAGAAACTCTGCAGACTGATAGACTGCCGGAACCTCTCCGCCGACGCTCGCTCCCACGCCGTTACCAACGACCGCCTGCCGCTGAGGACGATCGTGCAGGTTCTCTTCGCAGAGCAGGAGAAGGCGGCGGGCGGCGGCGGCGGCGGCGGCGCCGGGAGTAGCCATGGCAGCCCGCGCTCCGCCACCGCCGAGGACGGCTACTCGCAAGGCGGAGGCCAGTGGCAGAGGAAGAAGGCGTAGCGGGGGAAGACCAGGAAGCAGGAGACGGTCTAATCTCTCATGACCGTCCTTGTTATTTATCGGATTTACTAACGAGTGCCCTCCCCGCCATTGTTCCCCCCGGTAGCTGGATCCAATTACCAATTTGAGAAGGAATTTAACGAGTAAACCAGAGAAGTCAACGGATCGCGCCCAGTCTAGGAGACGGGTGACCGGTGTCTTCACGGGGCTGCTACACAGTTGGTCAACATCCCTAACCCACACGTATGAGAAGCCCCACGAGAAATATGGCTAGATTAAGAGGAAAAAGCTTGAACATGACTGAAAAAAGCTTCCATTTTGAGAAAGTAAGACCACCTCGTAAATCACATACTTTTCTAAACTACCAAACCAAGGTGGGTGGCCTAAAAGTCAACTAGTAAGAGTATCTGTTCCCCCCTATCATCATCATCATCATCATCATCATCATCCAGGTGGGTAAGAGGGCCAAATATTCCTTTCCATCTTAGAAGATGAACGAGCAGAAGGGAGAGCAGCGAGGGTCGGATTAAAGAAAGATTGCTGCAGAGTAGTAATGAACTCATAAGATCAAACCCAGATCAGTTCTCATTTCTAGTAATATATGAACGAAAACAACTGAATTTCGATTGTTCTCCACTAAAAAAACAGGCCCCCCCACCTAAAAACAGGATTACAAGCAGAAGGGAGAATTGCAGATGAATTATACAAACTTTCCTAAGTTTGTGGACAGAAAATATATGACGATTATATATGATGATCTTTTGTTAAGCAAGTAAATGGAATCTTTCATCGCATGTGATTTCATAGGGTTTCAAGAAAGAGGAAGAACACATGAAACAGAAGAGAAGCGATCCAGAGGATTCCCTCCCTCCGCGTGAATTCAGATCTTCGGAGAGATCATCCACGGATAAAATCACCCACATATCAACATCTGGGCAACTTCAGAAGGCAATCGGATGCGAAATTTCAGATGGGCACAGGCTCTGGAGTGGGGGTTTCCGTGGAGGATTTGAAGGAGAAGACGAGGCCCAAGACGTCAGCATGGTTACGAACGTATCCCGGAGTCTTGGAAAGAAGATCGTCCGCCACTTCCTTCCTCCCTGCCTTGAGAACAGCTTCGAGTGTCCGTATGAACACCGAAATGGAAGGGAAGTTCTTCACTGTCATGGCCTTTAGAAACACCATGGCATCTTCCCCGCTCCCAAACCTCGAGATGTACCCGAAGAAAGGGTCTGTAAAAGGAGGGTACCCGTGGGTCTTCATCAATCCCAGAAGACTGGAAGCCTCTTTGAGCTTGCCCTCGCTGAGTAGCCTCTCAATCAATAACTTATATGTGGTCTGCCATGGCTGCAGCTGGTTCTTGTCAGCCATGGCGGCGAGAGCTCTGTAAGCATCTACAGCCTTGTTCTTTCGAAGGTATGCAGTCACCAGCGCCTCGAAAGCACACCCAGCTCTCTCGCAACCATTTCTTTCGACGATTTGTTGGAAACAAGAGAGAGCTTTCTCTGTTGAGCCGCCCAAAGAGTAGCTCTGAATTAGAAATGCCCATGTCTTTGGACTAAACTTGCATCCTGATCTTTCCATTTCCAGCACGAACTTTGTGGCTTCATCTGGCCTTCTAGCAGTACACAATCCAATGGCAACCCAATCGTTCGCTGTGCTACTAGCAGAAAACCCACCTTCTTCCATGGCCTTTACCAGGTTACCGCAGTCTCCCAGCCTACCGGCGCTGGCCAGCGATTTGAGTACCCCACTAAAGATTGAATCTTTCACAGGATATCCTGCCTCTTTGAAAACCCTCACTGTTCTTGAAACCAGGGCTAGTTCCAGCTCCCTGCTCACAACAACCTTCCTTAAGAGGTACATGAAGTCGCCGGGTGAAGGTTTCTCTTCACCAGCCATGGCAAATTCATATAAATCCACTGCTTCCTTTGTCATTCTTCTCGTGAGAAATTGTTTGGAGACTTTCGAGTAAGTCTCATAATCCAATTCATGTCCACAGTCCCTCATTTCCTTCAGCACTGCCCAGAAGTCCTCTAAGCAGTCTTCTCTGCCCAAAACCCTAGCCATGGCATTGTAAGTCCTACGCTCTGCTCTGAAAGATGAATTATCAACAACCCATCGGAAGAACAAGAGCGCTTTTGCTGGATGACTTGATAGCTTGTCTAAGACAACGGCAACCAAATCGGGCGATAAGTTAGCATCCAAAGCTTTCAGTTCCTTCCAAACTTCGTTCCCCAATTCATCTCCTTCCCTCAGGATCTTGCATACCCTCGATGACATCCGTGGGATGTAATTTTCTGGGGAGTTCGACTCATACATTTCCTTCAGCAGGCCAAGATCCTTATCCATTCCCTTCTCATCGAAACCCTTGGAAGCCTTCAAGAACGCATTCTTAGATAGACCGTACCCTTTTTTCTTCATCATGTCGAGCATCTCCCAGAACTCCGTCGTTTTGCCCTCCGCGCCCAGGATTCCGAGCATCAGATTGTACGACTTGGAGCTCAGGAGCTTGCTTTCCATCTCCGCAACCCAGTTAAAGAGACGCCGGGCGACATTAGGACTCCCATCAAGATTCCGGAGCACAGAGTTCAAGTAGCCGTGGTCCATCCTGATCCCGGCAGACTCCAACTGCGCCTTAACATCCTCGGGAACGCTCCCGCCGGAGAAGATCTCGATCAGTAGAGAATGATCCACACCATTCACGTCGACGGCGGCCGTCTCCGACGAGAAACCACGAGCAATCGAACCTCCCGCACCCCCCCGAGCTAGGAAACCGATCAAGAAACTAAGGTTCGAGGGGAAGGGCGGCCGCACCTGGAAAGATGGAAGACGCTCGCGAGCCAAGCCCGCCGGTGATGAGACGCCTCCCCGATGGAGCAGAACCCTCCACGCGGACCTCATTCCTTCCCACCGGCAGACAGCGCCGCCTAGTTCCTTTGGCGTCGCCGCTGTTTCCGACGCCGGCGAGCCGCCGTAGGCGGGTTTTTGGTGGCGATCGCCTTTTCCTCTGCTAGGGTTTTAGAATATGGCCCCACGGCCCTAAATGGGCCAGGAATTGCTCGGAGCCTAAAAAGTAGGCCCATGAAAAAAGTGGGACCCACTTCCCCACCTCCTAATGTTCCCTTTCAACTATCTTTTAGAATTCCTTCCAACTTTAGATGAGGTTTTATCTAAAAAAAGAAAGAAAAAAAAGTAGTTGGCCTTGCGGCTTTGAGCCATTGCGCTCAAAGTCAACCCTCGTAAATTGGGGAGAGGAGTTGTAAATATCAAAAGCCCGGAGCGCCCCGGGCCGACTTGTTTGGGCCTAAAAACAGGCCCATAAGTAAAAGTGGGACCCACCTCCACTCATTGTTTTGGTTCTTCTTCTTTCAATTATATTTCATAATTTCTTTCAGAATTATTCTCTAAAATCGAATTTAAACCTCATAGATTAGAAAAACTTTGTATTTTACCTTCTGGCGTTGATCCATCGCGCTCAAAGTCAACCCTCATCAGTGAGGAGAGAAGGTGCAAATCTGGCCCGTTAGAGAACTTTACCTAATACATCACCTGGAGCTCCTCATACAATCCGAGGAGGTCAACGGTTGACTTATTAGCCACTTTCTTCTCCCTAGAGTAGGTTTCTTCGAAAGTAATCAGTGCACAAAAGGGCGGTAAATAGGTAATTTTTTAAGAAGAATTTGATTATGAAGAATTGGATGAAGCAGGTCAATTCAGTTTGTGCTGTCACGTTGACCGCTGGTTCCACTCAATCTGCTGTTGTTGATCTAAAGGCTGGGACAGAAATGAGGTAGACTCAGGGCAGCAGCAGAATCAGAGCGCCCAACTAACAAAAAATGTAATTAATGAGTGAAAAGGGTTGACCCTTTTGCTACTGTTCTACTGTGGAGTGGTTGACTTTGAGCAGAGAGAGAGAGAGAGAGAGAGAGAGAGAGAGAGAGAGAGGAGAGCATCAAGAGAGAGTGGGAAGGAGGATTGTGGGACTGGGCAGGGCAGGGACAGGGTAGAAGTGGGGAGCATGAGAGCAGCGGAGCAGAGCAGCCGCCCAGCGGCCAGTCCACCGTGGTTCCATGATTCTGGGAAGTGGGTCAACCCGGCTGAGTCGAGCCCACCGTCGGATTCTCTGAAGATTGCCCAAACTGGAAAGAATTGATGGAGCTGCTGGCGGCACTGCCTCTGTGCGTCTGCAAGTGCCGGACCAGAATAAGTCAAAGCTCCTCTTCCATTGAGCTGATCCGGTCTTGAGACCCTGATGAAGATCGGACCATTTGACTTAGGAAGACCAACCGACCGGACCGGACCAAGAGGCAGCAACCTTATGATCGGAACCGACCCTGCATACTATGAGCATCAAAGATGGCAAGGAAAAAACAGGAGGTGATCCAGCTCAACCACATCAGAGAGATAAAAGGATTTGACCAGATTGGTCGCAGAGTTGACGAGCGCCATGCCACATGAATAAGATTCCATGTCAACGTCTTGAACGAATACAACAAATTCTCCAGGAGATGTGCATCAGTGGTATGTTATATACATGTTTTACAGGAGAGAAAAGCGGGGAAAGTAGTCCTGTGAGCACCCAAAAAAGGAAACCTGGCCTTGGAGGATGATACTAAAAGAGGAAAAAAACGGAGAATGAAATACTTACTGGAGCTCTTCTGTCCCCAAAATTGCTGATCAATAAGTTTCCTCATGGAGGATGGTCTGACTCAGGAAACCTTGGTGAGCCTTCCATTTGACCCGCCTCAGACGATGAAGACGAGGGGATTGCCGCTGATGTCATCGACCCGACTCATCGGGGGCTCCAATCAGGGCACTGAAGTCAACTCTGTCCCAGTATAGTAAGGCATTAACTGCCGTATTCAGAACATTCAGAACACTTCAGAAGCTTCTTGTCTGACAGAGAGGGTCGTAGTCATATGCTTCGCCGGCCTTGACGAACCGGCCTTTCACACGCCTCCTCACATCGGCCCTCGCCTTGCGAGATTCGTACCTAATTTTCTTCTCAAATCTGTTTAACAGGTGGAGAAAAGGGGCAAGATTTCATTGATCAAATAATCCAAACGTACCAGTTACAAGAAAAATGAATCAGATTTCATGAAGATCACACCGCATTTCATGAAAGTGGGGACTAATCAAACAAGAGAAACTCACTTGCGGGCCTTTTTCTTCTCCTGGTAACGTTTCACGGCAGTCTCCCGGCTGGCAGAGGTGAAGGCTGGGTTTCCAGCGCCAGAATGGCACCATGGGGGCTCACCCATTAAGAGTGTAGGTGATACCCCGCAGTCTTGGTAGTCGCCGGCACTGCTCTCCCCAGTTAAGCCCGAAAATGAGAGTGATAGGCTGGAGTGACCATGTCTTGCCAGAAAGCACACCTTTGGGGATCTGCATCTGGGATTTGACTTCACAGAGTCCGTAGATACCACATTGCTGGATGCCGGCTGGGCTTTGCAGTCCTGGCCAGCCGGAGAAACCTGTAAAGAAATGTAAGATGAGGATTTAAGAGATCTGGAAGGTACTACTCAATGATGGATCAAGAGTTTTATTTTATGCTTCGTCCAATTAAATGGGAAGTTCACGAGTACACTGACTTACTGGTCCATTTCTTTTCCCTGAAAAGAAGTCAAATCCAATCAAGATCAAGATGGTTTACCGCTGACTTACTGGCCACTTTCTTTTCCCTAGAGTCAGTTTCTTCAAAAGTGATCGGTGTGCACAAAAGGGTGTTAAATAGGTGGTTTTGTAAGAATCAAATGAAATTATTGACGGGCATCTAACTGATCTCAGGTGAAATTATAGCGTGAATCGTTCCTACGTATTAAATATATATGTTGCTAGAAAGTTTTTAATGTGACTAAAACTATTTAAAATGTATATCTATTAAATACCTTATTTCGTATTGAAGAAACCATTTATGCAAGATGATCAAATCACAGAGCACTGCTTCATGCTAATATCGAATAAATTGTGATATTCGTTAAACTTATTACGATCATTGAAAGAACTAGAAATCCGGCCAGGAGACGGACCATGAAATAAATCCACACCCATATCTCCAAGAAAATAAAATTTAAGGTTTCGTTAGAAAAAAAGGAGACCTTGGCACATTCGATAAAATCTGTGAAGAACACCGTATTAATGTAAATTGATTCAGATTTTCATGATAATTAAGGTCCTCACAGAAATAAAGACTTTAGAATTAACCAAATGTTCACCTCAGCAGGAAATTCGTCCAGGTGGTTCTCATTCGCTGAAGATGGGTTCTTCACATCAAACATACTATCTATTTCCGCATCATCAAAAAGCTGCTCAGAATGATTCCGAGATGTGCCAAAGTATTCGTTGTAGTTGTCAAAGTTCAAGTCAACATCTTCCACACTAAACTCATCATAAAATTCATCATTTTCACACATTCCAAAGCCATCTGTGCCCGTGTTGCATAGCTGCATATTCACGAAATTTGACATTCACAATAAGCATGGATCACAAATATATTCCAAGAATCAGGAAATATATTTCAAGTGCAAACTATACGAATCAGGAGTCATAAACTTCAACGTAAGCTTCAGGATATTACTTTAATCATAGATTCTTAAACAGTCAGCAAGAGAGAATGGACAACATTTCACCATGACATGAGAGACAGTGATTCCCATTAGGGTTTTAATTCTTTAACAGAAGCCACGAATAATATTCCAGGTATATGGACTTATGGCAGATAAAAAAAAATGTTCTTTTCAAGCTTATTTTTAAAGGAAACAATCAGTTATCATATATTGATGGATAGCACGCCATAGCACAAGAAGAGTTCTAGCAATAAGTGCAGCACTTAGAAAGGAATTTAAAATTATGTAAACTACCTTGGGTGCAGTTGAATCCACTGATCCAGCTGGCTGATTCCCACTGGATGGGAAAGCATCCACTGCAGATGGACCTGACCAACTATTGAGTTTATCAACATTTCCAATATCATCCATATTGCTCGCACTTGCTTGTTCTCCGGTGCTGCTGTTTCCAGGAGGGCACATGAACTTACTGACACTCTCCTCCTCGATTCTCATCAACCCTAAACCCTGCTCACAGTGTGAGTCCTCAGTGGGAGGGATATCCAGAAGAAAGGACCAGTTCTTGGAAAGTTCTGAAGCCGAGGGGCAGCCAGAGTAACAGCTGATTGACTGCCTTTTGTGCCCCGAAGTTGGGATAGATCGACCATGCCTGTTCCAGTCGCAATTGTGGCAAAGTGAGGCCTTTTCATCTATGCACCTAACTATGGCAGGCTGAGAGGAGCATCCATCACACAGAAGTGTGCGGGAATGCCGTTTAGAGAGAGCATTAGCAGAGTGAACATTGCGATCGCAGGATAAGCATAAACAGGCTGCGTCAGATCTGCAGTACACCATCGGTCTTTGCTCCCCACAGAAATCACATAACTGACCCATTCTTGATTTTCCTTTTTCAAACTTTGAGGCTAACAATAGAAGCTGAAGGAACTTCCCTTGATCTCAAAGGAATATCCAAAGGATTTCTCAAGATTTCTGTTAAGCTCTTGGAGTCATGATGAAGGAGCTGACTTGATTATTGCAGAACTACAATCATAATTAGAAAAAAGTTTTTGTTAGAAAAGGAGAAAGTTTAGGAGAAGGCAAAAAATTCCCATCCGCATAAATTTTCATACTGTTATCGTGGAAACTCGACAACTGATTCGATTCAAAGAGCACAGCAATCCCATCACGGGAGGATATCTTTGGTGCGCTAGATTGCATATCTGACTGAAGAAACCTAGCATTCCAGTATCAAAATAGATCTGACAAAGCTACGTCCATTTTAAGAAAGAATGAAAAATACTAACGAGTCTGCAGACACTGTAATTCGCCCAGAAAAACCTAGTGTAACAACTAGAAAACTATTGAAGAAAACGAGTCAAAAAATTATGCGGGTAAAATATACTAGCACACGTATGCTGCCCCAAATTCAATCCGATTGGCATCGAAAGGAAATCAAAAGGAGAAAGACGCTAAATAACTCAAACCCTGCAAGAAGTTGAGGTAAGCCAACCAGATCCCCAGCATGAACGCCCGTATTGTTTAAAACATGATTTCAAACGCTCGAAAACTCCGATTCCTAGCAGATGTCTGCGAAATAAACGAATCAAGTTTCCAGGTAGAGCTGCAGAGATCAACATAGCAGCGAGTGGAAGCAGCGGAGAGAATCAACCACACGGTCCACGCCTGGCCAGATATCTCCGAAAATACTGAACACTCCTACCAAACACAGGGATCATCCGATTTCACCCGCAAAAAGGGAAAAGAAGATCACAAAAATCCCAAGACCAGAAAAAAAAGGAAAAATATCCACACCAATAAGCAAGGAAAAATATCCACACCAATTCCCGTCCTCTTCGTCTTCAGCTTCTTCTTCTTCTTCTTCCTCTTCCTAGGCCTTTCGGTCTCGTACAAGCAGACGACGGAGGAGTAGATAGGAAAGCAGAGGAGAGGAAAATCCAGGTCCTCTTCTTCTAAACTGGATAGGAATTTTGGCAGCTGACTGTGGACGCCCTCTTCTACCCCGGAAGTGAAGGAGAGAGAGAGGATAGAAGGAAAAAGTGCAATTGGGTGCTCGTGGGCCCCACCGGGGGCCTCGTGATTAGACTTTTTGTAACTTTTCCGCTTTTCGCTTTTTGGGAGACACTCAGGTAATTATTAAAAACTTCAAGGGTATGTTTGCCAGGCGCCCGCAGACACGCAATCTCGGTGCGACTCCACCTTTGGCCCGAGCCGACAAGACGGGCCCACCTCCGACTTCCGCGGGCCCATCAACGATAGAAGATCCGACGGTCCATAGCTCGCCAGCAACGCGACTGGGCCGTCGGATGGTCTCGGCCCAACTGGGCGAGAGGTAAAATTTTGGTCCAATAAGGGCCAAGCTTGGGGAGGATTCGTTGGCAACCGTTGGGTTAGTTTTGTAAGGCCATGACTGGCACACGTGGCCCCCATCGTGGGACCGCGACGATGGCGATTGGAAACGATCGGGCGGCGTGAGAGTGAGGTCAATCTTCGGAACGTGATCCGCCGGTGCAACTTGGCCGTCGGTCGGTAGCCGGACTTTAAGAGCCGTGAGGCCCGCATCGCCAATGGCAGCCCCTTCCCCACGTGATTTATCCATCAAAACGCGGCCAAATAGTCTCTTTTGCGGCCCCCCCCAATGTGGGCCCACTTCTGCCAGCGTGGAGCATGACGTCGGACAGATGGGATAGAGAGATAGGTCGGTAGATGCCGGCGGAGACTCTGACGAAGCCACGTCGCTGGGGGTGGATCAGGGCTACGTGGCGGGTTTATCCGAAAGCCCGAACTTTTACAAAGGATCCCCTAGGCATCTCGAACATTCTGGAACAACCGGGTCAACGAGATTCCAGTTGACTGACAGTGACGGTCTTCCGCTCCGGAGATTCTATCCTAACCCTGGATGAGCTGGGACACGCGGCGGCAGAGGCGGAGCAGCGCCGGACGGCCGCCTTTGAGGCTGCGAACGGCGGCGGCGACATCCTCCGGCGCCGCCGGCGAGCAGAGGACGGCTACGCGCAGCTCGGAGGGTTCCGAGGGATATACGGCGCTGAGGAAGGGGGAGAAGCCGGCTAACGGTGAGTGGAAGAAAAGCCTTCGTAAAGCCGTCTTCAAGTCAACGAAGGAAAGTACTCACCAGTTGAGGTCGGTCATGTCAAGCGCCAGCACGACCTTTCTCCCGGTCTTCAAGTCAACAAACTGGAGTTGCAGATCGAGTTGACCATCTGCAGGTCAACCCCACAAGATCCGTAAGAGGAGAGAGAGATGGTTAATGAGGTTGGGGAAGAGGGAGGGTGTCATCTGACCAGAGAGGGCCGAGAAAGTCGTCGACATGAGGCTCGAGACTAGAACCTGAGCTGACTGAAGCTCTTCCAGCACGTCGAGAAGATTACCCAAAATAAAACTAGCAGCCTGAAGAAAGAAAAAAAGGAAAAAAAAAGGGGCTCATAAATTATAGAAATCATTTTCTTTTTCTATCCATTTTCTCTGAGAACATTCCGAAACTGCACCTGTATCTCGTTCTGGAAGCATCTCATGCTGGAGAGTCTCCTGTTACGCTTTGACTCATTGAACACAGCATGGAAGGCGGTTGGCGCTCTCATGTTAGGGAAGCTCTGTTTGGCAACGGCTAGAAAGTCTCAGATGGCCAGGAACATAAAAAAAAACGCACGCCCCAGGGTTTAAAAAATAAGAGGATTTTCCGAAACCTTTTCTATGTTTCCATCATTCATCGAGAGGTCAACACCAAATCTTGAAGCTGGTGTGAAGGATATGGTGAACCTACGAGGAAAACAAAAGTCAAACAGAGGGGAAATTAATGTATTAATAATTGAAAAAAATAAAATCATTGGTAACAGACAGGAGCTACCGGTGGGAAAAAAAATCGCAGTAGTTGAGTAAGATGTCACATTGATCTGTCTGATTCATGACATCCACCAGCTTCCATAGCTGGAATGTAGGGCCCAAAGTGTTTTAGATGAACACAAAGATATTTTGCCAAGAAAAGTCAAAGTGATCAGGAGACAAAAGACTTACTTGCAGACGTTGACAAACGGTTCTGCGATCATTCCATTTACGGAAATGATCACTGATTACTTTAATGAGTTCATCGTGGCTGAGGGTCCCATTTACGTTATAATGAGCTCCAAAGAATTTGATCAAGCTCTTTATTTTTTCATCCATCTCTTCTAGTTTCTGTCTCATTGATGCCGCTTTATCGTGTTCTTCCTGGAAGGTAGACTATAGTGATTGTTAGGAAGTTATCTTATATAAGATCATGACATTAACCTGGAAAAATGTCCACGTCTTCCCATTGAATAATGGAGCTGGAGGAAAAGGGTCAAACCTGATCAAGCAATTTCAGTCCGACTTTAATGTGTAATTATTACGTTTGACCAAATGCTTAGTCAAAACAGAAGTAGATTTTGCAAGAGAAGACGGCAACGGGGTAAAAGTCAAAACAGGAAGAAGAATAAACGTATGGATCAATCACCTGAGAAACGTACTTCGGCGCTGTAGCAGGCACAACATCCAACTGCTTTCCCATCAGTTGCATAAAACTTAGCCTCAGCTTGGAGATGTCGTGAATTCTTGATTGCAACTCTTGAGATTTTTTCTGCAGCAATGTACATTGAATCTGAGAAACAAACGCGTGTTCCTTTAGGAGAGGAAATCTGAAACCAGAGCGCAGAAGCATACGAGCAATCTATCATGCTTTATGCTCCTCAGCTGTAACCTTGCCTGCTCATACAAGAGTGTTTCCTTGAGCAATCTGATTTCAGACAACCTGCACCATATTAATTGCGTCAGGATCTCTGGAACAAGCAGAGCTTCTTCTTCCCAATGTCAAAGACAGAAGGTTTATATAACCTTTTCCGCTGATCCAGATTAGGGTTCTTTGCCTGGAACATACGAAATATCATTCACAGAAAATGATACAATCAGATATTAAAGTTAAAAACACACTAAAATTCACGCAAATGAGGAGGACATCTTGCAAACCAGGGTGGTCTGGATGTGACTGCAGAGGGTTTCATATTTTCTGGCATTCTTTAGCTGGCACACCAGGTCTTCCAGGGCATCAAGCTGTGTAAAGAGCATCAATGGTGGTAAATAAGAAGACTACCAGCAGTAGAAAACTTTCAAGCACCATGGTAATGCGGAGATCAAAGCATGAAGGTGTAAGCGTACCTCCGGCAGATCTAGTCTATTAGCTAATTGTGAAAATGGAAGCCTCGTGCTCTCAACTATTCTCGTCAAAATCTACAAGATTGAGACAATGAGTAAGATAGATAGTACGTGAGAGAAGAGAGACATTCCACACAAAAAAATTAACAGAGCTATTGGAATGTGCACGTGTAAACCCAGAAGAAATTACCTCAAAGATAGGAATAGCTTTGCTACACTTAGAACTCCTTCCAGGATCATCCATACTATCAGCGGAAAGAGGATCTTGCCTGCTTCTTTTATTTGCAGAAATGCATTCTTCCAATAAGGAAGATGACTTGTTTGGGCTACAAACATCCTGACAGGTGTCCACAAGGGCATTTAGCATGGGATCCTTAGAGGCTGTATTTCGCGGATGAGATGTTGGGATATCATTTCCTCCTACATGTTCTGACCCACTGCCGAGACCCGGATCACTCCTGGTGCGCTGCATAACACAACAAAACAATTTTTACGTAGGAAATATCCTCAGGTTGAAAAACGTCAAGAAGAAAATAGAATGCGGGAAAACTACCATTCCTATACCCTATGAAGCAGATACAGCAAAGAAGAAAAGCAATACAAAGAATTCCCAAGTTGTGAGATCAAAAAAAATTAAGACAACATACAGGCATAACTTCAGCTGTATATTCAGATTCTTTTGTCGCCATAACCTCCTTATGGGCATCTGAAGGAGAAAAGAAGGTAGGGCTTCGATCAGCCAGTGTCTCTACAATACTGGCAAGATCTTTCCGTACTCGGTGATTTCTATCCTGGCCGTCAGGGTTAGAGTTTCTGCTACCTATTACCCTTTTCTTCCCTGAAATGTGGACAGTGGCAGCCAGATTGTGCAGCTTCCTCACTTCATCAGAACTGCATGGAACATGGGAGATGGGTGTCTCTGATTTCTTTTCGTTGAGCAAAGAATTCAACTTGACTGAGTCATTAACCAAGGGAGTGAAACATTGTCCCTTCTGTACGGAGAGTTTCTGTCCCAATATGCTCTTCGGAGAGGAGATGAACGTACGGAATGTGCTGCCTGCATGCGCACTTTCCAGGATATCTAATATTTGCTCTCTGGAATAGCTGGAAGCTGGAGAAGATGCATGCTTCTCTGTGAAATTATCAAAATTACGCGCTTTCACATCTTTTCGAATCCCTGACTGGGGCATCTGTATAATTTCCTCTGCTTGTTTACTGCTTTCAAACAAAACATTTTTCTCGGCATCACGTATTGACCGCCTTATGTTACCAGGGGTAACAGGTCTATCAACATGTATTTCATGATCCATTTCCGTACTAGCTCCCATTCCTGCAGTATCCATCCCCTGTTCATCCCGCCGATCAGCAGAGGTATCCAAACGTTTGCCACAACCTTTACTTCCATTGTCATCCTCCATAGATTTCAACCCGTGGAGCCTATAATCCCTTGCTGACAATTGTGATCTGGATTTGCTTCGTACACTTTCTTCGATTTCAAAATTTTCAAATTCTGCATTACAATTCTTGATGAGTGAAGTCCGCTCACTGTCTCGTATAACTTTCGTCTTTGAAGACAAAGCACTCTGCACTCCAGAGAAACTCAATTTCTGTTCACTTTCAAATGGCCTAGAAGCATCGTCAAGCAATTGTCGTCTTTTGGTGCGTAATGAAGATATAGAGGCTTCAGATGCAGAATGCAGGGTGCGATTTGTATTCTGATAGCCAGTTGGAGTGTGCATTCTTCCCTCATGAGAGCAGGAAACACTTCTATCATTTATAGTCATCTGGGCAGGAGAATCTGAAGAAAACACCTGAGAAATCTTTGAGCGGTGTTCATTTTCAGGAGTTTCATCTCGAAAATGACTTCCTGCACTATAATGTTTTTGAGACCGCACACTTGGTGATGAATTAATATTAATGTTAGAAACATCAGCAGACACAAAAGTTGACGGTTTTGCCTTGTAGACATCATCCTTCGCATCCGTGTGCGTAGAAATTAAACTTTCCTGCAAATTAACATGGAGCCAATGTCAACAAATTTCACAATTAGATAGCTAGTCAAATGCTTAGAGAATTTCTACAACAAGATTGCAATGGAAAATGTTAATTATGGCTGTAGAAAGAAATTCCACGAAGAAGGTAGTGGGAAAAAACCAAAAGACTGGCCAAGGGTCACGTTTTACAAACAGAGGGAATCAAACAAGAGGGAACAATTTTGCCAGATGATGATTTGACACACAGGAATGGAAAAGGAAGGTAAGGTTGTACAGCATGCCAGTATACTGTAAGGAAGAATTACAGTAACAGCACGATGAATTTAGCATGCATATGGTTCGTTCTCCAAGAATTTCAGAGAAGATGAAGGATCTAAATTCAGGCTCAGCATACTAATTGAGAACATATATCATATACCTGAGACAATTAGCATCCTAAAGGAAAGGAAAATAATGGCAAAGTCAATAAGCATAAACTAATCATGACTGGAACAAACTTGGACAAACGTACATCGATCACAAGCACACTACATAGGAGGAATTAAATGAGTTAATATGATTGCGATTGCCATAACAAAAAGTAATTAGTATTTTGTCACCAGAATGTATTCTTATTTTCGGCTTAATTCTTCTTCTGATGATCGATTCAGCCTCTGATAAAAAAGATAGACCTTGGTTCTATTTCATCTCTTCAATAAGTTTAGTAATGAGCATAACAGCCCTATTGTTCCGATGGAGAGGAGAACCTATGATTAGCTTTTCGGGAAATTTCTCACTTTTTCTGGTACATGATGTAAAGTTGTATAGAAACTAAATGTAGACGAGAAAACGATTGCAGTTACATCGGTAACTGAGGCATGTGTCCATACATAGTAGGAATTTAAAACTGGAAACAATACTGAATAAGAGAAAATCAGAAATTTAGGAGGTTCTTACGTGGTTCATTTCACCATTTGATGCACCTGCAGGTAGGCCTGCTCCTGTGCTAGCTGGACTGCGATGGAGACGAGACACACCAGTGGTAAGGGCTTCAGGCAAGCCATTTGAAACATGCAAACTATCATCCAATGCATTTGTAGTGCCCTTGTCGTGATAGTCCTCATTCTGACAAACTTCAATATGTTCACCTGAACGTAACTCAACTATACTAGTAGATGCAACCGCATCAGAACTACTACGAATTTTTTCAGAAACTGAAGCCTCTGGGTCCTCAGCAAGGGTTTTGCAGGATGACAAAGACTTACTTTCATCAGTTCGAGACTGAGGCTGTATGGTTTCATTTACCTTGGCCAATAACACTTGTAATGTAGGAGAAAGCTTTCCATAATCATATCTGTTTGAATATTCTGCTACAAGAGTCATGTCACTAGAGTAACCATTTGCCTTCAGAAGGCCAAAACGAGAGGGGATTTTCTTTGCATCTGAATGTAGCACGAAACCCTCAGAGTCATTTGTCACAGAGAGCCCTGTTGGTGTCCTGGGGCTTTCAACTGAGTTGATTGACGGGTCATCCAAAGGGAGAATATTACTGAAATGCATTGAGAACGCTGTTGAATCGAGTGTTATATCATGGTTGTTGTCATCTGACACCTCAGACAGGCCTCCAGATCTAATGAAACTCGTTGAAACAGGACCAAAAAGATTATCACCTGCATGCATTTAAACTTAGAAATTTAAAAACGTTCTACAAATAGGTTTCTTATTGCATTTGAACAAAATCACTAGGAGAAAAAGCCATTTTAAAAAAAATGCAATCAGAACGTAAATGTCTCCTTTACATTCGTCAATGAAAAATGAAATAAAATTCTGACTTTCCCGCTCAAATGACGTGCAGACTTTCATCCTTATTAGTCTACTCAAAATAACTCTCCAGTTTGCAAATTTTCATCCTTCTACCCTTTGGTTCAGTATCATCATAGCCTAATGACTAGAATATTCAGTACATAATACTCAGTCATCTTTAATGGGTCACCCTGTTCTCTCCAAATAGCTAATGATCTTAACCAGCCGACCATTCGCATCTTCAGTCACCCTTAGTTGAATAATCTTTTCAGATAATTCATGTTTTACGGAAAAGAAACGGTTTGGCACCAAGTACAGAATGAAATTGGAGGAGACAATGGAAGGAGATGATGCCAGGAGCTGCATCAATATACTCTATTTAAGAGTTCCACTTTTTGGGAACCAAATTGGAATGCTTCTTGGAGAAAAGTTCGATCCAGCGGATTCATCCTGATTCTAAGAGATGCATTTCCATCCACAAAATATAATGAACAAGACAAAAGTTATTGTCTGAGGTGAATATACTACTCCTCGGAAACATTATGCTTCATATGTCAAAAAATGATTTGAAACTCAAGGTTTTGATAGCTGAATGTCATGAGAAAGAAATCGGGGAGAATAAAGGAGCTTCTTTTTCTCGGCTGATGTTGTTCCGCAGAAAACTCTCAGTACCATGCTCTTAGTATGTGGATAAGTCAATGATAACCAGACACCTATATCTGAAACCAGCAGTCTCCAATTTGTATGTCACTTAGAAAACTACACTAACAGTTCATCTAAATTCTTCGAAAAGATTGGAAAATCTAAATTCTTGATGCTCCCAATTACCAACCCACGAATCAACGCGAATACATAGTTAGACGCTAACATAATACAAGCACTTCTGAAACCATATCATTTCTGGCAGAAGCTTCCGGTACGCTAAAGAGGGAAAAACCAGATGACTTCATAATCCGGACGTCCCTCAGGAGATAGTTGGAGAACAAAAAAATAATTCTAGGTCTTAAAAAATGCAAAATTTAGAGCTGATTACCGTCATTTGATGACACAGAGCCAGCAGTACTGCAGGGAGAAGATGAGTCTGCGTATCTCCTGACGAAGAGCTCATGCTCGTCGCCACCATCCTCGTCATCATCGTCGTCTCCATCTTCCAGTCGACGAGGCGAACTCCTGGTATCCTCGCTATCAGTGCCATCCCCCTGGAAGCCTAACGGCTCATTACCGAGACCTGACTGGGAGGAGCCCTCTGCTCCCACCTTCGCGTCCGGCGGGGTTTCCACATCCTCATCCCTATCGAAGAAATGGATGGCGGTGGTGTCCGCAAAGCTCACTCGTCTCAGCCTCTTCCTGGCAAAGATCGTATCACCCTCTCCAGCCTCAGCAGACCTAGTGAAATCCTTCGTGGTAGATCCGAAATCCATGAAATTCGTGGGTCGGAAGCACAGAGCTCCTCCAATGGCGACTCCAGCAGGTTCCGCGACTGAGGGATCGCCGAAGAAATCAGGACCACCTTACCTCCCTCCCCTGTGCTCCGACGAGGAGAAGCTAGGGCTCAGTCTGCTCCAGCAAAGCCTGTTGGACATTTTCGGTTTCTGTGCGGGAAAATGGCGAAGTTTGAAACCTTCACGATGATGACTCAGAGGCGGAAACGGGCCTGGGCCCGTTGAGATCTGAGCCCGGCCCGGGACAGATCTTAAGTTCTAAAATAAAAGTAGACTCGCCCCGCTTTATCTCACATAGAAGTTCGGGCTTCGACGGATATTTGGCCCGAGCCCTAGGCCCGTTCCCCCTCCTGGCCGTTGCTGATGTGTTTAGTTATCGGATCCTTATTGGTCCGTTATATCCGATATTTTCAACCGGAGAAATCTTTGGGTCGCCCTATATTCGACTCTGTACTTGCCAAGTTCGTCGGCGGCGAGTCTTCGGAGCTCTTCTCAGAGCCAAGTGAGAAGGGTTGAAGCAGTCATCTTCTTCCATTCTCAAAACCCTAGCTGTGCCCTTGCCCTAGCACAGGAGTTCCAGCTCCCGTTGTAGCTATGGATGACAGCCTCTACGACGAGTTCGGCAACTATATCGGCCCCGACATTGAGTCGGACCAGGAGTCCGATGGCGAGGGCGCGATCGAGGAGGATGAGAAGTCTGTCGGGGAAGCTCCGTCTGACGAAGAAGACGCCGAGGGCGGCCATGGCCCCAATGGCTGGCTCATGGCCGGTGAGGAAATGGACGCTGACGCAGTGGGGTCGCAGATTGTCCTGGCCGAGGACAAGAAGTACTATCCCACCGCTGAGGAGGTCTATGGTGAGGGTGTGGAGACCCTGGTAATGGACGAGGACGCGCAGCCTCTTGAGCAGCCGATCATTAAGCCCGTTCGGAACGTGCGGTTCGAGGTGGGCGTCAAGGATTCGTCTACCTACGTGTCTACCGAATTCTTGCTGGGGCTTGCCTCTAATCCCTCTCTGGTGAGGAACGTTGCGCTGGTGGGTCACGTCCAACATGGCAAGACGGTGTTCATGGACATGTTGGTGGAGCAGACCCATCACATCTCAACCTTTGATTCTGGGAGCGAGCGCCATATTAGGTATACAGATACGCGAATTGATGAACAGGAGCGGCGGATCTCGATCAAAGCAGTGCCCATGTCGTTGGTGCTCGAGGACAGCAATGCCAAGTCGTACCTGTGCAATGTTATGGATACACCGGGACACGTCAACTTCTCGGATGAGATGACTGCAGCTCTCTCTCTCGCAGATGGGGCAGTGGTAATAGTGGACGCCGTGGAGGGAGTTATGGTGAGTCTGATTACTTTATCACTTCCTGATAATTCTCCGAATCTTTTTCCGTACAAGGTAAATGTCTTTGAACACTGACTGTATCAGTTTCATAATATGTTCGAGTATTTCGTTCGTATGCTGTGGACGCAGTGTCTGTATGATATTATGTAATAACCACCATCATTCATAGTGTTTTGAGAATTATATATTCAACAAAGAATATGAAATGATTGTGCTTAGAGCCTGCGGCACATTTATTCTCGTAGAAGTATAAAAAATCCAACGTTGGACTTTGCTTAATTATAGCAGGATGCAAATATCTGGATGCAGACTCATGCCTTAAGAAAAAGAGATAGAAACTGAATGGTTTCATTCATACTATTCGGTTCTGTTTTCTCGTAGTTCTGGACCTCGTTATGGTTTAGGGTTGGTCTTCTTGCATAATTTTCAAAAATTAAAGAGTTTTTTTAACCGTATGTTACTGTTGAAAATGAATTTTAAAGAACTGCAGCTGAGTCAGTCAAAATCATTAGTTGACTGCATGTGTTGCTATGATCTGTCACTTTTTTACGTTTTCTGGACTTCATATGTTATTGAAATGGCTGTGGATAGTTGAGCATGATTAATGCACCCGAAGGTTATGAGAAAGAAAGCCTAGGAGATCGAAGCACAAGACTTAAGGTGAGATGTTCATAGTTAGAGGCAAACTAGTGTCTTTGGTATGTATTGTGGTTATGCAAGCTGTTTATAGGTTTTTAACTTGTAGTGAGTGCCACAGGCATGGTTCATCGAATAAGCAGTAGACATATTGGAATCAAGTAGGTTCTTCGGTCTGGATTTTGGTTGAGTACCATACCATGGGAGAACAGCTTGTACAAAGATCAAGATTGTAGAAGACTATGCAGTAAAGTCCTCGGTGGATGAATGCCTTAAATAAATGTCTCGGATTGGAGATCCTATGTATTTTTTGTTGGTATAGTTCAAAGATTAGTCGACCATGATATCATCAATATTCTTTTAAAAATTAGTCATTCAGACTTAGATTTCTCTGGCTTGGTCTAGGGCTTTTCACGAGTTTAGGTCCACTTTCCTGTATTCTTTTATCCATGGAAAATATATGTGGATAATTTTAAGAATTTCTCGGCGATTCTCTTATTCCATGAGTTCTATGTGGATACCTTATCACGAACACTTGCACAGGTGAAACATTAAGCTCAATGCTGAGTATGTGCATGTATCAATTTATCATCTGAGATACTCTGTTTGCAGCTCTGTTTTGCCATTAATGCTTAGGTCCATTCACACGTTATTGGTGCCCCTTGTATGGTATACTTTTGATATTAGAACTTGAAGATCTTCTTAAGTTATCCTACTAGTGATGAGTGAAGATTGTATCTTCCAATTTGAAGTATGAGCCCTTCATCTTTTCTACTGAATTATTGTTCTAAATGGACATTTTTTACAGGAAGGTCATGGATTTTTTTTCCTTGGTGGTGTATGATATTTATGCCTTTCAATTGTAGGTAAATACTGAGCGGGCAATTCGGCATGCAATATTGGAACGGCTGCCCATTGTACTTGTAATAAATAAGGTATTTTTTTTTTGTCTTCATCTTTGTGATCTTCCATTTACTGTGTACTTCACCTCAAGATGCTCTGTAAATGTAGAAACATTGATTATCAAAATATCTTTCTTTTTCCCTTTTGAATAAATAGGTTGATAGATTGATTACAGAGCTGAAGCTGCCTCCAATCGATGCATACTTCAAGCTACGGCATACACTGGAAGCGATCAACGAGCTGATATCTTCCTTCTCTACCACAGCAGGAGGCGTTCAAACAGTTGATCCAGTTGCCGGCAATGTTTGCTTTGCCAGCGGCTGTGATGGATGGTCATTTACTTTGCAATCATTTGCCAAACTCTATGTCAAACTCCATGGAATTCCCTTTGAACATTTGAAGTTCGCATCACGCCTTTGGGGAGACGTTTATTACCATCCTGACACAAGAACCTTCAAGAGAAAACCCCCAGAAAGTGGAGGTGAAAGAACATTTGTTCAGTTCATACTCGAACCACTGTACAAGATATACAGTCAAGTGATTGGAGAGCATAAAAAGAGTGTAGAGGCAACACTTTCAGAGCTAGGTGTGTCCTTGAGTAATGCAGCTTACAGGTTAAATGTTCGACCTTTGTTGAGGTTGGCTTGCAGCTCTGTCTTTGGCTCTGCTACGGGCTTTACCGATATGCTGGTTCGGCATATCCCATCAGCAAAAGATGCTGCCTCCAAGAAGGTCGAACACATCTACACTGGCCCTCAAGATTCATCAGTTGTGGAGTCTATGAAAGCTTGTGATCCATCAGGCCCCCTCATGGTTAACGTTGTCAAGCTCTACCCTAAATCTGATTGCAGCGTTTTTGATGCCTTCGGACGTGTATACAGTGGTACAATCCTGACTGGGCAGACTGTACGTGTGCTAGGAGAAGGTTACTCACCAGACGATGAAGAAGATATGACAGTGAAAGAAGTCACAAAACTATGGGTTTATCAAGCCAGATACCGAATACCAATCAGCAAAGCACCTGCTGGTTCGTGGGTCCTCATTGAAGGAGTAGATGCATCGATTATGAAAACAGCCACACTCTGCCCTTTGCACATGGATGAAGATGTTTACATATTCCGTCCTCTTCGGTTCAACACCCTCTCTGTTGTGAAGACTGCAACTGAGCCGCTGAATCCAAGTGAACTGCCAAAAATGGTAGAAGGGCTCCGCAAGATCAGTAAAAGCTACCCCCTGGCCATCACGAAGGTTGAAGAATCAGGAGAGCACACCATTCTAGGGACCGGGGAGATCTACTTGGATTCCATCATGAAGGACCTTAGGGAACTCTACTCTGAAGTGGAAGTCAAGGTATGAACATCCTTTTAGGTGTAATTCTTTGGGATTTGATGCGATTTCTCTTGCACTTTTAAACATACTATTGTTGCAGGTGGCCGATCCAGTTGTTACTTTTTGTGAAACAGTACACGACTCATCTTCTTTGAAATGCTTTGCGGAGACACCCAACAAGAAAAACAAGATTACAATGGTTAGAGAATCATTATTCTTGTTCTGTGTATCTTTGATCCAGTCTCGTTCTTTCCTCTGTTTTTTTTTTTTTTTTTTAACTTGCTCCTGCTGTGTTTAATTCTTAATGCTTTTCCCACCGCCTACTCTGAAGTAGCAGTAATTGCACTGTGATTTCATATGCATGATCTCTTGTCGTCATGGACCTCAGCTTGCTGAACCCCTTGAAAGGGGACTGGCGGAGGATATCGAAAGTGGGGTAGTAAGCATTGACTGGCCAAAGAGGAAGCTCGGTGATTTCTTTCAGAGCAAGTATGACTGGGATCTACTCGCCGCACGATCCATATGGGCTTTTGGTCCAGATAAACAGGTAGCCAATCCTATCATATTTGAACAAGCATGAAAGGATTTCAACAAGAATCTCCTGCTTCCTTCCCCTTCCATATATATATATATATATAGATATATTGCAATAAATATTTTCATCCTCCAGCATGATCTCTCTCCCTCCCTACCTACTTCATCCCATATCCACACCTTTCGTTCATTCCTTCTTTCCAAGATCTCTATGGTTCACTTAGCAAGCATTTGTAGTACTAGATACAGTAAGGAACATGAGAATTTACATTAACACTCTTTCAGGGGCCGAACATCCTGCTAGATGACACACTGCCCACCGAGGTTGACAAGAACCTGCTCAATGCCGTCAAGGACTCCATCGTCCAGGGGTAAAAGAAACTAAGGTTTTTTGCAAAAAACTATCTTTTTTTCAGTCTGTTCCTAACAGAGGATCATATGCCATCTCCAGATTCCAGTGGGGTGCTCGGGAAGGGCCCCTCTGTGATGAGCCCATCCGGAACGTGAAGTTCAAGATCCTGGATGCCAACATTGCCCCAGAGCCTCTCCATAGAGGGGGCGGCCAGATCATCCCGACTGCCCGAAGGGTGGCCTATTCATCCTTCCTAATGGCCACCCCCCGCCTGATGGAGCCCGTATACTATGTAGAAGTAATCATCTCCCGATTAGAAACCTGAAGTACTCATATCCAAAGCCCGCTCTGAGATCATGTAATTTCTCCACCAGGTCCTCACCCCTGCCGACTGCCTCTCCGCCATCTACACAGTCATCTCCCGCCGCCGCGGGCATGTGACGGCCGACATCCCCAAGCCCGGCACACCCGCTTACATTGTCAAGGTTTGGGTCAAAACCTCACAGGATTTAGTTCTTGAATGCATGCATGCACATTGCCTGTATGCTTGATTCAGTCGCCTCTGAGAGTTCTTTGGTGACACAAAATGGAATGATTCCTGAACTCATGCGCTGTTTTCTCATATGATTCAATGATCCAGTCCAATGTTTCCCCTTTTTCATTCTTCCAGGCGTTCTTGCCGGTCATCGAGTCATTCGGCTTTGAGACCGACCTGAGATACCACACCCAGGGGCAGGCCTTCTGCGTGTCAGTGTTCGACCACTGGGCGATAGTCCCTGGAGATCCTCTAGACAAGGGCATTGTGCTTCGACCCCTCGAGCCGGCGCCAATTCAGCACCTTGCCCGGGAATTCTTGGTGAAGACGAGGCGTAGAAAGGTGAGAGCTTTTTTCAACCCTCCTTCCTCCTCAGGCTGCCGCTGTGTGTGTGTGTGTGCTTGTTGGCCGTGGTTGTGGCCTTGTGGCTGATGTGGGATTTTTCTGTAGGGGATGAGCGATGATGTGAGTGCCAACAAGTTCTTCGACGAGGCCATGATGATTGAGCTCGCCCAGCAGGCCGCCGAGCTGCACCAGCTCATGTAAGCACACCTTTCTCTACCCGTTGACTCTGTAAAAAAAGAAAACAAAAAAGAGATTTTTTTTTCTCTTTCCCAGAATCATGCCAGTAGAGCATTTTTCAGCTTCTAGTATCTTCCTTTGTTTCCTTTTTTGTTCAGTTCTAGTGCATTGTTTTCACCTCTCTCTCTCTCTCTCTCTCTCGATGGGCTTGTTGCTAGTTAGTCAACGCCAAGGGCAATTTTGACTTTTGGCTGTTACTCTCCGCTTATCGAAATGGAGGTTTATAAAATCTGTCGCAAGCGAAGTCAATGAATCTTCTTCATAGGATCTAAATTTAGGCCAAATGAAGAGGTTCAATGCGCCATCTTTGTGAATCATGGGCTCATGAGAGAGAGAGAAAGAGAGAGAGAGAGAGAGAGAAGAGAGAGAGAAAGAGAGAGAGAGAGGAATTGGATCGGATTCAGAGATTACAAGTTGGCATTGAATGAGATCCCATCCAGGAGACCAAAATTATGGGCATTCGACAGCTTGGGTAAAATAAAGCACGCAGATGACGTCATTGTGGATAGAAACTCCAAGATCCTCTCCTCTCCTCGGGCTGCTCGTCGGTGACGTTGTCCGTCCACGGCACGTCCCATCAAGCTACAGTTCGGTCGGAGCGCGGTACAGCTCAGCAGGGCACGTCCTGCCGCCGCCTCTGTTTCACTCCGCTCGTTGGCTTCCGTAGATGATAACTGGGTCAGCCGCCTCCGAGTTGGCGGGGCCAGCGTGGGACCCTGGTCAGCTCTCACGTCAACCCCCCAGTTGACTTGGGTTCTAGCTCAAGAGATCTCTTATTGCCCTTAATACCCTTAATGGTTTCTGGGTACGTTTTGTACTCCCCCACTCTTCTCTCTACCTGGTTCTATAGATAGATGGAGAGAGCAGAGAGTAGAGAGAGAGAGAGAGAGAGGGAACTGATGAAGACGAGGTGCTGTTGGCGGTGGAACTGGGGGTTGCCACAGTCCTCCCACTCTTCTCTCTACCTGGTTCTATAGATAGAGAGAGCAGAGAGTAAAGAGAGAGGGAGAGAGAGGGAACTGATGAAGACGAGGTGCTGTTCGTGGTGGAGCGGGGGGTTGCCACAGAACCCCCAGCAGGCGGGAAGCGGCCACATTACGGTAACAGCAACGTCCATCCCAGGTTCTCTCCTTCGTCCCCACATTAATAACTAGTGTCCTGTACGATGACTGACCCTCTCTATTCTATATTCCAACTTATAACCCGCAGGAACTCCACAAGCAACAGATAGAGAGAGAAAGACGGCGAGAGAGAGAGGGAGCTCTTCTGTTTGATCCTCACGTGGAAGCTTGGCTCGACATGGACTGCTGTGAGCAGGGTGGAAGGGGCGATCTGTCCCTGCGACTAACTCTTCTGGGCACAGTAACAACTGGGGAGGGGAGGTGGTGACAGAGGAACAGGGAGACGGAATCTCCATGGCGAGGCGACGGCGGTGGTGGTGGCGCCCATGAGGCATGTGCGGCGGTGGCGGGCGGGGCTTGTCGCGGGGCCGTTGGCCATTCCTGCGAGTGCCGCCACCATCGCCTCCCTTACAGCCTGGAGGAGAGGGAAGGATCAAACGCTCACGAGCCTCCACCCCCTCCTTCAATTGGGGCTTTTAAATATGGACAGCCCCGTCCACCCCCGCCCCCCCCCGCTTCTCTTTCTCTCTCTCTCTCTCTCTCTACATGAAAAACCTTATCTTCTTAGTTAGAGAGAGAGAGAGTGAGGAGACCAGTCACTTTACCATGATATGGGCAGAATAAGCACTGATATCTACGGAGAATACCGTTCTGGGTGATTCACAAAATATCATTGAGCTCACACGACATCAGCATTCTAGTTAGTGGGAGAGAGAAAGAGAGAAATAGAAGACTTACCCAATCAACGGTGACTAACGGTGGGATAAGGTCCCATGAGAGTAGAAAATTTGAGTGATGTATAAGAGTATTATGTAACCGGTAGAAAGTATTATAGAGAGAGAGAGAGAGAGAGAGAGAGAGAGAGGAAGAGGGGGGAGGAGGGGGCTATCCATCTAACCGTAATTAATGGTGGCATAAAGACTAATGTCTAAGGACTATGGGATCTCTGGGATTCCAATGACCAATTTACGATGTTGACTAAAAACCCATTAGCCGATTAATTAAACTCAGCTAGCTTCCCCCCCCCTTCTCTCTCTCTCTCTCTCTCTCTAGTAAACTCTCGTTAAACCTCCACATGGGGTGATAATTAAAGTAAACTCCATGGCAGTCCTTTCCTCTACCACGTGCCCTCGGGGGATTCCTCACGCCCACCCTCTCTTCCTAATCTACTCACTTGCAGAGTGGAGGGGAGGAAGTGAGCGGGTCGAAAATCTGGCGTGGGCTCAGCTGTTCTTGTTCTTCGGCGTGCTCACAAATTATTTGGTAATGGGGCAAAAATCCGATCTTGGTAATTTCATCTTCTTCACTGGTTCGAATCTGAAGCTTATAAATATTCGTACCCGCATCTAGACGAGCGTGGGAGCTCACCAAGGACCCGCTTCTTGGATCATAGAAGAGGGGAGGAAAGATGAGTCTTGCTCTCTAGATCAGATCTCCGCCTCTACCTGGTGCAGCAGCTATAAACAAAAAAAAACCATGGGGTCTCCCCCTTGCATCTCCCACTCGAGACCTCCCCTCTCTCTCTGGTTCTCTCTGCCCCAGGCGGCAATGCCCTTCTCCCTCCTGCTTCTGGCAGCGCTCTCTTCTCTCCTTCCGTCCTCCTGCGTGTCCTCCCTGGACGACCAGGGGCGAACTCTCCTCGCATGGAAGGAGTCCCTGAGCGGCGCCGCGGCGCTGGCGACGTGGAGCCCGGCGGCGCCGAGCCCTTGCCAGTGGGTCGGCGTCTTCTGCGACACCGGCAACCGGGTCGTCGAGATCAGACTCATATCGGTGGATTTGCAGGGCCCATTGCCGTCGAATTTCCAGGCACTCTCCTCCCTCAGAGCCCTCACCATCTCCTTCACCAACATCTCCGGCGAGATCCCCGTCGAGTTCGGTGATTACGCCGGACTGGAGCTCGTCGATCTCAGCAACAACCACCTCTCCGGCGAGATCCCGCCGGAGATTTGCAAGCTGAGCAACCTTCAGACGCTCCGTCTCCACTCCAACGCCATCCAAGGGGGGATACCCACTGGAATAGGAAACCTCTCCGAGCTCGTCAACCTCACCCTCTACGACAACAACCTCTCCGGCGGGATTCCGGCGAGCGTCGGCGAACTGCGGCGGCTTCAGGTCTTCCGCGCCGGCGGAAACCAGGGCCTGAGAGGCACATTGCCGGCCGAGATCGGGAATTGTAGCGAGCTCGTCATGCTGGGCCTCGCCGAGACGGGAATCTCCGGCGAACTTCCTTCCTCGATCGGATTCCTGAAGAAAATCCAGACCATCGCCATCTACACAGCCAACCTCTCCGGCCCGATTCCCGAGGAGATCGCCGGCTGTATCGAGCTCAGAAATCTCTACCTCTATCAGAATTCTCTCTCTGGGTCGATCCCTCCACAGCTCGGGAAGCTCCGGAACTTGCAGAACCTCCTCCTCTGGCAGAACAACCTGGTGGGCTCGATCCCGCTGGAGCTCGGAAGTTGCAGTGAATTAACGGTGGTGGACCTGTCGGTAAACTTCCTGACTGGTAGAATCCCACCGAGCTTGGGGAATCTCACCGTCCTAGAGGAGCTCCAGCTGAGCTCGAACCGCCTCACGGGCTCCATCCCGCCGGAGATATCCGCCTGCGCCGCCTTAACGGATCTGGAACTCGACAACAACCAGCTCTCCGGCGAAATCCAGTTAGACTTCTCCAAGCTCGGTGGGCTCACCTTGTTCTTCGCATGGCAGAACAGGCTCACAGGGAGGATCCCGGAGAGCCTCTCGCAGTGCCAGAACCTCCAGCTGGTCGATCTCTCCTACAATGGCTTCTCCGGCGAGATCCCCGGGGGGATCTTCGGGTTGAAGAACCTCACCAAGCTGCTGCTCCTGGAGAATCAGCTCTCTGGGCCCCTTCCACCGGAGATTGGCGGCTGCTCGGGGCTGTTCAGGCTCAGAGCTAGCGGCAACCAGCTCGGGGGGCCGATCCCGCCGGAGATTGGGAAGCTCAAGAACTTGAATTTCCTAGATCTTGGCCGGAACAAGTTCGCCGGAGAGATCCCGCCGGAGATTTCCGGATGCGGGAAGATGGAGTTCCTCGACCTTCACTCGAACTCGCTGGTGGGGCCTCTCCCTGAGGATCTGCCGAGAAGCCTGCAATTCCTCGACGTGGGAGACAACTTGCTCGATGGCCCGCTGACTCCGAGCATCGGAGCGCTGACCCAGTTGACGAAGCTCGTTCTGGGGAGGAACAGCTTCTCCGGTATGATTCCGACGGAGCTCGGCTCCTGCAAGAAGCTTCAGATGCTGGATTTGGGGAAGAATAGCTTCTCCGGCAGGATTCCTCCAGAACTGGGTGAGCTTCCGGAGCTTGAGATCTCCTTCAATCTCAGCTGCAACCAGCTCTCCGGCGAGATCCCGAGCCAGTTCTCAAGTCTGGTGAAGCTGGGCTCCCTCGACATCTCGCACAACCAGCTCGCCGGGGGGCTGGAGGTGCTCGCCGATCTGCAGAACCTGGTCACCCTCAACATCTCCTTCAATTCCTTCTCCGGCGAGCTCCCCGACTCCCCCTTCTTCCGCAAGCTCCCGCTAAGCGACCTCGCAGGAAACCGCGGCCTCCACGTCGCCGGCGGCGTCACCGCCGGACCAACGGGAAAGGCCACGGGGTTAGCCGTGAAGGTGGTCATGTCCATGCTGGTGGCCATCAGCTCCCTGCTGATGGTCATGGCGATCTGCATCGCCCTCCGCGGCCGCCGCCGCCGCCGCCACCGGTTCAAGGGGGAGGACGAGGGCGGCGGCGGCGGCGGCATGTGGGAGGTGACCCTCTACCAGAAACTCGACTTCTCGGTGGACGACGTGCTCCGGAGCCTGACGCCGGCCAACGTCATTGGAACCGGCAGCTCGGGGGTCGTCTACCGAGTCGTCCTCCCCGGTGGTGAGACGGTGGCCGTGAAGAAGATGTGGCCCTCCCCGGCAGCGCCACCGTCGCCGGAGGCGGCGGAGGAGGAAGGAACCTACAGGAACGAGATTGCTGCGTTGGGTTCCATACGGCACAGAAACATCACCCGCCTGCTTGGATGGGGCGCCAACAGGACCACCAGGCTTCTCTTCTACAGCTACCACCCCAACGGCAGCCTCAGCTCTTTCATCCACGGCGGCGGGAAGGTCGCCGGCGACTGGGACACGAGGTACGAGATCCTCCTCGGCCTCGCCCACGCCGTTTCCTACCTCCACCATGACTGCGTCCCCCCCATCCTCCACGGCGACGTCAAGTCCATGAACGTCCTCCTCGGGCCCAACTACGAGCCCTACCTCGCCGACTTCGGCCTTGCCAGACCCGCAGCCACCGCCATCGCCGCCGCCGATAAAGACTCCTCCAGATCTTCCCCTCGCCTCACTGGCTCCTACGGATACATCGCCCCCGGTGAGCACAAACTCCACTATCATTACCATCGCCTGCAACTATCTGTGGAGGAACATGAGATTCTGAGAAGATCTTCTCTTCTGTAGAGCACGGGACGGCGCAGGCGATAACGGAGAAGAGCGACGTGTACAGCTACGGAGTGGTGGTGCTGGAGGTGATAACGGGGAAGCACCCGCTGGACCCGGAGCTGCCGGGGGGGCGTCACTTGGTGCAGTGGGCGCTGGAGCACTGGCAGGGGAGAGGGGACCCGGCGGAGCTGCTGGATCAGCGGCTGCGGGGGCTGCCGGAGACGAAGATGCAGGAGATGGTGCAGCTGCTGGCGGTGGCGGCGCTCTGCCTCAGCCACCGCCCCAGGGAGCGCCCTGCCATGAAGGACGTCGTCGCCCTCCTCGAGGAGATCGCCGCGCCGCCTTTGCCCGACGGCCCCAAGCCGCCCCCGGCGGCGGCTGCGGTGCCCCCAGACGTGCCTTCTTCTTCCCCCGCCAAGAGCCTCCGCCTGCTCGCAGGATCCTCCAACTGTTCCTTCGCTCTCTCCGATTCCTTCTCCTGAAGCACCGCCGGAGAGAGCGAAGACTGGCGGCGCTCTCTCTCTTTCTACTTGATCGGCGAGAACAACAGGGGACTGATTCTGCAGAAGATGGTCGATCGGAAGAGAAAGCTATGGCGTCAGCGTTGCTCTGAATTCACTTCTTTTTTCGGGAATTTACTCGAATAGCAGCTGTAAGAATCCTCGGAGGATCCGAGCTTCCGGAGGGGGGGGGGGGGCGGGTGTTGACGCATTCATGACGAGAGTTGACTTGGGGCCGCCGTTAATGGGCTGGCGGCCCAATTTGAGGTGTTGTAGCAAATCACCGATGACTAAATAGAAGGCTGATCAAATGGATCCTTTGGTATCTGACGTGTAATGGGGTGGAAGTCAACTGGTAAATATTTATGTAATAATTTATTTCCCCACGAGATAAATTTTTTAAAAATACGTGATAGTCGATTAATAGACAGTTAATTAAACAATTTGGCCTAAAAAATGGTGAGTACATCGCAAATTATTAGTCTCTAAGGGTTCAAAAGGTAAACATCTTCAGAGAAGGAGAGGATTAAAGGCCGAAGGAGTCTCTCTCTCTCTCTCTCTCTCACCTCTCTGGTTCAGCCTTCTTCTTCGAGCAGCTTCTTCCTGAGGGCTCCCCCTCTCCTCCCCTCCATGTCTTCCGCCGCCGCCCGTCCCTTCCCCGGCGAGCTCATCCGAGGGCTTCGATCGGCGGCGGAGCCGAGGAGCAGCTTTGTCTCTGTCAGGCGCCTCTCCGTTGTCTCCTTCCCCCTCGCCTTCCAGTGGTTCTCCTGGCCCAAATCCCGCTCCCCCCTCCGTCCTGTCAGATCTCAGCAACCTCAACAGCAGCAGCAGCAGCAGGAGGAAGCCGTAGACCTCGCCGTCCTCCCCCAGGGGCTCCGGGAGATCATCTCCCTCTTCCAGTCTGTCTCCGACCCCAAGGCCAAGTACCAGCAGCTACTCCACTACGGCGGCCGGCTGCCGCCGCTGGATCCCCGGTACAAGACTGAAGAGCACCGCGTCAGAGGCTGCGTCTCGCAGGTCTGGGTGCGAGCCTTCCCCGATCCCGGTGATCCCGCCGCCGTCCGCTTCGAAGCTGATTCCGATTCCGCCCTAACCAAGGGCCTCGCCGCTCTTCTCGTCCTAGGGCTCTCCGGAGCTCCCGCGCCGGCCATCGCTCGCATCCCGCCGGAGTTCGTTCACCTACTCGGCCTCCGGCAAAGCCTCACGCCGTCCAGGAACAACGGATTCCTGAACATGTTGAAGCTGATGCAGCTGAAGGCGCTCCAGCTCTACGCCCAGGGCGGCGGCGATCCTGCGACCAATTCCGCCTCCGGCGAGGAGATCGCAAGCTCCGACGGAAGCATCGGCTCTGTAATAACAGAGGTCCCGGAGGGGAGAGAAGCTAACTCCGGCGTAAATGGAAATAGGGTCGACCACCGTCCGGCGCTCACCAGCATTCAGGAGGTGTCAGAAGTTAACTTGGACGCCGTCGATGATATCTCACCGGCGCCGACCGGTGGCTCCGGTGGCAGAGCAGCGAGGATAAGAGAGAGATTGCAGAGGGAGCTTCTTCCTCTGGAACTGGAACTGGAGGACATCTCGTACCAGCACGCAGGTCACGCCGGCGTCAGAGGAAGCAGCGATGGGGAGACCCATTACAATCTGAGGATCGTCTCCAAGGAGTTCGAAGGCAAGACCCTGGTGAAGAGGCACAGGCTTGTTTATGATCTGTTGCAGGAGGAGCTCCAGACTGGCCTGCACGCCCTCTCCATCGTCGCCAAAACCCCATCCGAAGTCGGCATGAAGTAGGAGAAGATCGTCATCTTCCCCATCCTCGTTTTTCCTCATCCGGTGAGAATCTGGTTCGACTACGAGATCACCAACTTCGAAAGATTTAAATTTTGGTTGCTGCATCTTTAATAATTTATGTAACAAAACGGGGGTTACATCCACCCTCATACGTTGAATCTCTAGTCTTATGGTTAATGCTGCAATTAAAGATGTCACCCCTGAACTTGTACAATTGCCATGTTTCTTGCCGTCTGAACCATGGCCAAGAACATGTATGATGTATTGAATCATTGTTCTTTGATGAGTGATGATGCCCCAAAAAAAGGAAGAGAAGATCATTGAGATTCTGCACCGTGCAATAGTTTGCTAGAATTAATCTACCTACACTATGTTGTCGGCAGCCTGTATATCTGAAACTCTCGGCACACCTTCACTGCTCTTTACTGACGAGGACGCCGGGCTCCCTCCTTCCCGGCTCAGTGCTCCAGCTTCCAGGGTTTCCAAATACAGAATTTTGGTCAGATTCAGGAAGCGCCTCCTGAAAGTTGGGAGTCGGGACAGAGATGAAACGATCCCCTGCAACCTGTGAAAGAGGAAAGGATCAATCCAATGGCCAAATTTGATCGACAGATATAATCTACCAAAGATCCGGCCAGCATGCAAGAAAAAGGGCGATGACTGCAGGCCTCCGGTTTGGACATATATCTGGTAAGATGATTTCCAGTTTTCTAGTTGAATCTAAAACCAATGATTCCTTGTAAAATTCTGAAATGGATCAGAAATTGTGCAACGACCGATGAACTTGCCTTCTTAAAATAGCCTGTATCTGGGCTCTGCGGACATTATCATCAGATGGGAAACCACTTCCATTCCAATCATCTGGCTTCCCGCTGTTGTAAACCATGATCAACTTTCTGAGGCAGGCTGCTTCGTCCTCGCTCAATTGGAGCCCTTTTATCTGTTCCTTCATGATTAGCAGCGGCTCGAGAAACCACCCCAGGACTTTATCCTTTGGCCAGTTGAAATCTGTCAGTTCCAGGTCATCGGCTGCAGAAGAACAGAAGAGCTGACGCCGAAAGTTTATGATTTTTTTCCAGGGGGTTGAAAGAGGCAGCAAGAAGAATTTAAACCATACTGATCAACAATCCATAGGAATCCAACTCTGCTGATCGGAGCAGACACTGGAGAATACACCAAGCAGGCAGCTTTATGGTCAGTTTCTCGCATCTTCCCTTGAGAATGCAATCTGCAATATCTGATGCATCGATCAGACCATCTCGAACCAGCATCCTTCCATTCTGTTCACAGGACCTGAAGAGCCAATCCCATATCTGGGTGTGCGTGTGTGGGGAAGGGGGGGGGGGGGGTAAATTACCCTTAATAGCAACAATGGGAGATCGAAAAAAGAACGCAACAAATCACCAGCCCATGCAATCCTCACCTGAATCGGTTTTAGCTGTTGGAAAGCCCTCCTGAGTGTTAAAGATTGTTCAGAGACCAGCTTCCCGCGCTTTGATCCAGATTTCATGCTCCTATCTTGATCAGCTTTCTGGTTATCTTTCTCCTTCCGGTATACAGGCCTGGCTGCCAAACCATCAACAGTAGGAATCATATCCGAGTCTCACTCAAGAACAGGAGCATCCTTCTTTATACTTTTCATGAAGCTTAAGTGGGCTAAATCCAGGTGATACCTTGGGAGATAGGAGCCCTCTCTCAGGTAGAGCAGATCGTTCGAGTACTCATCAAACATTGAAATGACTGATACGATGTAAGCAAGACCCATCTGAACCGAATCCTCCTATTTTTGGTAATCACATTGCAGAAGTCAGCTACCATCACTCTTCATTAATGAATGCACGGGACTACTAACCTGGTAGGCTACAACGGCACTGTAAGTGGCCAGAAAGAAGCTGCAGAAGAAGGCGCATATCACTGCTCCGATCACCGCTATTGGCCATAGGATGATGGCCAGACCGGCAAAAGGGACGCACACTGTCTCCAAGAAAGGCCCTTCCCTGCCGATCAGGTCCTGAATCAGCCTCTGCCATCCTTTCAGCAGCATGTACGGGCTCTTCAGCAGGGCTAAGGCCGCTATCATGGGCACATCTATGACGATGGAGAGTGCACAGACCAGCATGCATCCCGGAAGCCTCAGGAGACTTCGAGATGAAAGCAGCAAAAGAGTCCATTAGATGTGAAAAATAATAATATGGCCAAGTTTCATGATTAATATAATATTAAGCGACTCGGGCAGAATTGATGTGCACAGATGATGCGGATTATGGAGGAGAACACAAGAAACGGGTAACTGTCTTCTTTTTTTTTTTTTCTTTCTCTGTTCTTTAAAATAAATTACAGTTCTTGATCTTATGCTGTCCGACAATGGCAATTTTGGGAGATCTTGAAGATCACGTAATATGGGACAAATATGAGCAAGTGGGTCATTGCCAGCTGCATTTAGTAAATGTTCCTTGAAATCAATATAAATCAAATAATTTCCACAGCTTCAACAAGAACTGTCTTGTAGATGGTTAGAAATGCCCCAAAAAAAAAAACCCAAAAAACCCAAAAAACCCAAAAAACCTGATGGATATACAAACAAGAAAACAAGTCACAGAGAATTGAATCAGGGCACATATCAATCGGAATAAACCTTCACAGATTCCTAAATTGTGTTATTGCTATTCCAAGCAAGAAAACAAGCCAGATATCAATCGGAAGAGAGAGAAAGAGATTTACACACAATAAGAACATAAGAAAAACTGAATAAACCTTCACAGATTCCTAAAAGAAAATAAAATAAAATGGTCTGAACGAATCAATGTGTTCTTCATGACGATCTACACTGTGGGCCCATTGTAATTCCCCACCCATTCATACAGGAAATTGCATCCTAACATGAAAATCAGGTCAATTTCCTTCTTCGCACTCAGTCGTTAAAAGACAGGGAGGGAAAAAGATCGTCATCTGAGCACAAAAAAGGGCACATTCAAAGCAAAAACCAGTGCTATAAAAGGGAAAAACTGGTCTCAGAAATGTTTCAATGGCAGTCGAAGAATACTAAGACAGAGGGGAGAACAGATATCCCTTTTCTAGATAGAATGGCAAAATCAAATCAGAAAAATATAAAAGTAACACGAGAAAGATCCTTACTCAATATCAATGGGCTTGTCACCCCCAAGCGCCCTCTCTCTGAGGTCATCCATGTAAGAGAAATAAGAGTGGAAGCAAAAATCTGTGCAATCCCTGACCACTGTGCAGGCTCCCTTGACTGTGCTTTGGCACCCATCCTGTTGTTCACATGAAATTATCATCATTCACGTCACCTGAACAACAAGCAGCAGTATCACTCTCGCTCACTTAAAAATCTCCTTTGCCTATGATCACAAGGGAAGATACGACCACTTGGAAGAGATTCAAGGAAGCGCGCTGTGAGGGATGAAGCTTACAGCGAAACAGTGGTAAAGCTTGTCAGCAACCTCCTCGCCGACAGCCTCAAAAGTTGCAATCAAAGGGGCACAGTATCCATAGCCTAGTCCGAACGTTAGGCTCCCTAATATGGCAAGAACTGGCAACAGTACAACTGGGATTGGCAAAAGAAGCAGGGTGACCAGCTTCAAGACTGGTCCAAGTCTCTTGGCCCTGACAGAGGAAGAGGAGCAGCAGAGCTGTCACAATAATCATCAGAAGAAGCGCACATGAGGCGCTCGCTCATACAACAAGGGGATACATGGTTTTCAAGAACTGCTATCAGAAAGGAGCCAGAGACATACTTTCCGATGCAGAAGTAGGTCCAGATGAAATGTGCGGGCCAGAGACCAATGATAACGGAAGAATTCCCAACGACGACAATCGCTGCTGCAATGGGTCCAACAATTGCTGCTGCAAAGGGAAAGAGGGTTTATGTGAAGAAAATCTTGTGATTGTTCAATGAGCTGTGCTTAGGGACCGCCACATTTTCCGACTTCTAGTTGAAGATCATCTGCGGATGGATAGTTTCTCGAAGTCCATGTTTCAAGATTACTAGAAACGCGACAAATCCCAAGCATTACCATATTTCTACAATAATCAAAATGTTCCTCAAGATCTTACACAGCGGATTACCTTTGGCGACACCTAGGGTGAGGAGGAGGAGGAAGAAAGGGAGGAACGATACGAAGCTCCAGAGCTTAGCGAGGAAGCCCACGGGAACTTCCATGCCGCAGATCGCAACCGCCAGCTAGGACCGTCGTCTCGGCGATCAACGGAAGGAATCTCGTGAGGCCAAGAACAATACAAGCGAGGGTTTTCTAAGAGGCTTGATAGAACCAGGAGGAAGAGTACGAAGAGGAGAGGGCGGCTGCATTGTGGGGGAGAAGCGGTGGGTTTACGTGGGTTCAATCTCTTGTGCCGCGTGGCGCGCAGAGCTTCACCTCTGCTACACGTCTGACACTCGAGACGACAAGAAGAGCGGGAACTGGGCGCATTGGTTAGCCTAATGAGCCTACCTTTTCAGTGATACTAGGCCAACAAATGGCCTTTTAATTATCAGGCCAGATTCTTTTGCCCTTTTTTGGTCCCTTTAACCATCGATGAAATGGTTTTAGATTCCTTTCATATTCCTTTCAAATGGTGAAAAAACCGCCGTATTTATGGATTTTAAGATTTTAGTCATTGAAATAACATATTGCTCTCTAATTTTATCATAATCCTCTTTTATTTACGTATATATCCCAATAATTTTTGTACCTATGTCCCTCATAAGTAAAGCCGATTAACTGGATCTGATGACCTATTTGAATCAGATTATTATAAATGCTTGAATGAAATTCTAGTTAGTTTATTAAATGAGTCATTGATTTTGAACAGGGAAAGAGATGAGCACGATTGCTTTAAGCATGGTGGTGGATTATAGTGACTCGTTAAAATGGTGAGAATTATCTGCTTTTACTTATTAACCAAAAATATTTGAGAAAGAAAGAATAAGATTTGAAAGGAATAAGATGAAACATAACCTATTAAATTACCTCAAAGATAATGATTTTAATTTATGAAAACTAATCGATAAGTGAATATGCAAATGAACTTGAATCTTTGTGACAATAAATTGATAAGAGCTAAAGATCTTGATGATGCATCATTTTTTTGACATAATATAGAGGTAGATTGTATATATTAATTTCTTGATGGACTCAATGTGGAATATGAATTTATCTGATCTCAATTTTGCACAAGTGAAAGAGTTGGATATATAGAAGAAATAATCTTGATAAATGAAGAAAGTTAGAGGAATATATGTTAGAACCACAAATAGTTGACAATTTGGTATTTGTGACTATACAGAAGTAATTTAAAGTTCCACCTCAACACATAGTCAAACAAAGAAAGGTGAATGTAGGAATACCCAATGAGCACACCTATTGTAATAAAGCTAAACACATAGATCAATGCTACAAGTTACATGGGAGACCTCCAATAGGAGGCCGAGTTCATCTTGTGACTATGCCGACTTCTAAGAGTGGCAATTTATGGAGTCAAACACTTTTTGAGTATACTGAAAAGCTTACACCGATAATGACATCTAGCATATTGAGTCACTCCAATAAGAATTTTAGATTTTTTGTATTACATGTAACACACAATTTCCTTTTTACTTCATGAATCTTAAATACTGAAGCTATCACCCAATTAATATTTAAAATTATTTTCAAACCTATAACCTTTGTATAAGTAGTAGGAAAGTGGCCATAGCTGATGGGTCTTAAAAATAGATTCTCTAAAGATAATTAAAAATATGTTATATGCTTCAGAACTTTCTACTAGTCTTATTTCCTTTAAAACTTAGCTAATGATATAAATTATAAGATGATCATTGATAATCATTTTTATGATGTTTATGATAAGGTAATGAGCAAAAAGATTTGATGTGGTGAAGATTTTGGATCCTTTTATCATTCTCAGAACTTATGATGTACTTACATCACATGATCATGACCTTCATCAGGACATGGAGTTGCTAAGCATACTTAAGGTTTTTCGGTTAGTACATTGAAAACTATGTTTCTTAATTTATTTTTTAAGATGAATATTGAGAACTTTAAGTATAGTGTATGTGAATTGGCTAAACACAAGCGAACATTGTTAATTATGAGTAGTGAAAAGAGCTTAACTCCATTTTCAGTTATTCATAGTGATATATAAGGACCATCATCCACTCCTAATATTTAGAGAAGAAGATGGTTTGCAACTTTTATAGATGACTATTCAAGAACCATATATATCTATATAATACATCATAAATTTGAAGTTATTAAAATACTTTGATAATTTTAGTCATTAATTAAGAATAAAATGAAATAATTATTAAAAAAGTTTGGTAAGATATAACTAAAGATTATTTTAACTATATCGTGACTGAATTTTTTAAAATAGTAGTTTTCTATCAATTTTCATACGTAAACACCCCAGAACAACAAAATGGGGTGGCAAAGATTAGAAGTAGGAAGCTCACTTCTATTCTAAAATTATGTTCCAAATCATTTTTGGGGAGAAGTAGTCTTAACAACCATCTACCTCATAAATTGATTACCAACTTGAGTATTGGAATTTTTGAGCTAATTAGAGACTCTATCATCACATTACCTAAGTGTTCAATTGAAAACTAATCTAATTCTTAAAACTTTTAGATGTGTGACATATGTCCACAATCAAGATCAAGAAAAGAGGTAGCTTGATACACATGCACTAAAAATATATTTTTATTAATTACTCGAACACTAAGAAATGATTTAAATATTATCATCCTGATCAAACAAATATTTTATTTTAATTGTTGTAATTGTGGATATGGATCCTTCTTTAGTACTAAGAATATTCTCCTTGATGGAGAAAACTTATAAAAAAATGATAGTAGAGATCTACAAGTTGGAAACTTATTATTACCAATATCATCTTTAGATGAACCTATCCCTCCTAATAAAACTTTGGAGAAACCTTTAATCAATATACCCTTCCATGACTTTGATAATAGTCAAGAAGATTCTAGTCATGGAAAAAACACTTCAATAAGTATTTACTAAAATGTTATATTCTTGGCTATTCTTAGAGTCATGGAAGGGTATTACCTTCTGTGATTATATTCTTCCATGACGAAGAGGAAACTCTCAAAAAGTTACCTATTACCTTTAAAAAAGGAAAAATGACATGCTTTAGGAACCCAAAGTATCTAATTTCTCATTTTGTCCCCTTTAACTATTTATCTCCTGCAGATTGAGTATTTTTTATTTTTCTTAATGTCACAATCATTCCATCAAATGTTACCAAAGCATTAACTACTATACAATGGAAATAAGTGATGGATGAGGAAATTATGACATCAGAAAAAAATCAAAATTAAGAATTAAAAAAAATGCAAAAGGGAAAGACAACATTTGGATTCAAATTGGTGTATATTATTAAATGCAAAATTGATAGGATAACATAAAAAATATAAAGCTCAATTAGGTTTTAAAGGTTATACTCAAACAAAAGAAATAAACTATTTAGAGATTTTTTTTCAGTGGTAAAGAGGGATACAATTAGAATTTTACTCTTTTTAATAGCTAATTATAATAGGAACATTCAACAGTTTGATATTAAAAGTTTATAGATTACATTGTATTTTTATATGGGGAACTTGATGAAGAAATTTATATAAATGTGTCTCAAAGATTTGAAGTTGATTTAAATAATAATATAATTTTTAAATTTAAGAAAAGAATACATGGTCTCAATCAATCAACAAGAACTTGATTTGAGATATTTGAAAAATTGATGATAGTGATAACTTATATACCTACTAATGGAAACCATCTTATTTATTAATTTCTCATTTTCAAGGGAAATTAAAATATTTTAAATTTATGTAAATGATATAATGGTGACATGAAATGATGGGGAAGAAAAAACAGTTAAATAAGTGTTTACTAAAGAAATTTGATGTTAAAATATTCTTTGACATTGGGGTAGATTATTTACAACAAAGATTTTTTTTCCAAGTAAAGAAATATTATTGACCTTGTACTCCCATAGACCAAAATCACAAACTTGGGAGTATAGAAGAAAGTAATGCTGTGGATGTTGGTCTAGATGTGACAAGATAAATCTTGGAGGGGGAGAGGGGTAAGTTGATTTTTAAATTTTTATTTAATTAAGTAGAACAATTTTTCTTTCATTATTTGTGCATTAACATCTCAATTATTTCTCTATATTAATATATAAATATACCAAATTTAAGAAGAGACTTCACACAGATTTTAGAGTGATTTAGTAAAATTAATTTGACCTACATCTACTTCCCAAGTCATCTGACCTTGGGTTTTCTCTAACCACACCCTATGATTATTGTTGACTTATGGGCTCAGCTCACACTTACACTATAGACTTCTTAAGTCTGTATATCTATACCAGAGGCCATCCTTTTAGCAGCCTTCCTCTTGATGTGAGGGCACCACATGCCTCACTCTATTTTCAGTACACCATATGTATTGAGGTCTTTAGCTCATTTTGGGAGCTAGATTGATTGACCATGTACACCACATGTACTTGTCATGTATTTATAGAAAAGAAGGTGTTGAGAGATGTTGGGCAGAAGGTGGAAGCTCTTATGGGTTAGAAATATATCCATAATTCTCTTGAAATAATCAGATATTGTCCTTAATTTTTGGAGAGTTGAAAAGAATGGTTTTTGAAGCAGCATCTATTTTCTGAAAAGTCATATTTTTCTCCCTTGCCCTAATTTAGGCAAAATACCCCTTTTATGGGTAGGTTGAACTGCCCCATTTTGGCTCTTGAGTCAAATAGTTGAGTTAAAGCAAGACTTGAGAAATATGAAAGAATAACATTAAAGAATGAAAAAATCTTAACTCTCTCAATCCTTTGAGTTTCTATTGAATGGTTTCCAGCTCTAGATTCCACTTTGGATCAACTTTTCATTGACTAGTCATACTTTCATATATGTCACATAGTTTTTGAGATAAAATTGTTTTAGTGGGAAGGGTCAAGTTCAAGTTTTTTGACTATTTTACTCTTATGTGAATACATAAACTCAATAATCTTGTAAAATCAATCATAAATCAATGGTTTGATTATTTTCTCTAAAATTTATTTTAGTTGACTCAATAAAATAACTTTGTATTGATTAAAAATGTATCTACATTAGTGAAGCCATTTGATAAAGAAAATATAAATATTATGTCTTACACATAAGATGATAACACAATTACCTCACATAGACTTTTTAATATCTTTATATTCTCACTATCTAACAATTATATCTCTAATGAGAGTTTGAGATATAATGAGATATTTATTATGATCTAGACATTAATTACGTGTTGAAATAATCTGAACTCTTGATCTCATCTAGTACATCAATCTTTAATAAGTTTATATCAGATTTATCAGTTTTATGATTTGATATGGATGTCCAAAAATTATGAAAATTATAATGAATTTTTCCATTACTCAATAATAAGTATGTCTTGTGAAAATTATGCATGATAAATTGAAGTATCAATGTCTCATGGAAAAATTAATTTATCTTTTCTCACACTAAACCAGACATCACTTATTCTATAGGTGTCTTTAGTCAATTTATGTATGAGTTGAAAGAAGTTCACATCTTAGTAATAAATAGGATTCTATAGTATCTAAAGAGAACTCTTGATAGGGGGATATTACTTAAGAAAAACCATGATATAAATATCAAAATTTTTAGTGATGTTGATTATGAAGGTTTGATTGACGATTGGTGGTCGGCTTCCATCTACAACAGACTTTTTGGAGACAACACTTGGAGGAACTAGAACAAATAGTATCCAGATCAACCGTAGAGTTAGAATTTTAAACTATAGCTTAAAGAATATGTGAAGTCTTGTAGCTGAAAGGAATGTTGAAAGATCTTAGAATCAAGTGGCAAGGTTCAGTAAGACTATACTATGAAAATAAATCCATCATCAGTATTGCAAATAACCTGGCTCAATATGTAGACCAAGTGTATCAAAACCGATTTAAAATTCATCAAGAAAAAGCTTGACAATGGCATCATCTGCTCACCATAGATCCCAATTAATGAACAACCTGTAGATATTCTCACCTAAGGATTGTCGACCATTCGTCTAGAAATTCACATCAGAATTGGGATTGGAAGGCATACACTCACCAACTTGAGGGGAAATGTCGAGAAGAGAGATTATAATCATATTATAATATTTTATTATTTATATGTAATCCTTTTACTTTAGTACACATGTCCCTTATGTTCACAGGTGAGTGGTTCTAGTTTCGACATAAGTAAAACCGATTAACCAGATCCGATTCATTTATATCGGATTATTAAAAAATATGTCTGATTTTAGTAAATTAATCTATTTATTCCTACTTTTCATTTCTCTCTCCTCTCCCACATGCCAACGACTCTCTCACCGCCGGTGGCGCCTTCTCTGGTGACCACCGACCTCAGTAGCTTTGATACCCTCCCTTCTCCAGCTCTTACTTTCACCAGCCGGAAAACCCTCTCTTCTCTGGTTTCGCTGTTCCCCTTTCCCCCTTCTTCCTCCTTTCCCCATTCTGGCTCTGTCCTCACTCTGCAGTTCTTTCTCGTCATCCCTAGCATGGGTTTCCCTTGGTCGGTAGCTTGGACACGAAGGAATGGAGGACAAAGGTCTAGAAGGCTAAGATTCACTCTGCATTGTTAGGGGGTCCTTTTAGCCAGTAAAGCGCACCTGGACTCTCCGGCAAGTAAGGATCCTTCTTTCTGAACTCTCACCGCCGGAAGATGAGCATCCTCTGGAGGCCATAGACAAAGAACACTGGAGGCCGCAGACGAGGGGAAACGAGGCTTCTCTTTCCGCTGTTCATGGCCATCCTAGCAAGTTTTCTTCATCAGCTACTAGATGCGTCTTCGATGGAACCGCCGATTAGGGCAGTACAAAGAAGAGGACAACTTCTCCCTTCAATGGGGAGCGAAACAGGGGATCCTTCGATCATTCTCACAACCAGGAAGTTTGAGGAAATTAATGGATGCTGGGTGAGAGGTGCATCCGAACTGAGATTAGTCGGGAAGAGGAGTGTTTCTGTTGTTTCTCCTTCAATCACCGCTTGGTTCTACAAGTTTTGGCCACAAGAATTCCGCTCGGGGGCCGGCTGAGCTCCACAGTACACAACCCATACAACCAGTAAGTGATGTGGATGAGACCCAGGCTCGTCCTCACCTTGAAGGTCCCCTTGATGGTGTACACCACCCTGTTGCCGTTCACCTGGTCCTGGAGCTCCCGCTCCCGTTCCGGCGAGAGGAATACCTCGCTGGAGATCATGTGCACCGATTGTAGCCTCACTTCCCCTCGCCGCTGGGCAAACGGCTGCAGCGCCTGCGCAGCGATGAGCGTGTTCCGAAAGTAGAGCTCAACGCCGACGAACTCGAACTGAACATCGATCTTCCCGTTAGGGTTGGAGAAGTTGGCGAGGAAGGTGAGGTCCCCGTTGAGGAACGAGGGGGAGTCTATGTAGATGCTGTTCAGGGTGGCGCCGGAGACGTCGAACCGGGGGTTCCTCGGCTTGATCACCAGGAAGACGACGAGGGTGACGACGCCGACGACGATGAGAACCACGGCGAAGACGAAGCAAAGGGCGGCGCAGCAGAGGATGAGAGGTCTCTTCCTGTCGGCCTTCTTGGCAGGTGTCTGCCGGGGGAAACGCGGGTGGTGAAGCTGCTCCGGCGCCGGCAGGCCCGGCGTACGCGCCACCGGAATGAACTGTACGCCGTCCTCTTGGACGTTCGCCGGAGAGCGGAGAAGATCCCCGGAATGGTTGGGCTTACGATGCTTCTGGGGAGTGGTGATGGGGGGCATCTTGGGAGAGCCTGCGGAGGAGGAAAGAGGGTGGGCGGGGCCAAGAAATGTGGAGGGGGAACCTTGGGGGGCCGAAAGAAGGGACCTAAAGCAGATTAAAGTTTCACCAGCAGAGGAAGCCTTCCTGCCGAATGCAGCGTGTGGTAGGGTGCTTCTTCTGTCAGTGTTTGAATAAGGTTGGAGCGAAGAAAAAGTAGAAGACGGGTTGACTGGAAACCTGCTGTTCTTCATGCTACCAGTCTTGAATTTTTTTCTCTCCTGGTTTCCACTGCAAGGTTCATGGGAGCGCCTCCCACTCTGCAGCAGGGAGAAGCTTCTCCTTCAAGCATGATATCAGTCATTGATGCTCGCAACGCATGGGATTTAAGAACAACCTGCTTATAGGCCGCATTTACCAGGCAGATGCTTCGGGCAATATGTCAATAAAAATTGTTTCTTAGGCTGACATTGCTTAGATTGGAAAGCAGTAATGGGCGTGAAGATATGCATGAGTGCGTAGTCAGGGGATTTTAAAATGACCCTAGAAAACCAAGAAACCGTAGAACGAGATGCAACGATATATTGTGCGGATAATCAGTGTAAAGTTTGCTCGATAAGGATCGTCCTATGATTTCTTGGCTTAAAAGTGCCAGACATGATTTTTTGAAGAAAGTTTTATTATAAATAAGCAAATTATTCAATAACACTCACCTAAACCATCTCACTCAGGAGGACATGCCATTTGAAGAAAGGAAGCCTTATTATCGTGCGGTTTCAAAACTGTTGACAATGTCCAAATGCACTCGGGGCTGTTAAATCCCAAGCTGTTCAACGAGACCGACGGGTTAACTTGACTCAGTTTTGTCCGTCCCAAAGAGTGATCGTATCTGGTCATCTCATTACCCAGGAGACTATTGACTGTTCTTATTTAGCGGAACGTGGGAGGCCGGAGTGACCTACTCAACGGGATCGACAACAATTAAGGGGCCGATGGAAGCACTTTCACGCTATTTTTTCCCGAGGTTTCTTGTATTGCGGGTCTGCTTCGGCTTACAACCAACTCTGTTTCGCACGCTCCTCATTCAAAGAGAGAGAGAGAGAGAGAGAGAGAGAGAGAGAGAGAGAGAGATCTTCAATATTTTCTCTTAAGCTTACGATTCGAGTTTTACGCAGATATTCTCCTCCAGGATTCCTAACAGCCTACTATGGATGCTTATTTAGGTAAACGTAGGGAGAGTTGCGCATGTTGGCTATTCTTTTCCTTTTGTTATTTCTATCTCGTTATTCCTCTGACTTCGAAGGACTCGAGGGACTCGATGGACACGATTGACTGGTAGCGTAAGATGGATCATTCCTTCGTCCCTCTCTCCCTCTCCCTCCCTCTCTCCCCCTCTCTCTCCCTAGCTCCCTCCCTTTCCCTCCCTCTCCCTCCCTTTCCCTCCCTCTCCCTCCCTCTCCCTCTCTCTTTCCTCCTCTCACTCACTCCCTCCCTGCCTCCCTCTCCCTCTCTCTCTCCCCTCTGGAACTCCATGCATACGCATAGTCATTCTTATGAGAGAGAGGAACGAGGATTTTCGATGGGAACCAGGATAGTATGATCACAAGGGGAAGGAGAACTACTCGTGACGCAGGGAATCCACGTGCCTGGCTCCCTGAATGCCATCTATGGAACTTCTTCAGTTTTCTTGACGGGGTTTCCTAGGTGGTATTACGGGAGCCACGCAAGAGCATTTCTGTAGCATTATGAGCATCTTCCTTCAGAATCATTTTGGTGCCATGACGTCTAAGTTGTAGACCCGAATATTTTTATTCTTTTATCGGTCATTTATTTTTAATGTTGTCGGGCATCCTTTCTAAGTACATTCCTTGAAGTTCATTTGTTAACCTTTTATACTTCTCATAAAGATAAGTTTTCGGAATGATGTAGGATTGATACAGCACCAACTACATGAGGGAACTCGTACTATACACCATAGTTCACATTATTTCAAGACCTACATCTCGTTCACACAGCTAGTAAATTGTTCACTCGCATTTCAAGCTTGCCCTATGCTTGTATAATCACTCATCATTGCACAGATGAGCTGTATTTGAAGAAACTTTCTAAAATATACATATGCACGTAAGGATTCAATCAATCAGGTACCATGAAAAATTAGATCTCAATCTGTTGCACTGGTCAATTTTTATCTGATGCAGATAGTCAAAGGAGGAGTGATAGATCAATATCTAGAGCTTAATCGATCTCACTCTGGAGGTTCTATTGTTAATGGAAGCATCACCTTGCACTTCTAGGAGTGTGCAATTGTTTTAATGTTAGCAGAGAATGGTACCAAACCTGCTACAAAGGAGGGAGCGTCTGAAGAGTGAAATGGGGAGATATGTACCTACTTTTTGCTTAATCGGTTATAATAATTGATCTATGTATTCCAGCGGATGGATGGGTAACAAAGCAGAAAGACTACACTCTAGCAGCAGCAGCAGCAGCAGCTTATGTGCAAGATAACAGGTACATGTGATGCCTACACTACTTTAGATAGTCATTAATTGAAGCAAATGTTGTGGAATTATATGAATGGTATTATTATATGCTAAGTTAGCTTTTTATTTTAATTTTAGTAATTCATAGCATTTATTTTTAGAGCATTCTTCAATATATTAATTTTTCTCAACAACTTTGTTGTAAGAGATTAAAAGCTCACTAAAGGATTTGAATTTCTTGAATTTTATGAATTAAAAGAGAACGCCATTGAAGTGTTTTTTTTAAATTCTCTCAAAGGCTCAATGATGTGCACTGATCATAATGTTTAAATACCTATTATCTAATAATATTTATAACTAAGACTTGATAGGATATTAGTATAGATGTAAGTCTCAAGTCAAACACATGACAATTGATTAATTCATTGTGATAAAATATCAATTTAGCTTATATATAGAGAAATTTTAATATTTTATCAATAGTTAACATAAATAATAAAGTAGAAGTGTGAGGTGAGAAGAATAAAGAAAGTGAAGAAGGGAAAGAGTAAAAGAGAGAGAGTGAGATAAAAGAGAGATCAATCGAGAAAGAAAGATGGAGAAAGGGGAGATCAATTGAGAGAGAGTGAGAGAAATGCATATGAATAATTAAGAGAGAGAAATAGGATTAACTTATTTTTACAGTGACCATGGTTTTCAGATGAATGTGTGCTTGAGAGTTCACACATATGATGTGAGGTCAACTTGTTAATCAACCTTTAATCTCACTAATTTCACAATTGAAATTAGAAAAATAATTGTTATTCATGAAATATTGAGAAAATGAATGCATCAAGATTCAACTATACAAATCAATAAAAAAATAAGTAGACATGATCTCAACTTGATCTTAGATGAGTTTTGGATGATCTAAGAGATGAACAAACATCATTCATTAGCTTTTACTCAGTTCTATTTATTTCTATCAGAATATGTACGAAGCGGAAATAACTTATTGTAAAATGTGAATAAATGATGGAAACATGTAAAATAAATATTAAAGATGAGTAAAAAAATATTGTCTAATGTTAGTCTGCGTCATGAGCAATAAAGATGCTGATGTGGCAGCTTAGTTTTGTCTAGTTGTGCCACACTATGTCAAAAATTACAAAAGTTAGAAGTACTCTATCACTCATGGGAGAGATGTAATGAGTAAAAGGGTCGACCACATTGTCACTATCATCTAATTGGAGAAGGGAAGACCTGACCGCTCACCAAAGGCATTCAATACAATCAAGAAAGGAAGGAGAGCTTGCCGATTGCCAGAGGTATTGATTGCATGAAAAAGAGTAAAAAATAGATTTCATAATTGAGTTGCCATCAAGATTTTAATGACAATCAATAATGTTTATTTTACTAGATAATAATTAATTATTTTACTTATATTCCTGACAATGATTTGTGCGTAATCACTCTTAAGTCACTATTATTAAGATCGTTAAATCTAAATTTATAAACTGATTTTCTTAGGAATAGTTTCTTGATAAATTATTGGAAAATCAGGTTGATAACAAGGAGAGTTTTGAATTAGTTGATGTATATTAATTAATAATCATATTCTGATTTGTTTACTCTCTAAAATTCAACATCCACAAAGAGAAAAATTTAATGCACGTTGAGAGGAAGATTTCTCTCATGGTTCAACCAGCCACCTCCTAAATAAATTATAGATGGCTGGTGGGGATGGTTCCCTACTTCCTTCACTACGTCGACTATTTAAAATTGATGAGGTAAAGGGGAACATAACTTCATAAAATTCAGATTGCATTAACTAAGATAAAAGAGGCTCAATTACATTAAAGTCTAGAAACAAAACGAAAATGATTTCTCCCTCTTGTTCTGATGAGCGTGGGGAGAGAACGGCGGCCTCATGTAGGGGTGTCTTCAGTTTCCTCTTCTTGCTATGCCAAGAGAGGAGACCCACGATCGTTGTCGGCACTGTCACTACTGGAAGGGGGGAAGGGATGAGCTGGCCCACCTATGGTGTGCTGCAGGGGGCGTCAAGGGAGAGAGGAGGAGCAGGCCATCCCCATAGTTAAAGAGGGATGCACCAAAGGAAGAAAGGGAGGAATGAGAGGACTGATTGTGAATGAGGGTCCCAGCTAGTGGCCAGTCTTCTCTTGGAATCATATGCCCCATTGTATGCCTTCCCCTTATACCCCTCTCAATTTACAAAAATAACAAGTAAGTCAACTTTACAGTTTTATCTTTTTATCTTTACTAATTATTTAATAGTCCATGATGAAATTAGGAATATATGTATGTTCATGCTCATGCATCATGATTATCTATTAATCCTCTTCCCTCCAACAACTATTAGTCATAGATTTCTCCTCTCATTTATCTTCATGCTCTCATCCTAGTAGAAAATAAGAAAATGATACAATTCATAAACCATCATATGAAGATGTATAAGTAGAGTATTAAATGTGTACTCATCATATTCCTATATACTTAGGCTTTAAATAATAATCTTCTCCCCTCTTTAGTATGATGATTGC